TAGAATAGAGTAAACTTAGCGCAAGCATAGATTTGCAAAGTTATATGCCTATATAGCGTTCTAAAGCGAGTAATTTTAGATAGAGGCTCTATTATAAATGCAAAACACTAGAATATATTCTAATACTATATAAACTTAAGAAGAGTTCTAATCTTCTTCTTCTATCTACAGATAGATAGATAGATAGAAAGATAGAACTAGACTCTAGAATACTACCTGCGTTGCTACTATAGGCTTAAGTAAGACAACTAGGCATTATAGTTATCTCTTATAAAATTTACGTATAATGATAGCAAATATGCAGTTATAAACATAACACCTTTCTAAGCAAACTAAGAACTAAACTCTATTAGGCTAGATTAGCCTAAAAGACTACTTAGAGATAAAGAATTACCTAGAGCAGCTAAGCTTGCTAAAAGAGTACTAGTAATAATTACTACTTATAAATTAAGGATCCTTGCAGCAAAATAAGTACTAGAAAAAACACGTAAATAAATAAAGGCTGCTAGTCTTATTTAAAGAAGAAGATAAAGTTATAGTTTCTACTAGAAACATGCAGTTAACGCAACTAAAGAAAAAACTAGACTAGAAATTTACTCTAGAGGTTATTAATAAATAAATAGGCTCTTTAGCGTTTAGAGTTAGACTTAAGAGTTTTCTAAACATATACTCTATCTTTTATATCTTCTTATTAGAACTATACGATCTAATAAGTAAAATTCTATACTCTCTAACTAATATTATAGATACTCTACATAATATTAGAGGCAATAATATCTATAAAGTAGATAAAATTATAGATAGAAGGATAATAGATAGTAGCTAATAGAAGTACCTAGTTAAATAGAAAAACTACTCTAAGGATAAAAACTTATAGGAGCCTAGCCTAAACATCTTAGAAAATACTTTAAGAAAGTTCTAGAATACTATATCTGCCTAACTACAGCGTAAGAAGTATAAGAATAGCTAAGTAAATTAAAATATAGATATAAGGTATTAAGGTTAACTTCTAAACAAAAGAAGAGAGTAATAATAAATAAACTACGCTTCTTAGAGCTATTATAGCCTATAACAGACTATTCTAGGCAGAAAGAAAATAATTAGCATCCTTAAAGATAAGCATTATATAATAATTAAAAATAAATCTAGAAATAGAAGAACCTAAGAACAGAAATATATTACTAAGGAAAGATAGAAGAAAGAATCTTCTTAGCATTTTGCTATCTAGAGATTACTAGGTAAATCTGCGCTAGAATAGCCTATAATAGCCTAGCTTAGATTCTAAAGACCTAGGCGCTGCTCTTATAGTGCCTACTAGCTACAGTCTAAGATATAATAACCTAAAAAAAGCTAAATTAGCTACAAAAGGCTCTACTAAGGCTAGATTTAGATGTTAAGAACTATAAGACGCTCCTTAGCACTATTAAGCTTCTTTTAAGCTTTATTAATCTTGCTTATAAAGAGACTATGCCTAGCTAAGAGAATAAAGCTCTTATTCTTCTCTAAAGACGTAATATCTACTTTAAGACCTTAGATTAGCTCCTTTAGCTTTCTTTTAGAATTCTTATACTTCTTACTCTATATATTAGGTTAGTTTGCGCTAATATAACCTATAATAGCCTAACTTACCTTCTTATAGAGAGTACTAGGCTTATTCTTATTAATCTGCTTAAGCTTAAGAATAGTCTTAGTAAAGATATTCTAATAAGCCTTACGCTTAGCAGCAATAGCCTTAGTAGAGTAATTATAGCAAATAAAGATATAGGCAGCGTTAGAGCTGTTATTAGAGTCTATAGTGCTGTTATAGTATGCTAAGTTCTCTGCATAAAGCGTATACAGAGGCCTAGAATATAGTTAGCGCCTAAATAGCCTATAATAGAGTATTATAGCCTATATAGAACTATATAAGGTACTTACTTCTTTAACTGCATAGCTAGAAGACTGCAGGCGTTCTAAATATTAGCTTTAAGCACTAAAATCTCTCTAGCATCTAGAGGCTGCAGATTATAGACATACTAAGCAGCTACTATAGCTCTTGCTAGCTAGTCCTTAGTAGCAGAGATAGTAGAGATAGCAATAATAGTTTAGTAGCAAATATTAATCTAACTTAGCGCTAGCTTATTAATATTAGCAGCAATATCTAGAACTTTCTAACGCAGCTTCTTAGAAGGCTAAATATATTAGTTTATGCTATAATAAAGTATTCTAGCTTATAATAACTTACTACTATATAGTTAGAGTTGCTAAAGAAGTAATAGAGGCACTTAAAGTACTAAGCAGTCTCTCTGCCTCTAATCTTCTTCTGCTAGAATAAGTAAAGATTAAGATAGTTCTTAGTATTCTCTATAGCATTAGAGAAGTCTATTATAATGCAACTAAACTTACTAAGGCACTTAAAGAAGCCTATAGCAAAAGATATAATATAGCAGCAGCATAGATAATAGATATATATACTATTCTCTATTATATCGTTACTAACAGCGATCTAGTCTATATTAACTAATTTAGAGGTATTCTAGCCTAGATTAGCATAGAATAGAAGCAGAAGAGCTTAATAAAGCTAGATTAAGAGGCGTAGTAGTTATTATAAGACACTCTATATTTATTAGCGCTGTAATAGAGTATAATAGAGTATTCTAGCCTAAATAGAGGCTAAAATCCCTATAGAGAGAACTAAAAATTCTTACTAAAAAGAGACTAAGAGAATATAGAACTAGATTAGAAGTTAGACTAAGCTTAACTAGTATTATAAGTCTATGCGCTACTTACTTATTATTGCTTAGCACGCTAAGCTTAGTTAAGCAAGTCTCTTAAAACTATAAGTTTTAGAAATAATCTATAGAGCTCTAATGCGCGCGTTAGGCCTTAAATAAGCTATTATAGCTTATTCTAGCTTACTAAACGCTCTTCTATATTAGACGTATTTGCTTAAGGCGAGCATGCCTAAGAAGAGAGATAATATTAGCACTCTAGCACTAAGGACGCCTTTAGCGTTCTAAGCAGGCCTAGTATATCTGCTAGAGAGCTAGTATATAGAGTAGAGAGAGAATCGCTCCTTATTAGTAGCAATTCGTCTATCCTTTACAATAATCCTATTAGTTATCTTTATTATTACTTACTCCTAGCTACAACTCTCTAGTACTATTCTAACATAAGCGCCTATAACTCTTCTCTTTATATACTTATTAAAGTGCTTTAACTACTATAGACTAAGCTTATTTATTATCTAGCTATTCTTAGAGACTATAATAACCTAATTATAAAGTAGATTCTTCTTCTTATACTAAGCTAAGAGATAGTAGCAGCTCTTAAAGATAATAAAGAGTAAAATAGTCTACTTTATTACGTTAATACTCTAGATAACTATTATTTACTCTTAATTACTTTATTATATTATCTTTAGCTATTCTTATTACTTTAAAGCTATAATAACTACTCTAGTTAAGATCTAGCCTATTATAAAGCTAGACTTATTAAAGTTATATATATTATTATTAAAGATACTATGCTTTGCCTTTATATTCTCTATAAGCTAGAACTAGTCTTATATAATCTTAGAATTCTTATAGAGAGCTCTCTTATAGTTATATTTATAATTAAACTTTATTTAGAGCTTAGAGTAGCATTTAATAAATATACTAAGCTAGTTTAAGCTAACTTAGCCTAGACTACGCTTAGCGCGCAGAGAATTAGCTATATTAGCTATAGCTATAAGCCTAAGAAGAAATCTACGCGTAACTAGCTTAAGTATATACTTAATAATTATATCTTTCTTAATTAGAGTTAGATTTATTAATTTAAGCTAGCAATCTGCCTAGGAAGGTTATCTAGCGCATTAATAACTTAGAGTTACTTAAAAGATATTATAGATAGCTACAGCGCATTATATAGAGAGTATTATATTTTATTTAAGAGCTTAGAGAGCAGTTTATATCTTATGTTTATTAGAAGCGTCTATCTAGTGCTATTATTAAGGCATTATATTAAAAAGTAGAATTTAGTAGAAGCTTAGCAAAAGTATCTAGCTAAACTATATGTCTAGCTAACCTATAAGGTACGTTATAGATAAGTAGCACTTACTACTCTCTATAAAGTAGCAATTTATCTATCTTATAATATACTTACTACTTTATCCTCTGTAACACTAGCTTTCTGAGTCTAATTCTATTTTGCTAACAATAGCTTCGTTTAAGCTAAGGAATAGATAATTATACGATGAGCTAATTAATAGAATGTTACTAAGAATAATTAGAATAAATTAGCTGTTAAGCTTCATGTAGGATCGAGCCGGAATTTGTACTTGTGTGGCCTGGCCTCGCTAGGCTTGACTCCGACCTTATTTCGAGGCAATCCTGAGGCCTTCGGCTGGGGCTAGAATTCGAAGTACGTGCCTGTTACAAATTATGCTGAATGACGTATTTGTTCTTGAGTCGACTCGCTGAGTTGTTAGTGCGAAAGATAAATATCTATGAGGGTAGCGCTTAACGAAAAAAGCCCAGAGTCGGTTGTCCGCATCTAGCTGTCTTCTAACCCTAAGCTATATACTATCTACACCTCCATCATACCAAGTAGTGAATCTGTCTTACAAAGAACACCTTTGATTGCAATATCAAAGGCTTCTTCAAGCGAACCTGTACTTCTGTAGCCTAGTCTCGCAACACGGCCAACAACGGCAGCTAATTTACTAACCCGATGCTTCAGTAAACGTCGTACACAAGATTGCCGTAGCTGATCATCCAAACAAGCTTGCCCAAAACAGACACTAGACCCATTTTCTGGACGATCAAACCCTACTTTACCGTTCACTCCATGCTCTCGATAAGAAAGAGAATTCTGAATCACGCGCCTTAACATCTCAATTATCAAATCCGTGCATATACACAGAGATAATAGAGAGTGCAGGGATTTTGATTGACAAGTCGAACATCTCAAAACGGCTGTATACAACTGGGATGTATAATCTTCCAGAAGAAGAATGAAATCGAGGGGGGGACATCGTTCTACCTGAGATAACACTGGATGAAAGCACAACACCTGGAGTGTATTTAAAGAAATAGAACAACAACACAAACGGCCGTTGCGGGTGCACGACTCAGATGTGGGACTTTGATCGCTCTTGTTTCCGTTGGCGACAGCGTTGATCAGATTGTTGGCCTCTAGGAACGCTGATCCCTCTTCAAGTGATGTTCTCACATCGATTGAGCCTGATAGAAAAAATCTATCAGGGCGTCCGAAGGAGCTTTGCCCCTTATGCCCCTGCAATTCTGGCTCGAAGGGTTTATCGAGGGACGCAGGGCATGTCGTAGATAGCGGCAGGTTCGCAGAATATCGCGAACCCATTTTACCCAGGTTGCGGTACTCGTGAGTCGTAAGCGAAGTAGGTATATGCTCTTGTGCTTCTCCTTGAAGGGTGAATGAAGGAAAGTTGTACATAAGGCTTCCGCTAAGCGCATTGTCGATGTCGAATTCAAAGTCAGATCCGAGCTCGAATGCGTAGTCTGCTGAATGACTGGGGGCCGCATTGGAAGACATGGTATCCTCTTGGTCCGGATTCAACACAGTAAGATCGCCATCGCTACTATTTAGGATCGAGGGGCTGTTCTGTTGCTGTTCATTTTGGCCTACAGACAAAGAAGTAGCAAAGCTTGGACTTTGGTATGAGTTTTCATGGGAAGTCTCCAGCAATCGAGATCCCTTCAGTGCTTGCATCGATACTAGCAGATGTTTTCAATGGTCTACCTCGACGGCGAGCTGCACTGTAAACGCAGGGTTGGTTTCGTTCAAGGCAGCGACGGCATGATGGCTTTCCATGGTCGCATCTAAGCTTGGATTGAGTGCAAAAATCGCAGGTGGTTCGGAGATGTCCATTTTTGTTGAAGGGGCGTTCGGGCATTGTAAGTTGGGGAACTGTCGGTGACCTTGAAATGGCTACAGGTTCTGGATATAGCACGCACGAATATTTACCAGAATCGCTACAGATCTGACTATAGGACCGAAAAGGTTGTGGCTAGATGAAGAATCAGGCCAGAAAAGGCCCTCTCGGTAATTTTCCGTCCGCTTTATCGAACGCTAACAGGGGACGGCCGCGTTAAACTAGACCCCAGTTTCAATCCACCTCTACAAAGCTTGGCTGGACACGTAATCGGTCCCAGCTAGTCAGGAGAAAGGAGACATTATCAAACTTGTTCGGTCAGTGCGGTGCGGTGCTAGCGTTTGGCAAAGTGGATGGAAAGAATCCGGTAGATACGAAGTAATCTGAGGATAGCTCGCCTCGGGTAAGACCCCTAGCATCGGCTCTTGCGAGAAAGACACGAACGATCCGTGCAAGCTGGGGTACTAGTCCCCATCGACCAAGTTGGTGAGCGGAGTGTACCCTCCAACTGTGATTGAACACGATCACCTGCCTCGTCCCCAGTTTCTGACGTAATCCGAACAACGCGTAGAATCCGGCTGTTTGTATTAAGGTTTCACCGGCCCGATGAGCCTAGTAAGAAGAAGGCGGGGCTCCAGGGTCCCTAAACACAAAGTTGCGCCCTAGATAGCGCCGTCCATCAGTCGTCATAAGCTCTGATAAATTAAGGCTAATTATCGTGCACAAATCTGGCGTTTCTATGTTGATTTATTGCCGTTTTCCGCCAAGAAGATAGATGCTTTACGGTCCGACACGTTGATACCTACCAATAATGGTTAAGATTGAACAGGAAGCGACGTGACGTCTGGACACCCTGTAAGACAAGCCTAGGCCTTGTATCGCACGAGAGAAGCACCGGTGGAAACCGTCGCCTACTTGCAACTACAGCAGCAGTCCAACGCAAGAATATCTAGGTAGGATTACTTAGAATTACTCTGAAGCAAGCCTGTACAATTCATCTGGTTTTACTCTATTCGTTTGATTCCTTGCTTTTGCTGTCATTGAGTAGGTTGGATTGTTGTGTCTGCTAAGCCTTTGATGTCCTATCGGTGCTTCTCTCGTGTGGTACAAGATGCTCGGGGACTTTTTCTTCTGCCTTTAGATGTTCAATGCAGGCATCGTTGCATTAGCCCTTCAAATTAGCAGCATTTAATCAACCGGAGGTCTGCGGAAGGATAAGGCGGTGACTTACTTGGACACATTCATTTGCTCGTCCGATGAGCCAGTGGTATCGGTGGTACAGCTGTCTAGCTTCTCCATGCCCAGAACCCTTCTAGCTTAGGGCCTGTCTGGTTACGCCGTTTTTGCTGGCCGTATTGGTGATATATTAGGTAAAGCTCGTAACAAGGAGTGCGCGGGAGCTAAGCTCAGAGGCTTGCCCGAATCTAGATTAGCAAAATAGAGCGACCAGAATTGAAACTGTACCTCGAAGCAGCTGCTAGAAAATAGAGGCTCCATCTCGCTCAAATAGGTAGATTGTAGGTACAATAAGCACTAAACCAGGATGCAATCCTTAGTGGCAACGCTAACAAAATGGCATCCCCAGCTCCTCTGGCGATTACTCCGTTTTACCAGACACGAGCTCCATCTCATCTCCGTTTTTAAAACGCTGCCTAATTAGGCCGAAACGGCCAGCAAAACTGGCGTACCAGACAGGCCCTTAATAAGAGCATGGATCGTGTAGGCTTGATAGGAGCAGAATGCGTGTATTGAAGTCTTCAGTATGAAAGTTGATTGATTTCACAAAAGCGCCTCCAGTTGTGCACTGAAACTTAGCTGCTCTCGCATTTGAAGGTTGGATCACGGTTTGTACTTCGTTCTGGTCAGCACTACTCTATTAGTTAATGATTTCTTTCAGAATCTGGAAATGCACCCTGATGCGCTCACAAGCCCTAACGACAACACTGTTGAAGATGAGCACATGCGAACATTGTTGGATATTCCTACAGAGGGCCACATAACTCTTGATGAGACAGTGCTGCTTTTCGAAAACGTTATGCAGATCTTCAGCAACAACGAAGCTCGCGAACGAGCCTTTTCAGACAGATTCCTGACTCTTGCTATCCTTGGGGCCGTCGACAAGATGCTCTCTTTACTTAACGCGGCGAAATCTACGTATTTCAACACGAATCGATGTCTCAGTCTTGATCGGAAGGAACGCGCTCGGCCGCCCAGCCTTGTCTGTGTAAAGAGTACGGCCACTATTGGTAGACACTTTCTTAACGAAGAAGAGAGCGATTTGATTGCAAGAGAGGCCATAAAGGCTCTGGCCCTCCGGCTTGGAAGAGAGACAACGAATCTTAAGCAATGGCTCTTTCAAAAGACCGGCGTAAATGAGAGGGGGGTTTTCGAGATGGATGAAGTAGAGCAGATGTTGTTTCGCATTTGGGCTTTCGTAGCAGCTGTGCGAGAATAATAGAACGACTATAGCTAAGAAGTATGTTCTGCCATATAATGCCTCGGTAGACGCGTTGGTAGGACATATTGCTCATGCGGCAGTCACTCTATAGCATTTACAGCTCAGGTAGTAGTGGCTGGATATCCCGATGTCTGTATTATTGGACTTTTGGTTGCAATAACCCCAGCGATGTGCGTGAGAGAGATGGCGTTGAGAATTTCGAAGATGCTTAGTTTGACGGTCAGAATATTCCCGAGCCAATTCCGAAAATCGACGGCGACAAGAGAATCGACCCCATGAAATGTTAGCGGTACACTAGGCTCAATGTCTTGCACGGTGCGATTGAAGAAGCTTGCAATTTTGGCAGCCAGGAATAGGGAGGTCGCGGCTACAATAGCTTGATGGCGACCTTCAATGTCATTGTGGGAGTCGCGGATCGATGTGAGATCAGAGACGAAGCGGTCCACATCCTTGACTTGCTTTGCAACAGGGCCGATTTGCTGTTTCGCGGTAGCGGACGTTGGGTCGGCGACGTTACCAAAGCGCAGAGTGCCGAGACGGTTGTCGTTCAAGAGCGTGGGCAATGCAGGCAGGGTATCGTACCGAGCCATACAAGTCACGATCTGGCTTTCTTCGGGACGGGAGCGAAGGGGATGGCGGATGGCGTCTTCGACAGCACGCAGCACATGGCTCACTGGAATACACTTCATACTGAGCGACTTTTCGGTTTTTCGTCGGAGCTCCTCACTGCGCTCTGCGAGGTAACCGGCGTCCTCGATAGGGCCGAGGTCAATGGAAACAGCAGGCAAGCCCCGGGCAGTGCGGTGCCTGGCTAGAGCATCGTGAAACGTATTTCCGGCAACATAGTTGCCCTGCGATGCATGTCCAAGGATGCCGGTGGCAGAAGATAGCATGACAAAAAAGCGCAGGTGGGGAAGCTGCTCATGCAGGATCCATGCGCTGATTGTCTTTGGCTGTGCGACACGCCGCCACTGATCAAACGACATGTGCTCCAAGATAGAGTCATCGAGAACGACAGTACCGTGAATGACGCCAGCGATGGGTGGTATAGGCGACCGGGCCACATTCGCCAGTAACGCGTGTACAGCATCTGCGTCGCTCACATCGCAGTTTCGCACGTGTATCGCACAGCCATGGGCGGCCGCCAGCTTCTCCAGTGCAGGGCGACGGTGATGAGACTCGGCGGTCCGCGAGACAACGAGAATGTTCCTGGCGCCAGCTTTCTCCACCATCCAGCTCGTTATGGCATAGCCCACTCCACCTAGCCCACCGAGCACCAGATATGTGGCGTCGACGTCGTCGAGGCATATGGGCTTTAGGTCACGTGGCTTCACGCGAACACGGTCATCGGGGCCAGTCCGTAGCACCAGCTTCCCCATGTGTTGGCCGGTTCGCATCGACTGCATAGCCTGGTCCAGAGCAGATACGGGGAGTGACGTGATTGGCGTCATGGGCGGCCTTTGGCGCGCATTCAGTAGCTGTATGCTGTCTCTCAGCGCTGCGTGCAGTACCGCGGTCTTGCTCTTGCACTCGCTGTATTGGATCAGGTCAAGCGCAGTGAGAGAGGCGCTACGGCGGAAAGGCAACATGTTCAGCGTGCGCTGTGCCTCAGCGTCCACCTTACCCAACTCAACAAAACGACCAAAGCGTGCAATGCAGTGCCATGACGCCTGGAGTAGAGCACCTCGCAGCGAATTGAGGACGACGTCGACCCCATGGCCACTTGTCTGCGTCATGATAGCAGCGGCGAATGTATCACTGCGACTGCTAAACACGCGGTTGGCAGGAATGCCATATTGCATCATCAAAAGCGTGCGCTTGCGAGACGACGAACATGTCACAAACAGATCAGCGTCCATCTGTTGCGCAAGTGTGATGGCCGCCTGCCCAAGCGCTCCGGCAGCTGAATGGATCAGTACCCGCTCGCCGCGTTGCAACCGTGCAACATGGTGGAGAGCGAGATGCGCAGTGCCGTAAGCATATGGTATCGAAACGGCGTTGTCAAGAGACATACTCTCAGGTACTGCCACGACACTCGTCCAACGCGCTTGCGGTCGTGATGCAAAACGCCCGCGGAAAATGCCACAGACACGGTCGCCTACTCGGAGGCCGCTTTGCACAGTGTCGTTACCCAAGCGTGTGACGATGCCAGCGCTCTCATGCCCTACAAAGTCGCCATCCTCCTCGATCAGGCCCATTGCAGTCATAACGTCCTTGAAGTTGATTCCGAACGCCTGAGCTTCAATTTCCACCACATCCTCTGCAAGTGGATCATCGCTCATGTTGCGCTCGATGAACCGCGTCTGATTTCGCCCAGCATCCGGCACCTCCCACACAAGCTCTCTGTCTTGTTCGTACCACGGCCTCTTCTGTGTTGACATCCTCTTTTCGCAAAGCAGACCGTCTTGCGCAAAATCTGGCCATAGTCGAGGCACATGTAACAAACCGTCCTTGACCCCATACTCCCAGTCCATTCGGGTAGTGCTGACGTCTTTGTTCTGGTCAAAAGCGTCCTGGAAGACGTGGACCGCATGCCGAACTGTCTCTGATGTCCATGGATTGGTAGACGACGAGAAATCCAGGTGGACGTATCGTTTGCTTGTATCTTCCCGCCGCAGAGTCCGGAAAAGTCCTTGAACGAGCGCACGTTGAGGCATACTTGCATCAATCACCCCACCGCAGCTTAGCCAGAGTACACCATAGCTGCGAAGGACAATGTTACGCAGCGTTTCGAATCCGCTTGGCCCCATTGCGTACAGAAATGCGCTGTCCATATCAACTGTAACCATCACCACATCATCTGCCGTGATGTCCCGCACCTCGTTTATCCTTTGCAACTTCACAGTACCTCCTGTTTGGGCCGTGACGGCTTGTTTAAGCTCTTCGAGCCAAGCTGTCTGCACGCTGCTGTTTGTGTCGTGTAGGATGTGGACGGTTGAAGGCAACATGCGGACCTCCTGATCAGATTGTGCTGTCGCCAAGATAAGGCTGGTGCTGTGCATCATCGCATTCTCGCAGTCGTTCAGCTCGAAATCGATGCCACTAAAGCCAGTAGCTTTGAGTACCCGGTCCCAGCACTCGAGCCCGACGTTTGGACTGCTCTCCCGACCACTGTCTTCTCCTAACCACCATCCCGGCAATGTACCGAACACGAGTTGCGCATCGAGAGCATCCTGCGTACTCTCCAACATCAGGAGTTTGCCGCCGGGCCGCAGTAGTTTTCTAACATTTGCTAGTGTTCGTTCCAGGTTCGCAGTGGCGTGCAAGACTTGCGCCGCGACTATCAGGTCGTAACTGTGGGCAGCAAAGCCCTGATGTTGCGGATCCGACCCGATATCAAGGATTCGAAAGTCCATCAAATGCTCCCAATCCTTGAATCTGTCCTTGGCTGGCCCAAAGAATCCGGCCGAGATATCAGTAAAGTCATAATGACCAAGTAGCGAAGTTTTGATAGAAGAGCTGCCTGAGCCATCTTCATCATCGCAACCATCACCACTCATTGAATCACTAAACGCTTCCAGGACATGCCGCGTCGTTCCTCCAGTACCAGCACCAATCTCCAACACACTGGCACCGGGTTCTCTGGCCGCATAAAGCCGCAGTATCCGTTCCACTTGCTTGTATGAACCGTGTACGAGCTGAGGCATCTGTTGGTAGTACTGGTTGAGAAGGTCATTCTCCCGCATCAATTCCAGTGGTGCAACATGGCCTCGAACAATGTTCGCAAGCTGCATGCCAATACGGCAAGTGAGATCGCCGACTGCATCTTCTGCTGCAACACTCTCGAACAAGAGTTGCTTGCTCGCCTCGTCCTCGTTGATATTATCGTTCAGACCGTGAACAACCGAACCCATCCACTTGTAGAACTTCTTGTAGTGCCAATCCCACTGCCCGATATCATCTTGCTGGAGCTGGCGATACGCATCAACGATCATATATCCACACGCTCGACGCAGCCTGGACTGCGACTCGATCAATCTCTCCGACGGCCAGAATCTCATTGATTCTTTGATCTCCGTCGGTATGCCGTGGTGTATATCCAACTCCCATCTGCACTTGGCATGGAGTCTCTTGTCTGGCTGCGCGTGTTCACTCTCGCGCGTGCCCCTTTGATGCATCATTTGCAATCGAAAGCCTTTTATCTGGAAAGGAAGCGATTCATCACCATGCTCATCATGTTCCAGTCTACCAGGAACCACCCATGCATGGAAATCCACGTGACGCTTGGTCCAGGATGTGAGCTCAGCAAGCGCCTGAAGAGACTGAGCAGTCTTTATCGGCACTGATATAAAATCGATAGAGCGGGGGATGAGTATATCACCCTGTTCGAGTTGAGCAGCCAGACCGGAATAACAAGACTGAAATATTGAGTCTAATGTTGTCGCGTGGAGTATAGCGCTAGTCTTGGAGCCTTCTTTGTTGGACGCAACAGGTGCGATTCGGAATTGCGTAATTGACTTCTTCCCCAGGACCTTACTATCCGCCAAATTCTGAAAACACGGCCCGTGGTAAAATTCCATGCCGCGCAGCGAGGAGAAGACCGCGTCTGCAGTGACAAGATTAGGTTCCTCATACCCTGTCAAGAAGTTGTCGACGTTGGGCTGGCTATTAGACACGCTGAATCCAGTTTTGCTTGCGGACTTCTTCTCTGCGCCTACATAGCCTCGGCAATGCTGAACCCATATACTGTTGTCTACAGAGAAAAGGTCAAATTCGTACCAACTTTCATGGTCTAGTTCTTTCTTGCTGCACGGCCGGAGTGAGAAGACAATATCAACGCCAGAAGAGAGTGCAGGCACGACCAGTGCGCTCGTTATATCAACGTTCCGCAATTTGTATCCCACGAGCAGCTTATCGATACCGGCAGCACGGTTCACGAAATGAAGTGCTTCAATGGCCATTGATACGTACCCGGCTGCAGGCAGGACAGTCTCCCCCTGAAGCTGATGATCAGCCAGCCAAGAGACGTCTTCGGCTCGTAGGACATTCCTGAATTTTGGTTGCAAAGGATTGGAACCCGGTACCGGCAAACCTAGGAGTTCGTGGAATGGAAACTTGGGATGGCGGTGATCCGCAGCTGTTCTTGGCTCCAGAAGATACCTTGACCGATGATTCCAAGTGTAGGAAGGGATATCGGATAGGTGTATTCGCTGATGTTCAGGTATCAAATTGACTTGATCTAGCATCAGAGGATATCCCGCCATTGATAGTCCGCACGCAACGTCTTGCATACTGTCAACTGCATCGACAGAATGCCGTAAGCATGACAGATATGTGGGGGTAGAATCACGTAATGTTTGCCGTATTGGCCCTGACAGTGTAGCTTGCGGACCAATCTCGAGTATAACATCAATCTGACCATGAACCATCATGCTTTTGAGTGCTTGTGAGAACAATACAGGGTTTGTAAGATTGCGAACCCAATGGTCTGGAAGGAAAGCGTCCGACATGATACTGCCAGTTACAGGAGATGCAAAAGGCACTTGCGCAACTCTGCCGCCGCGGCTTGTCGGGGATGAAAGGACTGAGCTGATTGCCTTTTTATAGTCTTCAGCCATGTGGAGCATGTGTGATGAATGATATGCGCATCCGACATTCAGCTTTCGACACACCACAGCATCCTCTTCCAGTAGCGCAGCAATCTTTAGAAGTGCGTCGATGTCGCCTGAGAGTGTCACGCTGCTTGGACTGTTGATGCAAGCGATGCCAATTCTATCCTCGGCTCCTTCGGAAACTTCTGCAATGTACTCCTTCACGCTTTCTGCACTGAGCCTTACAGCCAGCATACCTCCCCGCAGCGCGTGAATTTGTTGGTATTTTTCTGACAGCCGGCCGCGATGATACGCGATTCCAAGAGCTTCCTCGAATGAAATGACGCTTGCCGCATACGCGGCCGCGATTTCACCACTTGAATGGCTGACTACCGCCGAAGGAAAGCAGGCCCAGGTCCGGAGCAAGTCGACAAGACATAGCTGAAGAGCGACACTGATGGCAGGACTCAAGCCAATCTCATGCATGCGTGAAGTTCCTTCGTCGCGCGTCATCTCTTCCATGAGAGACCAAGGCGCATGATATAGATGCTGGAGAGTCCAATCGGCCCGCTCCATCGCCTTTCTGTATGCAGGATATGCGTCAATGAGTCCGCGGCCCATGGCATGCCACTGTCCTCCCTGACCATTGAAAACGAATCCTATACGACAATTATCGGTCGACGCTTTGCGCACCGTGATGTGGGGGTCCTCCAATCGGGTGGCGAGCTGGTCTAAGCTTCCAGCTCTTACAGCGGCGGTGTAGGGGAAACGAGAGCGTCTCTTTGTGAGTGTATACGCGAGAGCAGGAGCATAATTGTCGTTGGCTTGGGCCTTATTACCCTCTACCATCCTAATATACTTGGCCAGCGTCTGGCTCATGGCCTGTACTCCAGATTCTTCTTTGGAGCTAACCAGGTATACGTAGGATAGTGGAGTTTGTGCTTTACTTTTCTCATTGCAGTTGCCATTCTCCCCGTTTGTGTCCTCCCTAATTTGGTCACAGGAGTAAGCTTCCATAATGACGTGAACGTTGGTCCCACCGTAACCAAAATTGTTGACGGAGGCCCGAAGTGGATCATCCGGCCAGGAAATAAGAGAGGTAGGCACATGGAGGTTCCAGCGAGAGAAGGCAATGCGAGGATTAGGCGTTTCGAAGTGGGCATTTGGCGGGATAAGTTTGTGACGGAGCATCAAAGCGACTTTGATAATTGATGCAATACCGCTCACGGGTTCAGTGTGCCCAATGTTCGGCTTGATGGTACCCACATACAAAGGGTGCGGCTTTCTCGCTTCGCCAATTGTAGACCCAATTGCTTCTGCTTCGATAGCGTCAGCGATAGTACCCGTGAAGTGCCCCTCAACGTAGCACGTGGAGCTCATATCTATTCCCGCTTTATTGTAGCAATCACGGATGAGCGCTTGCTGGACGTCTCCAGAAGGTGACGTGATCGTTGCTGTCCTACCATCTTGGTTCATGGATGATTCTCGGATGACAGCATGTATGAAGTCTCCGTCACGTTTCGCAGCACTGAGAGGCTTCAGTACCAAGGCCGCTGCACCCTCGCCGCGACCATAACCATCTGCGCGTGCATCCAATGAGAAGCTTTTACCCTCGGGGCTCAGGACACCTATTCTGCAAAGAGCAATGAACATATCCGGGTTGAACATTAGTGCGGATGCGCAGACAATGGATATGTCTGACTCTCTATTGCGAATACTTTGGATAGCCAGGTGGATTGCCGCCAAACTTGCGGAGCAGCCGGTGTCGATAGTCAAACTAGGGCCTTTCAGGTTGAAAAAATGCGACACCCGATTTGAAAACATGGCCGTCCCGTTGCCGGTCATGAACGTTGATGACACATTTTCAGGATCTGCTATGATCGAATCCTGGTGGTCATGTGAGAATGCGCCGGAAAATACAGACGTATTAGAACCAGCAATGTTTTCCAGGGGCAGGCCAGCTACATACAGCCTTAGTTACACCCGAACCATAGGCGATAGGCGATATTAGGGTATGAACTAACCATTTTCCAATGCTTCAAATACCCCCTCAAGCAAGAAGCGCAACTGCGGGTCCATAGTCTTTGCTGCCTCGGTAGTGACGTTGAAAAACTGCGCATCGAACAAGTTGACATCTTCATCGAGAAAGTTCGCACCACGAACGTTATGCTGAAAGGTGTTAACGTTCCAAAATCCTCGCTGGAATACTATTATGATCAATTACCAGTCCATGTTTCTGTTGATCTGGGTGATAGAAGGCCGAGCCATCGAAGCGTGCTTCAGGGATCGGAGACCAGCCATCTTTGCGCGAAGCGATAAGCTCCCATAGCTTTGCTGGGTTGGATGAACCGCCAGAAAATCTGCAACTCATGCCAACAATGGCAATGGGCTCGGGACTTGAACGCATAGCAGTGTTTTGGACAATTTACGCTGCTTCGGCTGGAACTCAGCACAATGGGAAGGACCAGTTTTGGCAGAGAAATATGGTGTGTCTTGGGATATCAAACGGTCTCTAAAATATAGAGACAGAATGGTTAGTTAAAACATCGATACAATGAGGAGATTGTCTGTGCTTCTTGTTTCTCTAAATGTGTTCAACAGACTAGGATCGTGTGCAAAGCGTACAAATTTGCGACACACTAATTCATTCGGGGAATTGATCAAACATATGAAAATTCAAACATTCGGCTGAATAGGGAAATACCAACTCGGTGACTTTCTTTGTATTGGGCACCATCATTACGAACTTTTAAGGTCTCGTGGTCTCATGATCTCGTCAAGCCAACATTTGAGACATTCCGAGATTTTGTGGCGCCTGCTTCAGCGAAACCGTTCGGGAAATTAAAATGCCATACACAATCATTAGCCGGTATAAAATATCTTTTTTTTGTCATAATGTGCTATTTACCCGCCAAAGGCGTGGCCTAGTAAAATCAAACTGTTCGGGGATTTTGTGGACGGGCTTCCAGGTTGAGCTTAGCTGTTTGGAGAAATGCCCGAGATGCTAAGCACGTTATTCCTCATGCAATGGTGCAGTTAATTATGATGCGACAGTGCCGTTTTGCTCGCATACCAAGGCACAGAGGACCACCTGTAAACTTTTCATACAACGGGCGGCAAGATGAGGGTGAAGACGACCAAAGTGCACCGTGTGCATGCAGAAGCGCGACCATTGCTGCGACAGGAGGCCTTGATGCCACCGCTCGATGCTTGGTACGCCCACAGGAGAACATTACCGACAGTTCTTCTCTACGACAGTACTCCTGAGCCATTACCCGACTTTACTACGCATCTCATCGAATCCCTTTCAAGGACCCTTAATTATTTCCTACAGTATGCTGGCGATATCGACTTTTGTACCATCGGGGTCGGGGAAGGAAGGCCATTGCGAAGGACCAGGATATTCTGGGGCGGCCCAGAGGAACAGGGAGCAACATTCATCGAAGCCAGCACCAAAGCACGTATACAATCACTCCTACCTCGCACCACATCGGAACAAACAAGCTTTATTTGGGATCGTTCTGCCGCATCAGCACGACCACTGTTCGTGAACGAACATCCCCTTGCGCCTCTTCGAGGCCGTTCGGCGGGTGTACGGGCTCAGATGACTAGTTTCAGTTGTGGGGGATTTAGTTTGGCCCTTGATATGGACCATGGCCTTGGTGATGGCAGTAATCTTGGCCTCTTTCTGCAGTACTGGGCAGCTGTTTACAACTCTATGTTCCATCGCGATGTTAGACAGAGCCTGGAAAGCCTGCCTGACGTGCTCTTCGAACCCCAAACGCTCGAAAATCGTGTGGCATCCATCCAGTTTGACGAGCAAAAGCTACAGCTAGCCCGACAGCTTCCCACTGTCGCACCATTTCTTCCGGATCTGAAATCTGATACCGACTTGAACCCGGCGACAGCACAACCTCAGCCTGACATCCCACAACCTGTACCTACATTTGATGGCGTCTCTGGCCTCTTGAGATTGAGTGCCCAAGATTGCGAAGATATTATACGCAACATCCAGATTCGAGCTACCAGCCCTGTTGTTGACCTAATGGCATTGATCAGCTTCGTATGGGCAGCTATCAACCGAGCACGTCAGAGTACTGGAACCCCAGCTGCAGCCCTATACATGCCTATGAGTCTTCGATCAATGTTACGACTTCCGCCAGGGCTGCTTGGCTCTCCGTTGATGTCCATGGGAGTTGAATTGCCTGGGGAGGAGTTTACTAGCACTGCCTACTTCGACGCCGCTACACTAGCAGTCCAGACAACGAAGACCGTGGCCCAGTATACAGAAGAAAACTTTCTCATACTCACCAAAGAGGTTATTCAGTGCAACAGCCCCTCAAAATTTTCTCGTGGTCGCCCTAGCTCACATGGCCGCATCGGTGTTTCGAGCGTAGTGCGATTTGGGCTAAACGAGGTCTCATTTGGATCACTCAAGCCTATCTTCATCTGTCCTTTGGTCCCTGTTCCTTACATGTTCATTGTCAAGGAAGCTATTTCAGCGCAGGGCCGAGCGTCTGATGCTAGCAACAGGAGTGCCAGTGGTAGTATGAAGTGGTATGAGAATGGAGCAGACATATTTTTTACTCTGCCTCATGATGTATATGAGGCTTTCATTTCAGTCCCAGCAATAGCTAGATTTGCCACCCTGTACGATGAGTAGTGAACGACATTCTCCGTTACATTTACCGACAAGAAATTGCCACTTCCAATTTTCTCCCTAGTTTGTACCAGTATGGATAAATGTAAACATGCTTCACCACTTTTCAACAGGATATAGGATCAACTGCATACCATCTTTTGGCCGCACCGTCGTAATACCCTCCGCAGTCAGTTCTCGAAGAACTTCAAATCTGTATCGACCTACAAAAGCAGCGACAAACGCACGGACAGCCGCTGTCACGTACATTTGACCGATACACCTACGTGGTCCATGGAGAAATGTGGAAAACGCATAATTCGTGCTTGCGCCACCATGATTGTTAGCCTTTCCTGTATCGTCGTTGATCCAGCGGCTAGGATCATATTCATTCGCTTTTGGACCGTAAGCCTCGGTAGAGCGGTTGATGGCGCCTGGCACAACAAATACGCGGGTTCCACGACGAACAGGATGTCCAAGTATTGTGGTATCGTCAGCCGCTACACGAGTAGTTATGGGCGAGGTGGGCATAAAGCGTGACGTCTCGTTGCAAACAGCATTGAGTATTGGGAGCTCCTCTAGTACTTGGCCAGCAACAAAACCGTCGGCGTCGTGATGAAAAAAGCGATGTGAGATGTTGTCTTGTATCTCCTTCCGTAGGCGGGTTTGCCAGTCAGGATGAGCTGCAAGAAACCAGATCGCCCAACAGAAAGCGGCAGCCGTAGGTTCGTATCTGGATGTTTCTTGAGTTAGAAGATTTTCACAACAGAAACTGCGAGCGATAGAAAATGCGAATCTCCGACTTACCCAGCACCAATAGTCATCAAGAGGTGTGTGGCAAGTTCATCTTCGGAGAAGGCATTGCCTCTCATCAGCCTGGATAAGATGTTGTTCTCAGTCCCGTCTTTAGCGCGACCTTTCATTTCCTTCACTAAGCCTATACAGAGCGAATTCAATTTGGCGCGTGTGTCGTAGAACTGAATTTCCAGAGGCCTCGCCAGGATCTGCAATGCCCAGCGAGGAAGGCTAGCGTTGAGTACGAAGTACAGGCTCATTTGCGGGCTAGGGTTGAATAGTATGTCGTAGAGCTCAGTGAGAACGTGCGGCTCTCTCATACTGTTGAAATCCTGTCCAACGGTCGCAAGACCAATAGTATCCAGTGTCGCCCTGCTTCCAATCTCCCATATATCGATCTCCTTTGAACTGATAGAGTCGGAGCTTGGGACCAGATCACCTTCCTGCAGCATATCCGCCATATCGATAGCTTTCGACCAGAAGACTGGATGCAAAGACTTAATACTACTGTGGTTAAAAGCAGGCAACGAGTCCCTTCTGACAGCCTTATGTTCGTCACCCTCCAGAATGAGAAGAGCTTTTCCAAGGAGTTGACCCAAGAGATGACGTGCAGCGGGCGCTTTGACAAAGTCCCGATACCGTCGCACAAGCACCTCGGCGAGTGCATCAGCGCTCGTGAGCAAAACATGGTCGTTGTACCAGAACCCTGTAAAATAAATCAACCCTGAGTTTGGCACAGATTGGAACATGTGCAGGTAGGCATCGCCACGCGGATCGGTAAATTGAGCTAGCCCGTGGCTGAGAACAGGGGATCCATTCTGAACGGAAATAAGCAATTGAGATTCTATGGTTCCGCTTCGCCGTGACAGCGAAGAGAATTACTCACTTTGGCTCGTGGCACATGCCTCAAAGGACTGAAGTATCGTGGACGGATGTGGGCTCGGTAAATATAAACAGAAAGGACAGCTATGAAATATGCAAGCAGTCGCTGCCGAAGAGTTTGCAAACAGCCATGTGCATATATCGTGACTCCTAACAGACCTGCATGAAAGATAGAATACACGAACATAATTGAAGTCTGTATGCTACTCGACGATGCTTTGACAAGGGTGGCTTCAATTTGCTTATATGTTCTTTTAAATAGCCGATACACAACGCGTCTTCGATGTTCGGGTAATTTACGACAAATATTTTAGATACATTTGCTCCGATATTAAAAAAATCACTGGACGAAGGGCTTCCTTTCATATACGGAAAGTATCTAATCTCTGAGAATAGTTTGCTGTATAAGCGCAATCAGCTCGCCTGGAGTTTGTTGGAGGGTAGTATAGGTCACATGCGTACCTCTTTGGGACTAGCGTCTGTTCAGTTCGTTCCTTCGATATAGCCAGTTCTGATGGCTTATAACAACAAACAACTTCGTATCTTGCTTGTACACTTCATCAAACTTCAATCATATAAACCGGCAGGAAATGTATCCCACCGCTGAGCTAGCTAGGCTACTGAGCTATGGGCACAGTAGAACGAGCAGAGCAGGCAGCGCTTTGATGCCTCTCTACGAATTGGTGTCTTACTTCACCTGCGCGAGGCGCTTATGTAAACCAGGATTGCCTTCTTTCTAGGTGTCTACAATACAAAGTTTTTATGTTACCAAGAGGTGTTTCGTATACAAAATTAACTAGGCAGAGAAAACCTTCAAAGGTAACAAATTGTGGTAGCTCTACCTTCTAAAGAAGGGACTATGCCTAGAGAGGTATAAATCAACATATGAAACTAGCTAACATATCATACTAAACCACTATATAGAGATAGGAAAAGGCTTAGAGGCAGTTACTCTTTAGCTACTTACAATCTACTAGCATATAGACAGAAAGAAATTAACTAAGAGGTAAGAGGAGCTAGATTTGAACTAATGTATAGAGAGAGAGAAGAGCACCACTAAGTCTCTGACCTAATTTCCAGGTGTGAGTGCATACATACCTACACCATTCCCCCGCAAGGCGCTTAAAAGTTCGCGATTTCGCCGCTGATTTGTGTATTTTACTCTTACATTATGACAGCTAGCATAATAACACTGAAATAACTAGATGTTGCCTATAGTTTATATCTTCGAGACTTTCGTAAGAAAAGCAGAGCTATTGATCTCTGCAAACGCTCTGGCTGCACGATTCGGCAGTTCCTCCATATACAATTTCCAGTCTTCCTTGCATTCATCACATAGTTTAACACCTCCAAAGTGGCGTAGTTCGTTGGAGCCGTACGAGTTACGGAACTCGCATTTTCCGCATCGAAGATCGTCGTCGGCTGTTAACATGTCACTCAAGCCGTCAAACATCAAGATGTCTGCAGACTCAAGCGCCTGGTAGTAGCGGTTGCTGCTTGAATGCGCTGAGGTAACCGCATCGATCCGGTTCCAGAGCTTGCGGTTCTGCCGGGCTTGAGAAACGATCTCGGCTGTTTCTTGGTTTCCAATGGTACAACCATCCTCCACATAACGGTAACGCCGCATCGTTATGAATAAAGGTCCGCCAAAGTACCTGAGAAAGTTGGTGACGACACAAAGCTTCGGTTTATTAGCCCAGGCACAGTCTAAGGCCCATAACACCTCACGGCATCGCCGGACCGCTGGAACACGTAGTTCTGAGGGACTGTATTGGAAAGTGTTGTTCGTCTCCCCCTCAGAGCGATGTTTGAAAAAAGCGACAGCGTCGTATAGAGTGTCACCAATCTCACATAAGACCTCAAATTGCTGCTCAGTAAACCACATGTCGTCTAGGTCGTTGCATGCTAGCGCCGCAGCAATTGTGAACCGCGCTAATGCATCTGCGTCTCGTAGGCGGAACCACTGACGTGGAGAATGTGCCAAAGCATTGACATATCTTCTAAACAGTCTATCCTCGCGCCGGTCGCTGGTTTTATCGGCAGTGATTAGCAAGAAGCTGCGGTATTCTCGTGCCATCTCTGCGCTAACACAATTGCAATCAAAACGTTAGCAAAGGCGTGGATATTGAATACACTGCGTGGTACGAATCGTGGCAGTTTGTTTCACTTACTGGCCTCGAGTGCCCATAAAGAGTGTGGCGAGTACCTCGTCAAGATTGTAGCCTAGCATGTCCTCTCCAGACATGACGTCAACCAATCTGCCACGGAATTCGGCGATGGTGCCGATGACGATGATGCGCATGAATGCAACATAGCGCTTCCAGTTGGTGTATGTTGGAATCACAGTTCGGGCATATTCGAATGCGGTCGTGAACACTTCGTCCTTGGTCTTCTGTGGGAGATCAACTCCTTGCAAATCATTCGCAAGCACAGACGGATAATGCCAGTTGTCTGCAGTCGTAGTGCCCTCTCTCTTATCAACTCTGATATAAATGTTACTGTACGCAACTAGAACGCACAATTATGTGGTACATACTCTACACGCACTAATGGCACCACTGGTGATCCATTTAATTTCCGTGTCGTAGCTGAGGGGACAGACGCTGCGTTTGCATCCACTATCGTTGTTGTGTCGATTTGACCCATGGTAAGAAAATGACAAAAATGCAACTCATTGTATCCTATCACGCATTAACTAAGCTTATATGACTGGACTGGATTTGACTTCCGGTGAATCCAAGCAAGCCTCGGGGAATTCTCTGATGTAGACCCATCATAGATTTTACCCGGACTGGAAAAATGCCCGGCGATTTTTTCCCATCCTCCTACAACATAAAAGGCCGATCAATCTTAGCCAACAACAAAGAAAGATATATTGATATTCAATAGTGCTCTCATGCCCAAAGCGCCCATACAATTGATTATGGATCTATTGTCTTACATGGAGCCCTATTGGGTCAAAGCATCATCTATCAAAGGCGTCACTTTTTTGAATATACTCTGGACATCAATCTTAGCTGTATGTCCCTGGTGCATGTTCTTTCGCGAGTCTGGCTAACCTCAAATCGTCCAGTTTGCCTTATTTATCCTCGTACTCTATGCGCACGCAAAGCTTTGGCATCCTTTGCGTCATTTCCCTGGTCCATGGATTAATAGCATCTCTCCGCTACCTGCCGCGTTCATGCTGTTGATCGGGAGGCAACACACTTATTATTACAAGTTGCATTTAAAATATGGCGGGTCACCTACCGAGGAGCCTATCTTGACTCAGTATTCTGATAGCAATGCTTGTCTATAGGTCCTACCGTGCGTGTATCTCCAGATGAGGTTGTTTTCTCGGCAGCAGACGCTTGGGAAGATGTTTATGGGTACAGGGTATGTAGAGAGATCATTCTTTGAATCTTACATCTAATCACTATGATACAGAAGGGAGACGTCATGGAAAAAAGCCCAATTTTCATCGGAGTCGTATCTCCCATGAATGGTTGCGTTGGTATAGGTCTTGCAAAAGGCAAAGAGCACGCTCGTCAACGACGTGCACTGGCTCCCAGTCTCTCGAAAAGTGCACTGAAGGGGCAGGAAGCGATCCTCCAAGTCCATATCATCAAGCTTATTGCCGCAATCCGCAACATGATACGAGCCAAGCAAGAGGTTATAAACATGGCAGACTGGTGTAAGTGTACTTAAATTAAGCAGCACATAAAGCATAGCTAATCATAGTTATAAAGACTCTTACATCACCTTTGATGTTATCGGCGATCTCTGCTTTGCTGAGCCGTTTGGCTGTTTGGATCAAGGCGCAGCAACAGAGTGGTCTACATCCGTCAACAATGTCCTTATTTCAGCCACCTGGGATCAGGCCATTCGAAGAGCTGCAGGTGTCGATAGCTGGCTCAGAAATCTTCTGCTCAGGTTTGTCCCAAAGGAAGTATCTCACTGGAGAATGACTCACATGAAAAAATCGCAAGAAAAGACATTAGCGCGTAAGTTGTTCTTGCAATGCTACTCCGCAACGCAATGCCTAATTTGTGACATAGGTCTTGCCAACAAGGACTTGCCCCGCCAGGACATCATGTACCACTTACTTCAGCAAGAAGATCAGCAAAAGGCGCTAAAACCTACGGAGATCATTCTTAACATGGTTCTGTTTGTCGCCGCTGGATCAGAAACGACATCAATACAGCTTACCGCAATGACACATTTGCTTTGTATGAATCAGGATGCATACAAAAAGGTTGTCGAGGAGATACGAGGCAGTTTCAAAAAGGCTACGGATATCACCCTCGCCACCGTGATGGAATTAGTATACTTGGAAGCATGTGCTGCCGAAACCCTTCGTCTCTACCCTCCTGGTTCCGTCGCAGGCCAGCGTATTGTACCTCGTGGAGGTGCTAAGATAGACGGACACTATGTTCCAGCTGGGTGCACCGTGTCTGTTTCGCCTTGGGTGGCGGCCCGTTCGCCTCTAAACTTCGCCGAACCCGACCAATTTCGTCCACAGCGCTGGTTCAGGGAAGGTGTATACTCGCGAGATAAGTTGCATGCTGCACAAGCCTTTGGATACGGACCAAAAAGCTGTTTGGGTCAGAATCTGGCTCAGTTCGAGGTCAGATTGATCATGTCATATCTATTGTTTAGCTTTGACATGGAACTTACTCAAGGTCCAAGACACGCAGAGGATAATAGGAAGTGGTCCTGTACTTCAGAGGAAAGTGAAATAAGGGTGTACCAGGCTCTACTGAAACCGAACCTGTGGATAAATTTCAGGGAGAGAAACTTATAACGCCCCTCCCTAACTGGCGAAAGAGCCTGCGCAAGGAAAACTAATCGTACACCGTACTACATCGGCAGTCACGCTTTGGTAGCCGGAAATTCAGCGCAGACATGGCAGAGAATTGTAGTAGGGTTATCACATCGATATTCGAGGGTTATTGAGTCTCAAATTTCAAGAAGAGATGACAAGAATATGTACGCCTGTCGGTAGTTCTTGATATCGTGGTGTCTAACAACAATAGCGGTTTCGCGTTAACCCAAGGGTTCTGCTACACGCTATTGTTCTTCCTAGGTAATTTTCCATGTTCCTTGAGTAATTGGTTCTTTTTGATACATAAAAGACGATTTGTATGATGCCATGTCTTGACAGCCCGCCAGGTTCTGTCGCGAAAATCACTAGTGTATATTTTCCTGCATCAACGCAAAACTAATGCTAATCTCTCAGCATATTTTTCGTCTTAGTTTGGACAAGAGTCGGGTCTTATGGCTATTGGAACGTCGATAAATACCGCACAGTGGCCCGATCACCGAAAATTCACCGGGCTGAGCCCAGGCGAAATTGCCCGATCGGAATTGCGAGTCAATTTTCAGAAAGATTAAATGGTTCAATTCCTAGGCCGGGCCCTGAGAAGGCAATACATGTGGGTGTCATGACATGTTCCCATCATTCATGGATGTCTGAACTTGGCCATCTCTCCAATCACCCTAAGACGACTCCGACGCCCACTCAACGTTATCGACTTTACTTTGAGCTTCGAAAGCAAAGCGACAACCATGCTATCCGCCCTAGTGGATATCTCCAACAGCTCGGTATTTACGCTCACTTTTGGGAGTTTGTGTCTCTGGTATTTTTACGAATCTCTTTGTTCATGGTACCGGCTCCGACATATCCCCACTCCATCTGTACTAGCCTCATTTTCATACTTGTGGCTCGGACGCCATACTTTTAGTGGGAAGCAGTATTGGGTACATCGCGAGCTACACGCCGAACATGGCCCGTTTGTGCGGATCGGACCAAATGAAGTCATGACGGACGATGTGAGCGTGATCAAGCAGATATGCTCAGCACGTAGCGCCTATCAGCGGAGTTCATGGTATCAGACCGGACGCTTCAACCCTTATCACGACAACCTCCTCTCAATTCTTTCGACACCCGCACACAGAGAGCTGAAAACAAGGCTTTTGACCGCTATTGGTTCACGAGAAAATCCGGGAATTGAGCAAGCGATAGATGAGCAGGTCAAAACACTAATTCGTGTGATTCGTACACGATATGTAGGAGTTCCATCTAAGGAAAAGCAGCCGCTGCTAGACTTGGGCCCTATCTCATTGTTTTTTACTATGGACGTTACAACGCGTCTTGTCTTTGGGCGAGAAATCGGAGATATGGAAGATGAAACAGATCACTCCGGGTTTTTGAAGCATGTTGCAGACCTCTGGCCTCAGATGTCGACTTCAGCTGATGTACCTTGGATACGCAAGGTTATCTTCTCTCCGTTGTTCCTGAGACTTCTGGGACCAAAGGTTTCTGATGAGAAGGGCTTCGGTAAACTCATGGCGTAAGTTCCGGCTTGAGAAGCGTCAAAAGGAAAAGCGTAGTTGATACATTCTGCTAGGCTTGCTGAACGCCATGTCGAAGAACGATTCAAGACTGGGTATAAAGATGAAGTACAAGATATGTTGGTAAGTGTAGAAGGCCTGTGTAGCTGTGGATATGGGTTTCGCTGACATTAAGTTCGTAGTCGTCAATGATTCGCAACGGCTTCAATCGCCAGGAGTGTGAAGCCCACACTTTGTTGCTGCTGCTATCAGGAACTGAAAGCACCGCGTGCGCTATCCGTGCAGTGCTTAGTTATATAATTACCACGCCCTCAGTATACTCACGGCTAAAAGAAGAGATCACTTCCGCAATACGCGATGGTATTGTCTCCTCACCAATAACATTTGCTCAAGCCAAGAGACTTTCATACCTTCAGGTAAGCACACAGATATTTTCTCGTTCACCTGCGCTCGTAATTAATGCTTCCAATAATATAGGCGGTGATATACGAAGGCATTCGGATGCGCACCCCTCTACTCGGCTTATGGCCCAAGTGGTCTGCTTCTGACGAAACGTTTCTTGGAGTATTCATTCCGGTGGGTACATGTATATGCATGAACACATCTGCTTTACTGCGTTCTCCCAAATTATTCGGTCAAGACGCCGATATCTACAATCCAGAGCGATTTGTGTCTCTAGATCATGAAGCCCGTATGGAGATGGAGCATCATGTAGAGTTGGCTTTTGGATCGGGGCAATGGATGTGTGCGGGAAAGAATATGGCCTTTATGGAAATCAACAAGATCATCTTCGAGGTAAGCATAAAAGCAGAGCAAACAGTTCAATACATCTTCGTCTCTTCTCGTTTACTAATTCGGACGCATTATTTGTTCATAGTTACTACGAAACTTCGATATCCAGATGGCTAACTCTATGCTACCGCATAAGAGCGAGAGCTATGGCGTATTTCTTGAGTCAAATATGTTTGTTAAAACCACAGAGAATCTTAGCAGATAAGGAAGTGCTTGGTATATACGAGGAAGCTGGTATTTTTACGTTGTAGAGGCTCTGCGCATCGCGTTAGGAGACCCACAGCCGATGACTCTGAGCCTTCGAGTTATAACTTCATCCATCCTTCCAGTGGCAGCTTTACTGCACAGTATGCCAAAACTGCCTATGTGAGAACTCAATGAACCCTACCTTGCGGCATGTTGTGGAAGCTAGCTGTCCTCTAATAAACGTACGGCCAGACTTTTGCTCCTGATAATCCTGCTAGTGTGTCAAATGTTCAAGGTTAGTTTCAAATCCCTTACTAATCGATAAGGATGTAAAGTCGCATATGGCATGACGCAAATCGAAAAAAAAAAAAGCTTAAAGTCCCAGGCAATGATGTGGAACGTTCTGAACCATAACCGAAGTGGCAACTTCTCCCTCGAGAGAATTGCGACGGGCTGACTGAACTGTGTATAGTCACTCATGTCGGATCCATGTATCGTTTTGTAGTTTACTGAACCTCATTCTCGTCAAGGTTTCGGTGCTTATCCTCTTGCCAGCAGATATTCGAAGCATTGAACGACGCACACGCTTGTGAACAGACCTTTTCGCCTCTGTGGCGTTTGATGCATTGGTCTCGAAGCTCGGCCGACCGAAGATACCGCAAGGAGTGCCGAGCACATCGTGAAGTTGATCGCGCCGCGGCTTGATGTATCAGCATCGGCTGCTGGTACCCAGAAAAATTCCGTCACGAGCTCGTGGTGCGACGGTGAAGCATCGGAGGTCAGCCCTGTTCAGCCGCAACACCAAGCGAAGGCGCTGAATAAGCGCGCCCAACATCTGCACGAGCCACGAATAACGCTGCGCATCCGCCCAAGGAACAGGGATCTCTGCCGACATGGACTCCACAATCACATGCTACACAGAAACATTTCTCGTGTTTCCTTTCTTGGACATGTCTCAACAACATGCACAACCGTTCTTGTTGGCGCATGGCTGCGGCACGTAGGACCAATTCCGCGTGTCTGTCACCGATAAGGGGACTGCAAGGCCAATTGACGCTTTTGAGATGAGGGGAACCATGGTGGTTCGGAAGGAGAAGAGCGCTTTGTACGATGTATGTACTCATTCCGTGATTGTTTCGAGTTATGGATTAGGTATGGGGGTGCTCAATCTGTGGCACCGTTCAAGGCATGAACGACTATGTATGCATTGTTTGCAAGGAACACTTGTCGCTGGCATGCGCTTATGCAGTATCAGAAGTTGGATAAGTGACAGGTCCCAGGCTGAGTGGCAGTTGTCGTTGCACATGTAAATTGACTTTCAATGACACGGCAGGGATTCACGCCGGCAGTCCCGCTCTTCGCTTCCAGAACCATCGACTGCCTTGTTCATCCCGCGTCTAAAGGACCGTATTTGATCCACTGTAAAACTCGCAGAGCGTCCTCCTGAAGGCGATGAATGGCGTGGCGCTTGTTATCGTGACGTTGAGTGGCCAATGCGGCTTTCACATGCCAACTTGCTGCCTAGCACGCCTCAAATCTTAATGCAATGTTGCGAGAACGACTCTTTGAGGAGTACAGATGCAAGGTGCTAGGTTGACACTGCCATGGCCTTGTCGTCTCCATTATTGATAACGACTTCCTGGGTATTGTCGTGGTCAAAAGGCACCTGGGCAGGAAGTTTCAAGGTTTGTTTGCGTGCAGGTGCGTCATATCGATAAGGTTGAGCCACTTTCACATGCAATCCGTCCCGCTTGATCCATTCACGCCATTCTTCCCACCGTTTTCAGCATAGACGCATCGCCCAATCAGCCCAGCACGCACTTCCACCGCGCAATACCGGGAACCGTGCTCGCATATAATAAGGTAGGTTGGAAAGATATCCTTTTTCCCACGTTCTCCCATTCTGACATCTCCTCCACAGCTTGTCAACTTTCTTCCACAGACGTTACCACAAACAATTGTACAGTGAACACTGCATTCCTGTAGCCTACTTCTTTGCTCATGACACCCCACGCCACAGAAGACTCTAAATCTCCCAAATCCAACATGAGCAACGATAGCGCCCCTCTCACTAACGGCGAGACGCCGCACTCCAAGTCGTTCTCGGTGAGTTATGAGCTCTGCATTCTTCACAACACCTTATCTGGCCCAACACTCCCAACGGCTATCGTAAGACGGCAACATCCGGAGCTTTGTGCGAGTTCCTAGTTGGCAATTTGCATTGGACCACTTACACCACACCTCGCTATCACGATGCATGCGACGGGCGTCATAATCGGGCCAATCATTCACGTACCGAAGTTGACACCCTGCTAACGCTCCAATCAGCATCTCAAGACCTACCCTGCCTTCAACGACACATACGAGGGATTCAAGAACACCAACATCGGCGCTAGTACACTCAACATTGCATCCAGCACGTACAACCGCTTCGTCGCCCCCTTCCACCCCTACTTGCAACGCCCGTACAGCGTGGCGCACCCGTACTTGACCCGCGCCGACGAGCTCGGTGACACCGGCCTCTCCAAGCTCGAGACATATGTCCCCGTCGTCAAGGAGGACACCCAGGTCCTCAAGAAGTATGCCTTTGCGCCGTACAACTACGTAGCGGGCACCTGGCAAGAGCAGTACGAGCGCACGTCGCACCAGAACGGGCTCGTCAAGACTGGCCTTGCGGTCGTTAGTACCGAGCTCAAGATCTTCCAGGACGCTTGCACCGTCTTCCTCGACTACTGGAACAGCTCCAAGGGCGGCCAGAAGGTCAACGAGAAGGTGGAGCAGGTGAAGCAGTAGTGTGCGGACCAGTGGTTCGAGTTCCGCAAGCGAAAAGGAGAAGAGTCTGCGGCGGTCGACATTATGCTTTTCAACGCAGAATATCTGCCGGGTAAAGATGGTTTGAGGACACCAAAACGTCCTGTTCTAACCTTGTCCGAAACTCCAGAGGCGGTGCTTTGTGTCAGTGCTGGTGCGCATCCTGCAGATGTTCTAAAGGTGCAAGAAGAGATGTCAGAAGCTGAGAGGCGTCCCTTTCTTGATGAAGTCAATGCTCGCCTGCAAAAAGAGCTTGCGGACAGGGCTGATGAAATAGCAATTGCGAATGAGGCGGACCGCAGTCCACCTTAGTCCTTTTGGCTTACTTTTCTTTTCCAGTATAGATACCTTTCTTTCATAATTTCTCTCGGGTGGGCAAACAGTCTTGTAATCAGTGTCATGTTTGGGTCAAAGCGAGCGCGGATCAAATGAATCATGCCAATATCCTTCCAATCAAACAAGTTCTCCACAACGCTCACCTTACCTGACATGTGACAGTTGATGGACCACAAACGGCCACCGGCACTCCCCGCCTATCGAGCGGAGTCGGCGTTGCATACGATGCAAGCGTACAAGCCTGAGCCCGACCGACTGTGTTAGTCGTCACCTTGATGCACGTTAGCGGCCCGCAATACGGTGCACTGCAGGGTGTGAACGCGATGGAGACGTCGTGAATTTCGTGAATTGATCCCGAGATCGAAGCCGGAGTTTCATGCTTTCATTTTCAGTCCGAAGTACACGCCCGAATGGCAGGCTTTGTTTGAGTCCTGTCCATCCAATGATAATCCACCGACATGCTCATGCAGGATCTCCACGTGTATCAAATCATTGCCCATCTGCGCCCAGCCGTAACCGAAGAAAAGCCTAGAACTGTAAGGGAGTGAAGAACCACCTGTTCTTGCCCGACTGGTATCGCTCCTCGAATGCCTTCTTGACGGTCTTCTTGGCCTCCTCCCGTTGCGAGACCTCCTTGAATGTGTCGGCGGCGAGCACGCCCTTGAGGTTGTCGAGCTCGATGGTGTAGCGGGTGGGCATCAAGTGGGTGTCTGCGTCTATCAGCACATGCCTTGCAACGCACAAATCACTCCAACGTACAGTTGACCTGCTTGACGAAAGGCTTGACCTTGCTCTTCTTGGCCTGCTTGTTCTTTGACATGCGGCGAGTGACCTTGGACGGGTAGCGCTCGATACCGGCGACGAGTGCGTGGGGGAAGGGGTGCGACTTGGTGCCGTTGTCGAGGGGAGAAATGATCACACACTTCTTGCCGGCATAGCGGCCCCGGGTGATGATGACAACGCGTCCGACCTTGAGGCTGCAGAGGAGGTACGTTAGCAGCTGTGCAGTCGCATATTGCGTGTCTGCCGTGGATGCAGCAATTGGCACATTGCGAATATCCCGAGCGGACCAAGGACTCCCCAATATTGCCAATGCAGCATCCAGAGTCGACGTGTAGTAGCGTTCGGGGCACTCACAACTTCATTGTGGCTGTCGTCCGGTTAGTATTGGGTGTTGGTCGTGGAGTTCGAGGTTGTCGTGAACCGAAAATTGCTCCAAGGTTCGTGGGCTGCGACGGCAAAAAGATGAAGCGAGCCCCGACGCGCGCTAGCCACACTAGCGGCTCACCTGTCATTGGCCAGCCCCACTTGCCGCTCGAACTTTTGGGAGCCTGCAAAAGTTCGCGACGCCTGCAGTTGAGCATTTCGCAACACCGAAGCTCGCCCAGTATGAAGATCAAGGCCCTCAGCCGGTCGGCTTCGTCGGCGCAGGCACCTGGATCCAATGTGGCAAAAGTCACGCGCAACCTCGACCCCAACCAGCATCCTTTCGAACGCGCCCGCGAGTACACACGAGCCCTAAATGCGACCAAGGTCGAGCGCATGTTTGCGCAGCCTTTTGTCGGCGACTTTGAGCCCGGTCATGTCGACGGTGTATACTCTTTTGCCAAGGATCCGAATTCGCTCGACCATTTCGCAAGTGGGAGCGGTGATCGGCGTTGTGAAAGTATGGGACTTTGCCGGCAGGCAAGAAAAGTGGCAAGCACAGGCGCATGAAAACCTCGTCAAAGGCATGTGCTGGACAAGAGACAAGAAGTTGATTACCTGTGGTGCGGACCGTCAGGTGCAATTGTTCGAACCATACTCGCAGGCCTCGAAAACAGCACCAAAGGCGACATGGCACGGCAACACAGCCTTCACATCTGTTTCTCACCATCGCACACTACCATCTTTCGCCGCTGCCTCGAGTACCATCTCCATATACGATACCACTCGCACCTCTGGTGCACCAGTCCAGAGCATGGTTTGGCCTTCTGCGATTGACACCATCAACCATGTCTCTTTCAACCAGGTCGAAACTTCAATACTTGCGTCTTCCGCAACAGATCGTCCCCTAATCCTGTACTATCTACGCACTAGTATGCCGCTACACCGCACAGTGCTCACCTTTGCATCGAATTGCATATCTTGGAATCCTATGGAGGCATACAATTTCGCTGTTGCCAATGAAGACCACAACGCATATGTGAGTAGGATCACGGCCGAAGAGGTACCTCTTGCTGATAAACATAGATTTTCGACATGCGAAACATGAAACGCGCGTTGCAAGTGCTCAAAGGTCACGTCGCAGCTGTGATGAGCGTCGAGTTCAGCCCAACAGGAGAGGAGTTGGTGACAGGCTCCTACGACCGCTCGGTTCGCCTCTGGGAACGACAAAAGGGTCATGCACGCGACATCTACCACACCAAGCGTATGCAGAGAGTCTTCTCGGTCGCCTGGTCACCAGACAACAACTACGTACTCAGTGGTTCTGATGATGGTAACGTGCGTCTTTGGCGCGCAAGAGCTTCGGAGCGACAGGGCGTCAAGTCCTATGCTCTGCAGCAGAAGCTACAATACGATGAAGCGCTCAAAGAGCGATACAAGCACATGCCTGAGATCAAGCGCATCGCCAGACACAGACACATCCCCACCACCGTCAAGAAGGCTGGCGAGATCAAGGCCGAGGAGCTTAAGGCGATTAAGAGAAGGGAGGAGAATGAGAGGAGGCACACGAAGAAGGGCCAGACCCGACGAAAAGCGGAGCGAGAGAAGATGGTACTGGCAAGAGAGCAATGATTTTCACATTTTGTAGTATCATCAGCATAGCGTCGGCGTTTCGGTTTCCAAAACATGAGATCACTACAACGATGACACTAGAGATCGTTTCGTATACCCACCAACTCTCTGTCATCCTTTTGATTTTGGGACTCTTTTGACCCAGCACGTGATTGATAAGATTGCGTCATGGCAGATCCGGAACGAAGTTCGACATAGGGCGCATCTAGCTACAAATAGCCGAGCAGAAGCCGAGACCGCGAGTATACAAGTAAACGGCAGCTGTCACTACATTCAAGGCTTTAGCCACATCATCCAACACAATTTGGTTCGACGGATATTACATTCGACATCATGGCTGCCGCAAAATCGCTTAATATCCAAAATGAAAAGCTTAGCAACCTCGGTCTCAAGACTATCACAGACAATGAGCAGATTGTAAGCTACAGTCGAGGTCTCGAGGCTGTATCCGAGAAGAACCCGATTCTCATCTTGATCCACGGATACCCTTCATCAGCATACATGTGAACACTTTCTATTCTGTCATTCTACACCCAGTCGGTCTGACCTCACACAGGTGGCGCCTTCTGATCCCACTCCTCCCGAAGAATGCTCCAATTTTCTGCCCTGACCTCCCAGGCTATGGTGGCAGCAAACCTCTGCCCTCTATGGATAAATTTAGCGTCGGAAAAGCTATCCTAGCATCTCTAAAACGACAGCTCCCCTCAATCTCAACAGACGTCCCAATCATCCTAATCGGGCACGACCGCGGTGCACGCATCGCGCACCGCCTCACCGTCAGTAAAGTCCCCGGCTTCTCCATCCTCGGAGTCACCCTCATCGACATCGTCCCCACAAGCACGCAATGGCACAACGCGTCCAACTCGCCCGCCAAAGCCGCCAAGGAAGTCACCGGCTACTTCCACTGGCCCTTCCTCGCCAACGTCGACCTAGCAACACGCATGATCACGGCCTACGGCGGCGGAAAATGGTGCTGCGAGATGATTGAATCGTGGTCCGGCTCCAACACTCGAGGGCTCGCGAAACTCAAAAGCGACGATAGCTTCGCCGTGTATGCGGGCTTCTTCGAGGACGAACATGTCGTAAGAGCCAGCTGTGAGGATTACAAACATGGCGCGACGACGGATTTGAAGCTGCAGGAGGAGGACCAAGAGAAGGGGAGGAAGATCGATGTCCCGTTGTTGTTGCTGTATGCGAGCGATTTGATCGGGAAGAGGTATGATTTCAGCACGGTGTGGAATGGGTGGGTGCAGGAGGGCGTACGGATTACCAACCATGGGTTGGGAGATGGGATTGGGCATTTCGGGGCGGAGGAGGCGCCTGAGGAGTGCGCGGGAGCGATTGCGGAGTGGTTGGGTGGTTTGGGCATTGGTGATGGTGCAAAGTTGTAGGCTTTCCAACACTGGGCCCAAAAATCCTCATTGCCCTCGTCTATACCATATGCCAAAATTTTCCCGTACAGTCTCGCCTGCTGGAAATGCACTGCGCATTCAACGGTATGTAAGGATCTCGATCAAGTTAGACACCTCCTCGAAGATGGAACTTTCCGGCAACATGATCTCCACCCTAGCAAAGAAACCAGCGATGATGCTAAGTAACGCTCGGTTTTCTTTCCCGCAGTTCTGGCTCGGGTCCTGGAGGATATTCAGCGCGAGCATGCACAAAGCGAGCGTGTTAATGAATAGATGATTGCTATTGTGCAAGGAGTTAGTACAAGCTGATTGCGAAGGATGCTATTTCGTGCAATACGTACCAGTCTTGGAGCAGATAATCGGAAGGGACAGTGTTGGAAACCGTGAGTATTTCCCGTATCGATCGTTTGAGTAGTTCCCGATCTCTAGACTCCTGAGACCCTATTGGAGAAGAGGGTTGTGGATAGAGCAGGCTTATACTTAGTAATTGAAACTGGGCCTCGTGGTAATAGTAGGATATCTGGAGCTTGGCGCGCATGAAGTCACTATAGTCTAGTGAGGGCGTCATTTGGCTAATTCCACTTGCTTTATACCATTTCTCCAGCGCCGTTGACAGCGTCACAGCGTTGTGGGAAAGATCTTCAGATGGCTCTTTCTCTCTGCCTACGCGGAGCTGCAGGATTTTCGAACAGATTTTGGCGTACTGAGACCGAATCTGCAACCATTCTGAAGAGGGTGCAGAATCACTTTGAAGAACATTGTCGGGTGGGTTCTTAGTCGGAAGGGAACCGTCACTAACTATCTGTTTGCTTTGCATTAGCCTTGACCCGATCGGCTTGAGATAACTAGATAGAGCGAGAGCTTACAGAGAAGGTTTGCCATCTCAATGCATGAGACTTATCAATACAGTAGAGTAGCCAGATAGCTCGTTTGGTCTGAACAGCTTGTTCGTCGCTAACACAGAATTTGTGTAGAACAGGTTCAAGATGGAGATTCAGGGAGGCTGCAGTCGAAATACTGCCAAGAATGAGCGCATGTACGTTGTCTGACCCTGTCTTTTCGGCAAGACAGAGCTAGAGAGGTTAGCCAACTGCTTTGCTGTAGGTAGGTAATCGGACTTTTACGAACTAGAGCAACAAGGGCCTAGCTTGAATTAGCAAAACATGCATTGCCATCAAGCGGAAGAACCTACCAAGAACTGACGCACACTACTCTCCTGGCGGAGTAGCAACGATGTAGTTTCCTGCACAGCATCTAGTAACGCTACTCTGGAAACCAGGTTTACTTCCGCATCTAACAAAGCTCCCCAAGCCAGTGAGACGATGAGCAGCGACATGTTGCTAACGTCTATAGGCAGATCTTTTGTCTCGAAACAACGCTCTTGTATATTCGTGACATCTTGCTCTTTGATGAACAGACTCGGTCTGTCTCACACATGAGCTCACACAGCGCAATAGTTGCTTGCTTGGTAGACTTACCCCCCTGGATCTTTGAATGTCCCTTGTAAAGAATTAGCAAACTTCTGGCAGGTGACATTCTAGACATACTCTGAATGAGTTCCTTTACAGGGAGATTGTTTAAATCTAACCCCAGATGCTCTCTGACAGGTTCAGCCTTGGATAAGAGATTAGGGAGACTGGTCTGGTGCTCTGAAGAAAGCAGCACCTTGACTTTATCTAGTACTGCCTGTTGTATCCGGCTCCCTCGATCTGCATTCTGGAAAAGAGCAGTGATTCTGTACGTTTTATACGTTGAGAACGGCCTTGTCTTTGCAGCGTTGAACATTAGAGATGATCGGTCAATGAATAAAGATAGATCGTTTACCTCTGCTTTATCGGCTACGATTCGTTCCGAGAAGAGGGCAAGCGTACACCCACCGCCGCTACTGTCTGCTTCAGTTCCCAGCAAGTCACAGAGCTGAGCAGTGCTATGTTGATGTGGGATTTGGTCGCAGCCCAATTTGAGCCAGTCCATCATGGGCGTGTCGTTTCTGGAGACATAGTACGGCATTTCGTTCTGGGAACTACTCATTTGCTGGCACGGCTCTATTCTCTCGTCAACCATTCGTTCCGCTGTAGGAGGAACAGCTGCCTCAACTAAAACAGCCATAGAAACGTCTCCACATAAATAAACAGTGAACAAGGTGGAAAGGAGGGGGCATTGATTTGTACCTATGATTTGGACTTGGTCGGTACTCGCCATCATTTCATCCGGAAAATCTAAATCCACATACGAGTGCGCGCTGTCGGATACCAACTGCGAGAAATACGACTCGCTAAACGGCGTGTTCAAAGGATTTGCTGAGCCCTGCGTGTCCTGACCAACAACGACCCCTGGAGAATGATCTGGGTCTGAAGAATCAGGCATCGTACTGCCATTTGTTGCGTGCGGCTGTGCTGATGTGGAGACGTCCTTATCGAGACTCTGAATACTCTTGGTTCGCTGATGCTGTCGTGAGCGACGTATGTTGTATTCGCATAGAGATTCGTTTCGCTGTCACAATATTAGTGGCGAGTCTTAGGATCGATTCAAGGTTTCAGCGTACCTGGCAGTGGTTACACGGATTCGCTCCATCGCCTATGTCCCTTAGCGCGTATCTAGATCAGCGGAGAACAAGCTTACATCGAACCTTTTTCTGACGACACTCTTCACACGCGCCTCTCCGTCGAGTCAACTTAGGACGAACACCACTCATTTGGTCGATAAGAGCACCTTTGAGTATGCAGACGAGGAGAAAGGATGGTCCTGAACGACACACACATGCGGGAACTTGTAGCTGACGTATACATCCAATGCCCCGCGGCAGCTACATGTACCTACCCAGGTAGACTCCCCTCCCATGAACAGAGTGCTAGCGTACTTGGCGCGCAAGAGCCAGTGTCAGGACTCTTGCCCGATCGATTTTTCAGAAACCCCTCTGCAGAGAAGAAGCGATCTTTTGGACAAAGTGTGCCCATTTCATCAAAACAACAAGCGGACAAGACTATAATGACGCGATTTGGTGAATGCTGCATGATCAACATTAGGTTGTTGACTGTAGCCCCACTAAGGTGAGGTATCAGAAAAAAAAGGCCCTTTTGAGTACGCCCGCGTTCCTTCGCTTAACACAGTGAAGGACTGAAAATATCCCCGGTCTCTTCCCGCTGCACCGCTCGGCATCTAAACTGGAGCGTCTTTCAGAAAACTTTTCCCCAACATTTGCTACATGCAGTTCTAAACCTTCGAAGCACTTTTCCTAGTGTCTGGAACGAAACTGAGCTGAGCCTAACACATTGTTAACACGTCGGAAGCCATGGTTTGCCTCGAAATGTGACCCTCGCCCTCACTGTTCCTGATTGATTCCTACAACAGCCCTCTCTAATAACTCAGCTTTTGCATCTAGATCATAAGTGGACTATTATCTCACCAGGCCCTTCTTGCACACTGAGCGGGGAACCTTGCTCAGGGACTGTGATGGCGCTTCCGAAGGCAACTTGAAAGACAGCAGTGACGCTGATCGCTGCAAACTCGTGAGTTTGCAACATACATTGAAACCTTGGTGTAAGCAATTAGACAGTTAGGAAGTAAAGATTGCCAACCCCCACGTCTTTGCTAATCGTGAACCCCTACAAAAGAGTCCCAGCACGCGAGAGCGGGACAAAAAGGGTGGAAGGTTGCTTGAACAAGAGTAAATTACTCAAGATGCTTACCTCACCTAGGCAATTTCATATGAGAGGCGCATTACCTAAAGATACGTCCCCCCCCCTCCTCTACCTTGAATATATGCATCAAACTTAGTCGCGTACAAGGGCGGTGCATACCTTTCGAATAGCACCGATACCGAAGCTTGCTAATACCGGGATTTGACTCGACAACGCGCACGACTTTACTTCGGGATCGCACGGCTCGGTCCTTTGCGTGGTCATCTCTGGTCAACTGATGTCAAGAACCACGCCTGGCCTGCAGTTGCGCACTCAAGACAAACATCTGCGGCTTCGCTTCGCATGCCCAGACTCCTGACCTACCGCCTGTTCGTTCACCTTGCATACTTTTTCAGCCAGACACATTGAGGACTACACAGTATCGTTATAGCGGAGATCTTATAACGGTAGACAAATTCGAGTTGCCAGCGGGGATTTCACTGAGCATTCGACACGGGAATAGAGGAAGCAGCGGCGGCGGAGTCGCGATGGGTATAGGTGCCTAGTATCGGGGGTGTGGGGCATGCTGCTCTACAAACAATTAGACTTGCTCAAGACATACTCGGCCGTCGTGTTAAGGCACTTACCTGAAAAGTTGTGGATTACCACGCCAGTCCCATGCCAACTGCCCTCACGTTGCGCCCCTGGTAGATGGATGTAGCAAGATCATCTTATTCATAACCACACTGTTTAGTAGAAATTTGCGACAAGTTGCTTCATGCCGCACTCGCTACCTCACTTTTGTTTTGCGACCTATCTATGATACTGCCATCAGCTCTGACCGGAGTATGTGTATCTAGAGGCGCGCTCATGTTGCGTGCACAATAGAACCAACCTTGCCCACGGAATGGCGTGCGTAAGTGGCTCCGCCAGGTTCGCAGTGAATACAAGAGTACACTAAAAGGTAAGGATAAGCAGCTGCTGGGCATAAACAAACGTATCTATCGGAGTAGGCGATTGCGCTCGGGGAAAAGCTGGTACGTTCCGTCCCGCATATCGGTAGCTAGAACACTAGCGCAGAGTCTATTGCTGCGGCTATCAACCGCTTCCGTAGACTAGACGAAACCTTGCAATTGCTTTCGGACTTTCGGCAAACTTTCGCAACATAACTTTGGCCGCTAGAAACATGGTAAGAAGACGGCGGATGGATGCGGAATGCCGTAGCGGAGACTGACGTGTCATTAACTGTGATAAAGAACCTTACGTGCTATGGACGACCAATCCAGATCGCAAGGGGCGTGGTCTTCTCGGCCATTCTAAGAATACAGTGTATTGGCACGGAGGGACGGACGTTAGATCAATGTATGCGGAGGCACGAAGGAAAGATTACGGCCTCGGTCTCTTTGCCTCTTGTTAGCGAAGCAGTACACTTCCGAAAGCCAAGCCGCAACCTAGTCGATCAGTCGCCATGAGCTGCGGGAAGCGTTCAAAGATCGGACGATTATATGCCGATTTACACTCGTCTTTTCCTCCAAGAGGACAGATTCGCGACGGCCCGACACGACAATAGGTACTCATGACCTAGGATGCGCCTTGGCGTTTGGTGACCCTGCAGTCGGCATTCACACCTAGGTACGGCCCGTAGTCGGCCGCGCAAACAACCCGCCGAGTCACGGCCGACGGAACTATACAACGTGCATGATTTTCCGGTGGCAATGGTTAACCACTTGCAATCCGATTCAGGGTACTCTGGCTTTCTAGCAGGTCTGTGCAGCCGTATGTATAGGTATTTTGGATGTTTTGTCGCTGGTTTGCATCTTTTGCACAAGATGCACGCCAGGCTTTGCTCTCGTAAAAGTTGGAGTGTCTCTCGTTCGATACATTCGAATGAATCAGGCGGCCTGTCCCACATGCACTTGGAAACGAATGCAATGCCATGTGGAGACTTCATTGGTGTCGCCGTAGGCAAGGAATAGACACCGGCGCGGACCCGGAGTAGAAGTAGAAACCTTGTTCGACATCTACGTCGCTGATCGTAGATTCCGGAGCCGTCTCAGAACAAATGGATATCACAGATTCACCGCCTACGATCCAGCCGGTCTGGCACCACTCAAATGTACAACCTGCCCTGAGCCCGCCCCTCCACCCTCCTTCTTCCATCCTAGCACATCATCCTTGCTCTTGCTGACAATGATCTGCCACGGAGGCGGAAATGCATTTCTCAGACCACCAGGCTTGTTCATCCCTTGCAGCCCAACCTTGTTCAGCTTTTGACTAATGTACCCGTTCAAAAATCCCTGAGTGATGAGACTACCACATATACATTCGATCTCCAAGGTATCGAAGTCGTGATTGTACGGCACCATGCCCTCGACACCAGCAAAGTCCGGATCGATGTAGTTCGACATAGACACAGAGGCGTGATCCATGAAGATGTGGCCAAAGTTGCGGCGCCCCGGACCTAGATCCTGCGCGGCCATGGCAGGGTTTCTAATCTTTGATCGACGCTCGAGGAAGTTGAAAGCGTGCACCAGAGCATCCAGATCGATCGAGGACGCTCTGACGCCGCCGTGAGGAGTGATTGCTGACGATGTGCTTAGTTGTCCGGTCAAAAGAAACACTTTCCGAGCAAGCGACCGCCACACAAGGACTTCGCAGTAGTTGCCGAGTTGGTAAAAGCAGCGGTAGCGGATGAAGAAAGGCGCACTTGGATGTGTTTCATCGAGGTCAGTGATGCGCATGAATGTTTCGAGATCGCCCTTGCGGATGGCTTCTGTGAGCGGTTTGAAGTGTTCCCGGAAGCCCTGTGCTTCCTTCATTTCGTACACGCTCTCAGTTGGGAAGCGGCCGAGGATGATGTTGGCAACAGTGAGATAAATGAGTATGAGGCGACGTTGCTTATAGCAGTCTGGATGTGCGTAGCAATTGTCCCAAGCTTCCTGGAGCACTAATTGCGCCCAGTAGAAGTCTGTGTTGGCGAAGTGGTAACGACCAAGGTAGTACAGAAAGGTGACTTGCTGGCCCGGCGGGTATATTCGGAGCGGTGGTGACGAATTCATGATGTTCTTGAAGATGGTGTCGCAGCTCGCAATCTTTTGGGCTTGGAAGAGGATCTGCAAACACATGTTCGCCATCTTGTATATACCTACCTTTTTACCGTCAGGCCGACCATCTTTGATCCCTCCAGGTACCGTGTTGCGGTCGTTTAGACATGTGATGAACGCTTGGCGAACTACATTGGCTGCCTTCTCTGGAAGTGACTCTCGCCGGCCTTCTTCGCTGGTGTTCTCTTCGAGTAGATGCTGAATCAGTTCTGGCTGCTTATCAAGACCCACTGCGACCTTTGCAAAGACTTTTGAGTAAGATATGATTGTAGGCAGCATGAGTATGCCCTTGGTTGGGTGCTGTAGCGCGCTGTTTGCTTGTCTATACGCAATCAGTTATTTGCAACATTGCTTTGCGATGTCTTCAACACGGCTACTCTAAAACTTACTGTAGGAGGTCACTTAGGCTTTGGTATACTTCAAGGATATTGTTTGGGTCCACATCTCTTAGGAAAGCCATCCATGCGACGAGAAATGTGACCAGAGCGCCCCATGACTGTACAGGCCGTCCATCGCTATCTTCACTCTCAGCAGTCTCAGACACGACACGTTTTATGAGTTGCTCGAGCCGTTGGGTGGTGTTACTATCGCCTTCAGGATAGTTGCTTTGTAGTGATTGGATGAGCTCTTCATGGTCGGGTGGGTATGGAGGCTCAATGATCACAATGTCTCTGAGTGAGTTCGCGTTCCAAGCTTGTATGGCACTATTTAGCGCCGTGCAAAGCCGTGTCTCCACATTGTTCTGGTTCTGTCGGAACGCGTTCATGATGTTGTGGTTGTTGAAAGCAGGGAGCTGTTGCGGTCAATGGTCAAACTAAGAGCTTAGCGTCAGGTCCTAGCTTCCTCGCTTACAACACGCGTTATCCCTGCAGTGATCATGACTACCTTTCACGTGCACCTTACGTTAACTCCTTGGCAAGGTATCTATGGGCTGTTCAGGATATTCACTTGGACAGAATTATACTACTAGCCACACCCAAAGAATTCGCACATCGTTGGTCATGGCTTCGATGCCGCATCTTTGCAAAGCAGGCTGAAGGAGAATCTGGGCGGCACCTGGAACGCGGTAAATAATACATCAGGCCTACAGATACCCTCGGTTATGTACCGCTTCAATCGTTCTGTTCACTGGAAAAGGGGCTATCCCGACCAACAACGGATCGTGTCGTAAATCACCTCGTTGTGGGAAAAGTATGGCCTCGACTCTAAGACACAGTTCAACACACGTGTTGAGCGCGTCTACAAGGATCCTCATGGCCACTGAATCGTCCACGACCCATCTCTTAGACGCTTTGACGGTGTCATTGCTGCTGTTGGCACGTGTGGTGATGCTAAAATGCCTACGCTCACTGGACAAGACCACTTCAAGGGCTGAGTGTTGTGGAGAAGGAGGATCGAGAGAGAAATGGGCTGGGGATAAGGAATCTGGTGGATTATGAGGATGCGGAGAGTTGAGTTGGTGGTGGATTCATTGAATTGACCAAGACATGACTTGCCGTCGCAAAGGAAGCCTAGTGATACTGAGAATAACTTCAGGCTATTGGGTGCCCTGGCGTAGTTGATGTCCTACAGTAAATGGTGGTACAAGCTCCATCCCTCCAACATCATCCCGCTCAGTCGTCCAGGTCGTCGAACATGTCAAACGTGGCTTGCGGCTGAGCGGGTCGAGCGGGTCTTGGAGCCTGCGCCTGCACTGGCTCAGCAACAGGCTCAGGCTCAGGAGGCGCTTCTACTACTCCCGCCAGACCCTTCCTCTGCGCCTCTTCGTGCGCCGGGATATCAAAGTCGTCTACATCCTTGCCTCGCGCCTGCCAATACATGAGTTTAGAGAGGTTTCCAATCCTAATCTTCTCCTCGCTGGGCCATGGATACCACGCAATCTGACTCTTCTGAAGCTTCTCCAGCCACTCTTCTTCCTCGGCTGTGACTTCGGCGGGCTTGTTGTCGGCATTGTCGCGGTCCTTGGGGGCGTCTGAGTCTGGTTGTGCGGGCGCGTGGGCTGGGGTGTTTACGCCGCTAGAGGCTGCGTCGTCTTTGTCTCTGTCTTTGTCTGAGGCTGCTTCTGGTGCGCGCTCACGGTATGTGGGCGGGACAGTGTACTGGGAGATGTTTTTCGCATATTGCAAGAGCTCGTCGAAGCGCACAGGGCGGGTGTCGGCGGGGAAGCTGGTCGCTGGGGTTGCGTGCAGCTCGTGGCGCAAAGTTGCTAGGGCGGTCACGGAGGACTTCTTCTGCTCTTCGAGGGCTTCGACTTGGGCGCGCAATGTGAGGATTCGTGCATGGTTTGCCTGGTGCCGGGATACTGCTGCTATTAGCCTGCACTCCTATCAAGACACTTGGCCCGACGCACGCTGATCTAGGCCATGGCTGAGTTGGTCATCGGCTGCGACCAGGTCAATGGCAGCCTGTGGAGATGGGTTGTAGGCAGCAATTGAGTCGACCAAGGTGCTTAGTGCCTTTTCTATGCGATCAAAGTGGGTTGACAGGACGTCTTCCATGGCTGGGTAGTGTGGTGACGCGTCGTATGAGGTGTTGGGGGGCGCTACTTGATTGAGCTACGCCTGGCTGCACTGTCGCGAACCCCACGTGACCGCCAGACAACGCAGCGTTGCGGCGAGGAATGGCAAGGGAATACGCATAGGGCTGGAAATGCAAAGGCGGCAGCGGGCGCCAAAGGCTGGGCGGTGGGTGGTCAACCCGGCTTCACAGCAAATGCATCAGCGCGCGGCCGGCGGCAGAGACACTCGACACGTCCTTCACTGGCCGCGACGGAGGCTATTTCGAGGCGTGGGGTAGGGCGATTGGTGTTGCATCGACTGTGGCCCAGTCGCACCATGACGGAGGGGCCTCGGGCACGCCGCTGGATGTTGGATATATTTGTCGAGCTGTCACGAACTTGGCTTTGAAACTCTTTCGTCACGTTCCGAGCTTCCCTGTCTGCAGGCGTGCCTCTCCGTCTGCAACACTTTGACGTAGCTTCGTGCTGTTTGGTCGTACAGGCTAATCTCCATTGCACCTTCCATACTTTGTTGTGCCTTGCAGCTTCCATACACTGGTACCCCGCCAAACCCAGTACGAGCACAACGTCAGAACGCCGCCACCACCTCACAGCTGACCAACAGCTGCTGCGCCTACCCAGACCCTCTCCTGCTCCCTCCCCGATTCCTGCGCGCCCCGAACTCTCCACCGCTCCATATCCGACTCTTGTTCGTAGCCATGGGTAAATCGTAAGTTTTCCTCCAGCCTCCTTCCACAGCGCAGCCGGCAGCCGGCAGCCATGGCCCTGGATACGCGTGAATACGCTTTCCCTTCACTGCACCCCTCCGGAATGAGCATCTCCAAGCTCCGCCATGGCCTCAGCATTCGCCCGCAAGTACAGCCGCCTCGATCGCCCCGCTCCCGACCGCAGATCGCGCAACCATGTCTTTGCAGACAGACGACGGCGAATACCCCATCGATAAACGCAAGCGCCAGGGTTCTCAGCCGCGTATACCGCTCGGAGCGCATGACGTGCCACTGCTAGACTGCTGCCAACCACCGCCCAAGTTTGCGCGTCTGCACTCCGCCGAGATACCTCACCCCGATGATCCCGGCTACGCCCACTACAAGGCGGCACGCGACAGCGCCTTTGCCGCTGCCGTCCGCTGTTTCGAGAGCGAGCTGGGAGCCCGCTGCGCTGTGGAATTTCTGCACCTTGAGAACGAGAAGCTGATTGTGCGCCACTATAGCCAGAGCAAACTGTCCCAGCAGGAACTGGCAGACCTCCAGAAAGCGACGCACTTCGACAAGAAAGAGCTGCAACAATGGTACAAAGGTGCGCAGAGAAAGGCCAAGGACTGTGGCTGGTATCTAAGTGCAAACAGGTTTCCTCAAGGACTGTCCCTCGGGCATGCTCACCAAGGAGGAGTTCCAGAAGATCTACAAGCAGTTTTTTCCGTTTGGGGATCCGTCGTCATTTGCAGATTATGTCTTCAATGTATTTGACGCGGACAAATCGGGCACCATCGACTTCAAGGAGTTCATCTGCGCTCTAAGCGTCACGAGTCGCGGCAAGATGGAAGACAAGCTTGATTGGGCGTTCCAGCTCTACGACATTGACGGCGACGGCAAGATCAGCTACGAAGAGATGCTGGCGATCGTAGAAGCAATCTACAAGATGGTACAAACTCCCTTGGCTTCAGTCTTCCAGTCTTTCATGTACTCACCCCTTCAGGTCGGCTCCATGGTCAAGCTCCCCGAGGACGAAGACACGCCCGAGAAGCGAGTGCGCAAGATCTTCCGGATGATGGACAAGGACGAGAACGGCAGCCTAGACATGGCAGAGTTCAAGGAAGGCTCCAAGCGCGACGAGACGATTGTTTCAGCGCTCTCCCTTTACGATGGTCTGGTGTGAGGAGGGTCGATACCCCAGTGTCGTTTTCTGTACTTGTCTCATTCGATATCAAAGCGCGTTCATGGGATTTCTAGCATGCCTTACTTGGGTGCCGTATTACGGGGAAGGAAGTCTGACATCGCTCCGGCGTTAGGCACATCACGATTGATGTATATAGTACCTCGGGAAGAGGCCTTGGTCTCGAAGGAAATCAAAGTCTAATTCAATAACCTTTGTTCATGTTGGTGCCGGGATTGCACCGCCACGGGCCGAGCAAGTGCTTCTTCTGCAAGATAGGCTTTACACGCAGCGTCTGGAATAGTTGCAAACTATCGATACAATCATTCCCGTTTGCTCTAGCCAGCCAGACTTTGTAGTCGAACTAGGTGCCGAGGGGCTGATTCAGTGGCTTGAGGTTCGTGCTTGGCATCTGTAACGCGTAACTTGAGGTAACGTTGAGCTCGGGTCGACAGGTAGCTTCAAGAACACCACATTGCTATCACCACGACGCCGCCTCTTGGTGCCACCGGAAGCTGTAACCAATAACCAAGAGGATATCCAAATAGACCATCCTCCGCCAAGAACCAGCCGCTGCTACCAACAGAAGCCGTACTCCGCCCCAGCCGTCCGTCTTACCTACTTTTGAAGCGGACACATTTTCTTTGCGCTCTGCGCCGAAGACACAACACACTACCTTTCTTGATAGCCACAAGATCCAGGAAGCATGCGGCGACCCGATATATCGCCGTCCGGCGCTGCGTTAGCGTCATTGCTGGCTCTTGCAGCTCCTACATCGGCCTTTTACTTCCCAGGCACCGCGCCAACATCGTACAAAGAGGGCGACGCCGTACCGCTGTACGTAAATCGCCTTACACCCGCCGACTCCCAATACGACCCGAAGCTCCGCTCCGTCTTCTCCTTCGATTACTACCATGAGCCCTTCCACTTCTGCCAGCCAGAAGGCGGACCGAAAGAAATACGCGAAAGTCTAGGGAGCATATTGTTTGGCGACAGGATACAAACGAGTCCATTCGAGCTGCGCATGGGCAAGAATGAGACGTGCAAAGCGCTGTGTGAGGCGACATACCAGCCAGAAGATGCTGTGTTTGTGAACAAGCGGATTTACCAAGGCTACGACCTGAACTGGTTAATAGACGGACTGCCAGCAGCACAATTGCTGATGGATCCAAATACAGAAGAGGCATTTTACAGCCCTGGCTTCGCGCTGGGGCAGGTTGGCGACGACAGCCCGGAATTCAACAACCACTACGACATCATAATCGACTACCACGAGGCGAGCGCGAACAATTTCAGGGTCGTGGGCGTGTTGGTGGATCCCTACTCGTTGCGCGACTCGAAGATGCTGGGAGACGGAAAGGCGCAATGTGGCAGCATGAACGACGCTGTTGTGCTGAATGAGAACGCGGAGAACAAGGTCACTTTTACCTACGACGTATACTGGCGACTGAGCCCAACGCCCTTCGCCACGAGATGGGACAATTATCTCCACGTATACGACCCGAAGATCCATTGGTTCTCGCTCGTCACCTCCGCGGTGTTTGTGGTCTTCCTGGTTGCCACGGTCAGCACGATCCTAGTACGGACGCTCAAGAAGGATATCGCTAGGTACAACCGCCTGGACCAATTCGCGCTCGAGGACTTCGGTGAGAATGGCGATGTTGAGGACGGCGTAGCTGAGGACTCCGGTTGGAAGTTGGTACACGGAGATGTGTTTAGGCCGCCGAAGAACCCGCTTTTGCTGTCTGTACTTGCTGGCAATGGAGCTCAGCTCTTTGCCATGACTGCATTGACAATCGGTAAGTCACGAATTACATATAAACGGCATCACTAACACATGACAGCATTCGCCCTCCTCGGCTTCCTCTCTCCCAGCAACCGCGGCGCCCTCGGCACTGTCATCATCATCTTCTATACCCTATTCGGCTCAGTTGGCGGCTACGTCGCAGCCCGCACCTACAAATTCTTCAACGGTGAAGCATGGAAAATACTATTCATTGCCACTCCTTTTGCTCTTCCCGGCCTCGTCTTCGCCGTCTTCTTCCTCCTCAACCTTTTCGTCTGGGGTCGCGGTGCATCAGGCGCAGTTCCATTCACGACCATGCTGGTAGTTGTCATCATCTGGTTCATCATCTCCGTGCCTCTGAGCATCGCCGGTAGCTGGTTGGGATTCAAACAAGCCGCATTCGAACCACCTGTCCGCACGAACCAAATTCCCCGCCAGATTCCTCCCGCGGACGGTTACCTTCGCCCCCTTCCCTCCATGGCTCTGGCTGGTGTCCTTCCATTTGGCGCCATCTTCGTCGAGCTCTACTTCATCATGAACTCGATCTGGTTCAACAAGGTTTACTACATGTTTGGCTTCCTGTTCCTCTGCTTCGGGCTCATGATTATCACTGCAGCTGCTGTAACCGTGATCACGATTTACCTCCTACTATGTGCCGAGAACTACCATTGGCAGTGGAGAAGCTTCTTCACGGCTGGTGCAAGCGCTGGGTACGTTTTCCTCAGCTGCTTGCTCTACTGGGTCAAGGACGTTAGCTGGACTAGCTGGACGAGCGGAGTAGTATATCTCGGATACAGTGCTCTTTTGAGTAGTTTGGTGTTTGTGCTTACTGGTAAGTCTTCCACGTTTTCATCCAACACTCGATCAAAAGCTAATCATCATCCAGGCACAATTGGCTTCTTCGCAAGCTGGCTTTTTGTCATGAAAATCTACAGATCTATCAAAGTTGATTAAGTCCCCCTTACTTGGTTTTCGTTGGCGGCAGCTATCTATAGACCGGATAATCTTGTTGTATGTATGTATAGCTAGATGTTTTTTTTGCCATAGCGATTAGGCGTTGAGAAGACCTCCCAGCTCACTGTTGGTTGAGCAGGAATATCATTTGAACATATTGCTACTCCATTGTTTCCTTCTTGTAGCGCTTCTCTTACTTCGAGATAGTATCGTCTCACCGAGCTGACACGCAAATTTTATTTGAAATTGCAGGTCGCTTAACGGACTTGGGGATTCCGCCTAAAGAGTAAGCTTCCCAATAATTCTTTGCACGGCATGTGAAGGACTATCTTTGCTAGTGTGCATCTGGTATATCGTCTTGGGGATTTGCTTGCTTGTATGAAGTGGGACCCACGTATGGTGACCATGGTACGTGCAAATTCCTACCCAGGCGGTAATCCGGAAGAAACTCGCTCACTCAACACATGTAAGCAGATGTCCCTCGTCAGCTTCCGCACCGGCCCTATCTCGATATTTCTGAAGAGCTGTCAAGATGCGGACTACGTACCGAAACCTTATTCCCGACCCCATCCCCACATGGCGATACCCCAACAAGCTACTCGACGCGGCGATCCATGGCTCCATGATGCAACACCGCCCTAGCGTCAAGCTTCGTCGGCAGTAATGCTTGGGAAGCTTATTTTCCGCTTCCTGGGTTCTAACTATGTATACAAGCATGACATCCCTCTCGACCCTGCTTTCCTTCGTTCTTTCAGACGTCCGACAAAATGCGCCTCTTCACATCCAAATCCTCTCCCTCCCCACATCCCTCCCAAGAAAGCCATGAATCCCCTCCCAAACTCGAATCCGGGCCTGTCGAACCCCAGCCCGCAATCGACCCCATAATCTCAGCGCGCGTCCGCAGAAAACTCGATATCCACCTGATTCCCCTCCTCTCAGCTCTTTACCTCCTCGCCTTCCTCGACCGCAGCAATATCGGCAACGCGCGCATCGCCGGCATGGAAAAAGACCTGCGTCTCTCATCCCCAGACTACCAATGGCTGCTCACCATCTTCTACATCTCGTACATTGTCTTCGCGCCGCTCGCGATCATGTGGAAAGTCGTGCCGCCGCACCGCTGGGCGGCGTTCTGCGTGCTGGGCTGGGGCGTCGTGTCGAGCGTGCAGGCCGCGACGCAGAATTGGGCGGGCATGATGGCGCTGCGCTTTCTCATGGGCGTGGCGGAAATCGCATATGGGCCGGGCGTGCCCTATCTGCTGAGTTTCTTCTACCTGCGACACGAGCTGGGGTTGAGGGCGGGCATGTTTTTGAGTGCGGCGCCGCTGGCGAATACGTTTGCGGGTGCGCTGGCGTATGGGATTACGAGTGGGAGTCCGGGGCTGGCGAAGTGGAGGGTGTTGTTTTTGGTCGAGGGATTGCCGACGGTGTGCATGGCGGGTGTGGCATGGTTCTTTTTGCCGGATAGTCCTGAGAAGGCGAGGTTTTTGACGGATGAGGAGAAGAATGTTGCGCGGCGGAGGGGCGTGTTGCAGGTTGGCGATGCGAAGCGGTTGGGGGGGATTGAGTGGAGGGAAGTAGGGCAGGGGTTGTTGGATGTCAAGGGGTGGATATTGGGGGTAAGTACCAATTCAATACCCTCCACCATCCCAAAATCCTACTCATCGAAGTTAAATACTGACAAAGCATAGCTGATGTACTTCTCCGGCAATGTCGCCTTCTCCTCTCTCCCCGTCTTCCTCCCCACCATCCTGCGCGACATGGGCTTCAGCTCCATCAACGCCCAAGGCCTGACTGCACCCCCTTTCTTCCTCTCCTTCCTCGTCACCATCGCAACAACTTACATCGCCGACCGCACCCAGCAGCGTGGCATCACAATCGCCATCCTGACCGCCATCGGCGGCACGGGCTACATCATCCTCGCGGCCGCGCACTCCGTCGGCGCACGCTACTTCGGCGTCTTCCTCGCTGCAGCAGGCATTTTCCCCGCCATCGGCAACGTCTTGCCTTGGGTTACTAACAACCAGGGCTCAGACACACGACGCGGTGCGGGCATTGTTATTCTGAATCTCGTCGGGCAGTGCGGGCCGCTGCTAGGTACGCGGATGTACCCATCCCACGAGGGGCCGCAGTACGTCAAGGGGCATTCCGTGTGCGCGGCATTCATGTTTTTATTCTGCTTTCTCTCGATTGTCCTGCGCACGCTGCTGGTATGGGAAAACAAGAGGCTAGACCGCAAGTACGGCACGCTGGCGATGCAGAGACAGGCTATGCATGAAGCGGCGGCGAGCGGAGAGGAGAAGGATGGCGTTGGTGTGGAGAATTACGGGCCGTTGTTTAGACATGTTCTTTGATTGGAACTTTTTTATTATAATATATATATGTAAGTTTCATGGTAGCAGGAAACCTGGTACCTTGTTTCATTCAAGCCAAACTCCGAATCTCTTACATATCGATGTTTCTACATTCCCTCCCAAAACGCCCGGTTCCCATTTCTCCTACCATATCCATCCCTTCCTACCCCTTCACACAGCCAAATGGCTCATCGTCTCTCCTTTGCCCACCTGCGGCCCCAGCCTCGGCAGCGGCGTGTACTTGGGCTTCTGATTCTGCACCGGCGTCCGACTGCCCTGGCCTGGATACGCCCTCTTCTTCTGCTCCACGGGCGGCGTAAACGGCTTCGGCTGACCCGGCTTAACGACCGTCTTTTTATCCGCGGGATACGAGCGCGGGAGGGAAGCAGAGCGTGCGGGAGGTTTGAATGACGAAGGTGTGTTAAGAAGGGCTTTCTGGCCAGTTCCGACGACAGACTTCGCCCCGGTTCCCAGTGTGCTGGACGCTTTCTTCGTAGTGTTGTTGACTTGCTTCTCGCCTGGATACTTATTCGCACCCACGGGAACGCTCTTCCCCACCGCACTCACTTTACTCCCCGCCGGCACCGAGTTCGAGCGCTTGACCACGGCCTTTCTTGCCGTCGAGGGCAGCGCCTTGGGCGACGGGTGGTATGTCTGCCCGGAGATGGACGTCCCGTAGCCGGTGGCTTTTTTCTCAATGCCTAAGACACACACACACAGTCAATATCAGTAATGGTGAAAGGGGGAAGTAGCATTCAAACGTACTGTTCCCAACCCCCCTCCCGCCATTCTCAATCGCATCTCCCGCTTTGATCAGCGCGTTGCCCGCGTATTCGCCTGCGGACCGCTTTCCCGCGTCGACGAAGCCCGAGACCGACGACCAGAGGATGTTTTGGATGAAGCCTGCCATTGTTTGGAAATCGCTCACTTGCAAATCAGATGGCAGTTCGGAATGGTGGAATGGGCGGGTTCAAAGGCGACTAACAGGGTCGCGCCATGATGCGTCTTCGTGCGCCACATTGATGCGAACAAACCCTGTTTCCCACCTCTGGATGACCGTTGTGTGGTGCAAGATGACGTATTTGTGGCACGGCTGGGAGCAGGGATCGGACGGGCTGGAACGGGGACGGGGACAGGGGGGGAAGTGTCGATCAGGGTTTCTTGGGTGGTGGGTGTGTGGAGAATTTGAAGGGGATTTTCCTTTCCTGATATGCTTGAAATTTTGTGTATTTGAATATTGTACAACAGCGAAGTATGTATGCTACTTGATAACCTTGATGTAATCGATTCCCCATAAATGATGTGAAATATCCCAGTCCTTCTCGGACGCCCAAAAAAGAACGCAAGACTCCATCTCACAACTTCCTAGGCGCAGTACTCGTGCCTTTTCCCTTCACTGGCGCTCCTACGGTATTCTTCGCCGTCACAGGAGTCTTCTTCACCATGCTGGACGCCGCCCCATTCAACTTCGCCGGAGTACTCTTCTGCGCATTCACAACTGACGGCACAGGCTTCTTCTCACCCACGCCCTTCCCATTCGCATTCCCAACCGCCTTCTTCGCCCCCTCTTGCACCGCAACCCCTCCCCCCGGAGTAATCTTAATCGGTACCCCCGACGCCGTCATGACTGTCTCCCCCTTCTTCTTCTGCGCCTCTTCAATCTCATCCTTTTCAATCTTGACTCTCATGCCGTTCTTGAGCACAACCATGCCTGTTTTCTTTGCGTCTGAGACGTCGGTGGAGGGGACTTTGATGGTCACGCCTGAGGCGAGGGTGATTTCTTTCATGGGGCCGGTTGGGGGTGCAGGTGCGGGTTTGCGTTTAGGTTTCGATGCTGGCGCTGTTGTTTGTGCTTTCTTCACAGCTGGGGCAGTTTGTTTCGCGGGCCCTACTCGTCTTGCCGTCGGGGCATTCACAACAGTCTTCGCCCTCCTCTCCGTCGTCGGCGCAACCATCGTCTTCGTCAGCGCCCGCGGCACCGCCGTACTCGCCCTCCTATACCCGCCCGGCAAAACCGCACCACTTTTAATCGCCGTCTCCTTGACCAACTTCGCGAGATTCTCCTGCGTCAGCTTCTGCACCTCGGTCAAATGCTGGGGCTCCGCAGCCTGCATTGCGCCCATTTTCGCCGCCCCCTCGATCATCTTCTCCAGCTCCTCCGGACTGGGCAGACCCTTAACTTCGCCGCCTTGCCCGAGTAGTGTCTTGATGTGCTGCTCGAAAAACTCCTTGCCGCCGGGGATGGGCAGGTCTTCGGGCGACGCGCCGTACGCGACCGTCAGCGCCATCATGACGCTTGTAATGGGCGCGAAGATCTTGACGAATTCGTTCCAATTGCCGGATTTCACCTCCGTTTCAATTTGGACCGCGGGCCGTGGGACGCTGCGGATACTTTTACCGCCCTGAGAACTCTGGCTACTCATGTCGAGGTGGTCTTTCCAGAAGTCCTCGGCGGGGAAGCGCGTGTTGCGCGCGAAGTATTCGAGCATGTAGTCCTTTTCGCGCCAGCGGTTGCGCAGCCAGACTTCGAAGGCGGCGGTGTTTTGCAGCGGGATCGTGGAGAGGTGGAAGCGCCGCCAGTGCATGTTGACGGATTTGGGCGGCCGGCCTTCGAAGAAGGTGGAGCGCAGCGTGAAGATGTCTTGTCCGAATTGGCCGGGTGGCACACCTTCATAGGCGATGGTGCAGTCGTATAACCACTCGGTCGTGTCCTTCAGCTCGTTTAGACAGAATCTCAGGCCTGTGCTGCGAGGCAGAAGCTGATGCTTCATATCCTGCAGATTGTTCTTCTCCGCCCACTTCTTGCTCTTCTCCCTCGTCGTTGCGGAGAGATTCGTACCCTCAGGAAAGATAATAAGCCACATCGGATCGTTTGGCTTATTCAATTTTCCCAGATGCTTCTTGAACGTCCTCTGATCCTCCTCCCAATTCCTCGCCAGGAAGATGAAATTGTAGAACTGCGCACTCCAGCCGATAATAGGAATGTTTCTGAGGGACTCTTTGAGGATGATGTAAATGAACCCGTGCATGCTGTTGGTATATGCAATCCACCAAAGATACAACCAGTCAGTATACAGCTGATGATTCGCCATCAACACCATGCGCTCCGCAAAATCGCACTGCAGACTCCCATCTTTCTTCTTGGTCATCTGGCCCACCATGCTCGAATCTCCACTGACCCTCACCACTGTCGGCGCCCACCATTGCGTGAGACAAGTGACGAGAATCGCAAAGCTCTCCTTGGTATACGCCATGTACCCTTCGTAAAACTGCGGATCAATCAGCTTCAACGGCGCCCCGAGGAACTGCGAAGCGCTGATTCTGCTTAGACATTAGCTGCAATGTTTGGGGTTCGCAGCAGTCTGATGCATACGCCAAAACCCCAGACAAAAACGTCGACGCCAGCGTAAACGCCCGCTCTGCCTGCGTCAACTCGCCATACCGCGGCGGGCCCGCAGGATGCGCCGCGATATTCTCCTTGCTAACCCTCAGACCCGCGCCCAAATCCTCTCTCCCCTTTTTCTTGAGGGCTTGTCTGGCCGGCGACATGTTTGAATCAGAGCGCGCGCAGGATGTCGGATGTGCACATCGCGAACCCAAATGCCGTCAGGTCATATGGGAAAGTCAAGGCGATCGAGAACAGGATGACGATCCATGTGAGTGTCTCCACTGATGTGGGAAAACCCCTGTCGTGTTGTGCCGCTGACATGACGTAGGTTGTGGCGCTTGCTTCCCACTTTGTGTGCCACCTCAAGTCAAGATATTGAGGTTGCGTCGGATGGCGAAAAGCGCTTGTGTCATTGTTCCCCCATCTGCCGTGTACTGGTTTCGTACGTCTGTCGTGGAAGGGCATACTTGATCGCTACTTATTTCCTGCTTTTATTCTTCGTTGACAACTTGCATCGCAATCTGAACAAAAGGTCAGTATTCAGTACTTCAACTCCTAAACACCTGCTACATATACCCCTGTCAACTCGACGTATGCCCAGACTTGCACGCGAGCAACGCGTACTCGCACTTGAATCCCAAAGCTGACGATTCGAAGAACATACCAAACTTCATCAAACACTCACATCAAAAATGCCTGCCGCCTCAGTCGCCTCCGCGCCCGTGAACCGCACAACCAACCGTGCCCCAGCATCGCGAACCAAGAAAGCCACCGGCACAGCGACCAAGAAGGCTCAACCCACCAGCAATGGCGCGCCCAACGGCGCCAACCCCAACATGTCGCCGTACACGATAATGGCGTCCAGGATCGCCAACCGCGTCGCCGAAATGGCTGAGAACATCACATTCGTCGAGCGCGAGAGGTACGTCAAAGCTACCTCACGTTAGCGGCCGTTGAGAAACAGCTCAACGGCTACGCTACCCAACCGTCGCCCTGTCACCCAAACTAACGCTTCAACAGACCTGGCCAACAACCTGCCCAGCAGACCCCCTCGCCCTCCAGCACCACCAAGAAGCCCCCCCGCAAGCTTGAAATGCGGCTGCCCAACAACGGGCAGTCGCCCACGAATGTGACCTTCAGCGCGCCGTTCCTCGACAACACGTTGGCCAAGCTGCTGACGCTGCAGAACCGCATGCTCAAGGTGAGCAACGACATTGCGGCGAGCGCAGATGTGGACGAGCAGACGAAGCAGGAGCAGTTTGCGCAGAGCGCCGAGTTGTCGCGGATTATTGCGCTGATTTGTAGTGAGAAGGCTAGGCAGGGGGCTTAGATGGGAGACTTGGTGGGATGAGAAGGGGGTTGATTGTGTTTGGGTATTTCTTTGGGTTCGAGATGTAATGAAAAGGTCTCCTTGGTTTTGGGTATGTAGTGTACGATCATCGAATATCGCTGGAAACAAATGAGAAAAGAAAAGAATTCCATTCTGTTAGTCAGTCCGTCCGGATCTCGTGAGCGTCTCCAAGCCTGGTGATAACTCCTGGTTGCCATGTTGTTGGGCGACATGGTGATAGTCCGCAGAACAGTGAGGGTAGTCTGCTTTGTGTTGGTTATTCCGTTCACAAAGTATGGTTGCGCCTGGCGGTGTCGGCTCTAGGAGTTGTACCAAGTCGTCTTCTTAACATCCGTCGACTGCCACTCAGACCGCTCCAGCAGGCGGCCATCATTCAGCCTTTGTCCACTATTACCATCGTTAATATCGTCACAACACAACAGTAAACAAAGCACTAACCAACAACTGCACAATAATATACAAGCGTAAAATCAACTCGCAAAAACCGCTGCGTACGTTACCTCTTGGTCTTCGCGGCCTGTTCTTCTGCAAGACGCATCTTCGCTCTAGCGCTCTTGGAGCCACCGAGTTTCGGCCCTTTTGGCGCGTCTTTGGCTGCGGCTGGTGCGGGTTTGCGCTGCTGCTGTCGCGCGTCTTCGACGGACTCGTAGTAATCGGCTTGGAATTGGGCGAGGAAGGCGTCGTCGTTGTTGGCAGATGCAGGAGTGCGCAGATTTGCGTATGCTTGCGCATCAAAGTAGTCCACTGTTGGTGTTAACAAATGCTCGCGATGTCGTGCTCAGCTATCTTACGCTTGGCTTCACTCAGCACTGCTTCGACCATCTGGTCACGTCGAACATCATCACTGTTTCTCCGCTTCGGTGGTCGTCGAGGTTTGCCGTCTCTGCCTAGTCGCACTTTGCCCGTGGCTACGTGCTCGAACTCGCCGTTCTCGAGACGCCTCCACTTCTCGTCTGTTCGTTTCGGGACGGGTGCGATGTCCACTTCCTCAATCTTGCCCATGCCTGCTGCAATGCGAATGCTGTGTTCGATATTTGCGGGGCTCTGGGTCTCTGCTGATGGACCTGACTGCGAGGAACTTGTAGTGATTGTATTCCTCAGATCAGGTGCAATCTCCGCTACGGTAGCTCGGAGGTGTGGTGGAATAGGCCAGCCATACTGGCGGAAGTTCTGTTCAGCCAGGCGAGCTTCTACAAATTTCGTCCTGGTACGTTAGAGAGTGTCCTTTATCGCAGCCCGGAGTACCGCAATTTCCACTCACATCTGCTTGTCGTCTCTGTCCACGACCTGACCGGTCTGCGCGACGAAGCGACTCGTATAGAGGCCCTCTCGCGGTGCCTCGATGGGAACGAGCTCGGTTCTGGGTGTGTCTGCTTTGCGCAAAACATCTCTCAGCCGATCGCGCGGGCGCTTCCGGTTCCGTATGATGTCTCTGAGATTCGGTACTGAGTTGTCTTCGTCTTGCGGCTCCGCTGGTGGTGTCGGCGCATTGTCCGTCCGGGTTCCTGCATCGGGAGCTTGCGACTCGGATGTGATAGGAGCATCGTCTTCGGCATACACGCGCTTTGGATGCGCGATCTTGCGCCGCTTGAAACGGACCGCAGGCGTCGTACCGTCGCCTTCAACACTGGCCATTATGGTGTATGGAATAAAGAATGCGGCGTGTAAGGTGGAGCTGTAAGAAGCGCCATCGATAAGTGAGAGCGACCGAGGTTCGCGCACGGGCTAGTTCCAGTACGTCACCTTCACCTCGCATTCACAAGGCCCAAGAGGTATGACAATACTTGGTGTTTTGTCAAAAAGCCTCTCCAGAGACAATTCGTATTGCTATCTATCGATGCGATATCACTGTGGGGTAGACTACGATACTCCAAAGATATAACTAATTAGTATCGCTATGCAACGTGTTGAAGGCTGCCTGGCAAGCCTGATCAAGTCTCAGGTTTACCTTTAGTACCACCTAGTTAATCTAGATTGAAAAACTGCGAGCTCCCTGGTACGCCAATCAGTTCGGGATGAGACGCTTTTATCTCATTTGCCAGCACCATGAGAATTCATACATCTCGGACTAGAGCAGCCCTGCAACGTAGCACAGCCGTCCCATATTTGTCCTACAATGTTGAGATGCACGGATAGTCCTCCGCGTATTGCCGAGAATTTCAGCGCAGTCCGTCTTTCTTCAGGCCGGGCGAGGATACCAGGGACTCGGCTTGAGTAACATGCTTAGACCGTGCTAGACTTTAGTAGATTTCGAACTCAGCATACCATGTGCCACCTCACAACCACCAAGCGATTCTGCAGCTAATGACCGTGTGACCAAACTCCATGCATTCATCAATTGTATCCCAAGCATATTGCACCCTACGCCGCCTCATGCCCGCTCCCCACCACGCCTCATCCCCTCAACTCCTCGCTCCCACCGTGGTATCTCATGCATGTAAAATCCCAAGTCCATCGCCCCGTCGCATTTATTTCACCACGCCCTCGTCGGCGTTGAAGCAGTCGGCAAACTGCTTGCTGTGCTTGTTGCTCGCGTGGTCCGTCAGCATCTTCTGGCTCGTGGTGCCCTGGAAGGTCTGGAAGCAGGTTTTGCACTTGATGCTCTGGGCTGCGGCGTTCTGTCGTCCCAGTTGTTAGTACGACTTTCCCCCGGAATACTGGCATGTGCTTGCTGCGGAGGTCTTACGGATTTGATCTGCGACTTTGCTTCTTTGGGGCCGCTGTCGCCCTTGCGGTCGCGCTTCTGCTGTGCCCTGTGCGAGTGTTAGACGTGCCCCTCTGCGCGGGTGGAATGTGAGGCCGGCGTACTTGGCTCCGTTACCCATGGTGAAGGATGTGTGTGTGCTTGTGTGGCTGGCGGGTCAGTTGCTGGTGGTAAGCTCGGAAGCGGGTCTTGTATGACTTTGTGAGAGTTGTCTTTGTGAAGTGTGATGTTGCGGTGACAAGTCGCGTCGGCTGAGATTATTTTGCGCCGGTAGAGGGGTCTGGCCGCCGTTGGACCCTGGCTGCCCGCGATCTGCGCTAGGCTGTTTATCATGTGACAGACACTATTCACGACCACTCCCTTGGCTTCACCGATGCATGTGCTGGCTCTTCCTTCCTTCCGTGCACAACATGACGCGGGACCGTACGACGGAATTTCGTGGAATGCGCGATGAACACGCGACGACGTAGATGAAGCAGCTGTAACCAGGGGCCGCCGCTTGGTGAGTGATCGATATGTCACCGGCATCACAGGCAAGTGTCGCAAGGCGAGTATTTGATCACTGCTTAGCCAGTTGTTTGTATACCCCATTGTCCTTCAGGTCGTGTGTATACCGTGTTGTCTTCGACTCTTACATATTTTCAATTCCTATGCTTCTTGTTCCTCTTTCAACATCTCCTACTTCATCATTACTCCAGCATGGCGCATTCGCATAACCACGATCACGAGCACGGACACGATCATTCCGATGGGCATGGGCATGGTCACAAGCATGGTCGCTTTCAATTAGAACGAAAGACACGACTACGTGCCGTCATTGCCATCTCCTTCTGTTTCTTCGCTGCAGAGATCTCAGTCGGTTTCTACACTGGATCCCTAGCCCTTGTAGCCGATGCTTTCCACTATGTACGTCACTTCCATCATCGCATAATCCCTCCCTAACATGCCCAGCTCAACGACCTCATCGGCTTCATCGTCGCCCTCGTCGCCGTCGAAGTCTCCGAGCGCAAAACCTCCCCTCAAGACCTCTCCTTCGGCTGGGCCCGCGCCTCACTCCTCGGTGCCTTCTTCAACGGCGCCTTCCTCCTCGCTCTCGGCCTCAGCATCGCCCTTCAATCCATCGAGCGCTTTGTCTCTATCGAGCCCGTCGAGAACCCCAAGCTCGTCTTAATCATCGGCTGCATCGGTCTCGGCCTCAACATCATCAGCGTGCTCTTCCTGCACGAACACGATCATGACCACGGAAACGGCGGCATCGTCGATGTCGAGAGCGGCTCCCCTACCCAGACGCACGCAGCGCACATGCACATCATGGCCACGCCGAAGAAACACGGCATGGATCTCGGTATCATGGGTGTCCTAGTCCACGTCATCGGCGACGCCATCAACAACATCGGCGTCATCATATCCGCCGTCATCATCTGGTTTGTCAAGTCGCCCAGTCGCTTCTACGCCGATCCAGCTGTTAGTATGTGGATCGCCATTATGATCCTGATCTCCGCCGTTCCCTTGACGAAGCGCAGCGGCAAGATCCTCCTACAATCTGCGCCGCTGGGCGTCAAGATCGAAGACATCAAGCACGACCTCGAGTCCATACCGGGCGTGCAGAGCGTGCATGAATTACATGTCTGGCGTCTGGATCAGAAGAAGGCGATTGCGAGTGCGCATATTGTCGTCAGCGATCCCGATATTGCGAGCTTCATGAAGAAGGCGCAGACGTTTAGGGAGTGTCTGCATGCTTATGGCATTCACTCTGCGACGCTGCAGCCGGAGCTTGCGGGTTCGTCTGAGCACGAGATCAAAGATGCATCGAATGCAACGAGCGCGGCCAGCACGGCAAGGCCGAGTATTGAGAAGTGCGGGTTGCCGTGTGGGGTTGTGTGCGAGGAATTGAAGTGCTGTACTTGATGCGAATCCTCCTATGATAGATGGCCTTTTCAAAATAAAATTTCAAATTCTACTAAAATCTTGCTTCCTCCACAATTTCACCACAATCGCCCTTGACTCCGAATCATTCTCCGCATTTATATACCCGTGTCTCACAGGAAACGCCATCCTAGTCTTGGTGCCGTTGAGTTTGCACGCCCCGTTCCGCAACGCAGTCACAACCCCATCAATCCACCCACCTTGGGAACCTGTGAGTGCTCGCGATCGGCTCGTCTCGACGCTCTTAGTTGTTGACGTGCGCATGTTGAGGTGATTCGATCTTCACAGGGGATTTGCTGCGGCCCTGATTTGCTGAAAGGTGTGATGCTCATCAGAGGCATGATGCTCTCCACGTCGCGGACCTCAGTCTCCGCGATCATCCCGACCTGGGCTGGGAGGAAAGATTGCTGGGTCTGTGGGGTGGATTTGTGGTAAAGCTGGTCCCAAACTAGCTGGCATTTGTGCGCTCGCTTCGGAGTGTGCTGAGGTTGTCTTTTGAGTTAGGTGTGATTCAACTCGGCCGTTGGTAATGGCCCCTCTCCTCCTCTTTCCTTCTAGGAGATCCCATTTTATAAATTGCAAATGGTACTGCGATGTCCTGAAAATATGTTAGTCTCGATTGGACAAAAACCCGTTACCGACGTACGTTACGCTAAAGTTATGGTCTCGTTGCATGATATCCTCCACTTTGCGGGGAGTAAGTTTTCGTCGGACGTATAAATCATGAATCTTTTCCTTCACAGGATTCCAGTGTTGACGCGATGATCTCTTCTTTACCTCCCCATCTTCGAATATCCTCTTCGTTAGCTCCTTCATCTACGACGCCAAGGTATTTGGATAGTACACATCCATCGCCATCGAACTCGACAGAAGCGGATGGAGGTTCGGTGTCACTCCCATATGCATTACTCTCAATGCTGACTGGATCCCTTGTCGGGTCCTCTTGAAATTCGCCTGGTAGCTTTGCAGGGTCTTCGTTATCCTTCAAAGATGTAGCGTCGCTTGTTGACTCATCTCCTGATTCCTCGTCCGAGTCAACACCAGTAGGCAATATTGCAAGAGCAACTTCTTCCATGTGACGAGCAATATGGAGCGATAAGATATCACGATCCCCGGAAGTGAACTGAACACACAGAGGACATGTGACATCCAAGACTTGGACATCCATGCCATGGTCATCTTGTAGATGAGTCATGAGCGCATCGCTGTTCTCGTAGAAGACGTGAGTGTCGCTGCATTCTGCGAAGAAACAAGAATATGCTAGAATGTCATCGAAGACATGCTTCCTGAAGCGACGTGGTCAGCATTGATGTAGTTTGAGTTGTATAACAATGGAGGTACTTACTTCCAAGCTTTTGTCTGCTTAAAACGCACCTGTTTATTGCAGATTTCGCATGCAAAAGTTTCGCCAGACCGCGCTTTCGCTGGCAATTGTGGAACACGTTTGTGGCTCGCTTGGGCCCTGTGAGATACCACCGAGGGTGCAGATTCGGCAATATTCAACCCAACTTCTGATTGTGCTGGCAAAGAGACGCCGAGGCCAGAGTCATGAAAGATCGTTCTTGCCTTCTCCATAACTGTTGTTCGCAGTTCCTGCTCTACCGTTTCTTGCTGTAAATGGATCATGTGATTGTATCGTTTCCAGTTCAACTTTCCTAACTGAGACACAATTGCTAACGCAGCCAGTGGGAACTTTTGGGAAATGCTGTTAGCGTAGGCCTGTTCCGGTAGGTATTCGCCAATATCTTGGATAACTCGAGGCTCCTCATCGTCGAAGAATTCTTCTGCTGGTGATGCTAGGGTGGGTGCCAACATAATGAGAGTGTCGATCTTCATTCGAAGAGTCTGACATAAGCTTTCCGCGTCCTGCTCGGGTCGATGAGTATACTGATGTTGCTGGTACTCAATCATATTCATGATCTGCTCCAACGAAATCGAGATGCCCGTTGACTGTAGTACTTCTCTCTGTCGATGCTCACTGCTGATCAGAAGTATCAAAGCTGCTCCATATTAGCTACGGCGCAAAAGTTTGGCTGTTGTTCATTCACGTACATGTGCTGACAAATCGAGAGATAGACACGAGAACGGCCAGACAAGTATCGCGCAGCTGAAGGGAGTTTTGAAGCATGTCATCAAGACGGCCTCGCGACATTCCAAGGTCATCGATCCAGAAAAATAAGGCTGCGCAGCTTGACTCTAGGGGACCACAGTATTGAGGCACATCAGGATTCATCCTGACATCAATGAGCAAGAGCCCTAACGTCTCCATGAGAGGCCTTGATAGCGATGCAATAGGTCCTTGGTCGTGGAGTTCATGATTTCGCACAGTATTCGATACGGGCCTTCGTAAATTCTTGTCGCTATTTTCTGGCCCATCAAGCTCAGAGGTTGGCTGTAGATGGACTACAGGATGGGTCATCGATTTTTCCGTGGGTGGTGATGCTGTTTCTCGCGAGCGTCCTGCCTCAGCCTGCCAGTGCTCCGTCATCAAGCCGCCCTCTTCAGTAGCCGAGCGCTTACGGCGAGCCTCTACTGAAGACATTGATGACGACTTTCTGAACTACTTGATTGTCGCGTGCGATTTTCACGGTTTTGCGATTCTTCCCTACGGCAACATCTGCTCGCTGTCTCTAAAGTCAATTCTGTGCCGAAAGGGTGTAAAAAGTTCTGTATCGGCTGGCCTGCGGCCTCACTGTCGAACGATCGTGTCGAACCTTGGAAGTCAACGGAAATCTCTCAGGGCTGTTAAGTTGATGCTCAGGTATGTGTAGATGCCCAAGTGATAAGTCAAAGAGGGGTAGTCGATCGATAATGTTCGTCGGTGAGATGTCGACATGGTTGGGTATCATAGTCTGCGGCTGAGCAGCTATGGCAATTATGCTGCGCCTTGGAGGTGCATATGCGCCCATCGTATCGGGATCCAAACTGCGCCTCGCTCTGCCAACAATGCGACTGTCCCGAGCCTGATCAACCCTCATGTCCCCGAAAATCCCTTTTTTACGCCATGTCGGGCATCGAAATCGCAGGTTTGGTCTTTGGTATCGTGCCAATCGTTGTTAAGATTCTCAAGTCTTACGGTACAGCCAAGCGGAGGTTAATAACGTTCTCACGACACGTAGAAGTTGCAGACGACATCCAGACAAGGTTCGACGTAGCGTCAGCTCATTTTAACAATGATTGCCGCCTTCTGCTACAGGCAACTATTGCCGACCCGGACGAGGTTCCTGAAATTGAGGAGATGATGAACAATCCAACGCACAAGAGCTGGCAGAAGCAAGGGAAGCGTATAGATGAGCGACTAAAAGAGATTATGGAACAAGACTACGAGCTATGCGGAAAAATCGTGACACGACTTCACGACATTCTTTGTGAAACACAAAACAGCCTTAAACGACTTCAGGACAGCCTAGGCAAAGGAAAACGATCGCAACGCGAATACGTAGAAAAGATCTGTGATGCTTTCACTATATCTCGCAAGGAAAACGGGTATATTCGACAGCTTGAAAGTTTAAATATATGGAATAACTCTCTGAGCAAATTGCTTGAACAGAGATGCAGAATTCGAAAGCGTTGCAAGGTCCCCTCAGCTTGGATCATCCGCAAAGCCGTCCCAAAGCGCTATCAGCAGATCCGCCTCGCCTCGCAACAACTTGGAGAATCGATCCACGACTCGTGGTCTTGCACCAACACTTCACATAGCGGACATCAAGCTAAGCTATCGCTCGATGCTGAGAGCGAGCATGACAATGTGCAACTTGATGTTGTCGTCGCATGCCAAACAAAACCAGATCGGGCGATCCAAGGGTATGTCAGAGCGATTGTGCTTCACGGCCGGAAGCGATATGTGGAAACCATACATCTAATGACTATACATAGGCCATCCACCGACGTGCCAATATGGCTACAAATTCGATCCATTACGTCTCTCACAATATACAGAGCACCAACGTCTCCACCTCCACCAGTGCTTGCGAAAGCCTTTCGTCGTGGGCTTTGCAACATATCGCAAGTTACAACCCATACATCGTCAAGTAAAGCCAAGTCAACGAAAAGGGTCCGAATCGATGACCCAAAAGACGAAGTCAGGTCTCTTCAAGCGCCCGCAACGAGGAGCACAGAAACGACACAGGCCGAATCCTTCCTCATGTTGGACCTGAAGACAACCGAAAGCGTATGCTGCCATGTAACAAGCGTGTACTCGTCCACCTCAGCATGTCAAGATGGATGTGTAGGCTTCCTCGAGGTAGCCAAGAGTCGGCCAGCAATGCGATTCATGTTCTACGATGCCAGCAAACTCGCAGTCAATGACGTTTCCTCCTGCACCCGGCGACAAGGGGCAAGACCCATCAAGAACCTCATTAAAAGCTTTAATCCACTGCAACAAATGACGCTTGCTCACAAGCTGGCCGAAGCGGTTCTTCAATACCATTCAAGCTCCTGGTTGCCGCAGGCGTGGACGCTTCAGGACGTGGCCTATTTTACCGATACATCGCAACCCAATGCATGCGACATATCCGATGCACTCAGCAGCCTACATCTGAGCAAACGCTTTCCAAAAAATACCTCATGCCACATCGATTCAAAACAGGAATTGCTTGACTTGAAGCATAAAGTTGGCGTTCGTAACCTCACCCTGGCTAAGCTCGGCGTTGCACTGCTCGAGATCTGCACCAAAGACGATATCATGGGAACCCAACTAGATGGTACGCACGGTGAGATTATCAAGGCGAGAGGATTACTAGACGAAAAGCACCATTCGATCCAAGACTTCGGTCTGAGGTATCTCGAGATTGTGCGAAAGTGTCTGTATTGCGACTTTTCTTGCGATGATGATCTTCAGAGCGACGCACTGCAGAGTGCGATCTATACTGAGGTTGTGTGCGCTTTACAGGACAGGAAAACTCAATGTGAGAAATGGTTTAGCATGTGAGTTCATTAAAGTTCACACACTCATGATTGCACTGTTGCAAAACATCTTCCATTATTCCATTATAAATCTATCGGTCCTCAGTCAGAGAGCACTTTCGATATCAAGTAATCGCCGAGCCTACCAGAATCTTATCCATTTCACCTCTGAACCTCTCATGTGACCTTAAAGCATAAGAAGCGCGGCTAGACGCAAAAGAAACGCTAAAATCTTGTACCAGCTTAAACGGAGACGCGCTGGACTGGATGAGAAGGATTGAGAAGAGCAACAAGAAAGAGAAGAAATGGACAGGTATTGGACGAGGAGCCAGCGTCACGGGATATTTTCCTTAGTGCTCTGGAACATAGCAAGAAACAACTCTGTCCGTCCACTCGGCGGCCTTGAATGAACTCTAGACGTATATCTAGTAGGCCCTTGGCCTTGGAACTCATACAATGAACTTGTCATGTTGCCGATGTAACCTCAACTCAATCACATGGTTCCATCAGATGATGCACATCCGCATCGTCCAAAGGAGAGGCTGAATTTTGAAACTACTTAGGCAAGAGCGATAAGACTGCGTACCGGTCTCGCAGCTAACCAATTGTCCTCGCCAATCTCCGCAATGTTTACTCTATACGCTACACCACTAACCCATTCGATCTGTAATGCTATGATGGTCACAGGATACTCAGGAATCTCTCGCACAGCCCGTCTACTAACAGCAACAAAGTCGAACCACTGCTCATTGAAGCCTCCCGTAGCCGAAGCCCAATGCTCGCCCTTGATCCGACAAGCTGTTCCTATGCATGCACCTTCCATGTTGTGCACGGTTGGCCTTGAGTCCTGCACATTGGTGCCGACGTTTTTGTGGTCTGTAAAAGTGAGTTGGTTGGGAGGTCGCACGAGGAAGCGAGCGGTGTCGGCCCAGAAGAAGAGGAGATATTCGTCCGCGTAGGTACTCAGAATCTCAGTGGTGAGGTATGCCAGGTGGATTTCTACGTCGCTGAAGGCTACTGAGGAGGTTTGAGATTGAGGGGTGAAGTCTTGCGGTGCACCGGGATCTTGAAGTGCGAGGAATGATAGAGGATTACTGCGGTTCGTGTAACAGACAATGGTGGGTGTCTCGCTAGATCAAAGGTCAGTTTTGTTAGGAATTCCTCCCCGTGAAAAAGGGTAACGGTAAAAAACATACCACTCGGTGCGGTCCGTTCCAACGGAGCAATGCGCATGCCCAACCCACCCCAGCCACGACCAACTAGGAAACTGAATCTGCCGATTCAGCGAAGTCATGGCAAGTTTCGACACAGCGCTGCGTCTACACACGCCGTAAATCGTGTCCCACGAAAGCGCCAGATTGAATCTCGAGTAAGGAAGTGCCCAGAGAAACTTCTCGCCCGTGGTGTCGCTGAACATCTCAATGATCGCCGCGAAAGCATCGTTGTAGTCGCCAAGATAGCTCAAATCGCGCTGGCTAAAGCGGTCGACGAGGTTGCGATAAAGGTCCCACGGCGACTTTTCTGGAGACAGACTGGAGAGAGTGAGGTCTTGGTATGATGTAGAGGTGATGGATCGGCAGCGCAGGTTGCGGATTTCGAAAAAAGCTTCTTCGGAGAAAGACGCACATGGACAGTCCCATGACACCTGCTCTTCTGAGAAGGTGATTGTGCGCCGACTGAGGGCTTTCTCCTGCATGGTCCATGCGCGGCGGTTCCATACACTCGTGTCAATGTCGCCGTGTCCTACGGTCCATGATGAGCCCAGAGATTGTGGAAGGCTCTTCACGCTCGTCACTAGGGACATGCCTGGTTCACGATTGGTGGGAGCGACTACAATCGCCGTGCGCTGCTCGTAGTGCCGGGTGCCTGCTCGCAGTCCTGGTAAACCGGCATCCGAATGGGCCCCAGACGCAGCAACAATTGTGGCGAATGCCGTCTTGTATACGCCATGCATGTTGTTGATTTGGATCTGCTGATCAGCGGCGTCGTTCTGGATGATGCATAATGCGTCCACCCATATATAGTCAAAACCAAGCAGCTTCGTTAGCTCGATAGCATCCTCGATGGTTTGCGGGACTTCCATATTTCTGAGCGAACCTGCACAGCCGAGTTGCTGTACATTCTCCCTCAGTAGTTTCGTCTTCTGATACTTCGGATGGCCCCAGACGTAGCTCAATGCAATGTATCGTATCTCGCCTAACGGCTTATCACTGAACGTGACGATGCACCTTTGCTTGACATCGACAAATCGGACGGGGTATGTCAAAGGCAGGTCAGCGTGTGTCACAATACTTTGCACATATATCAATTACTCTGCGATCTCCTTCCCCAATCTTGCCGAACATATTCCAACATGCTCGTTGCTACAGATATCGATCCAGCTCCGAAGGAGGCCGACATCCAGCTGTAATGCGCGAGATCTAGCTCCGAACAACATGGTACCAGATACCTCGCTCGCCTCATAGCTCTTGCCACGCACCATTACATCCATGGAAGAAGACCTCTGCGCGTGAAGAGCGTGGGTAAGATAAGCTAGACAGTCTCCATATCCCCCCTTATCCAGATTCTCATGGGCCGTAACCGTCAGTCTCTGCAGGAGAAAACCAAGCGCCTGAAAAGGTACTACCGTGCCAATACTTCCGTAATAAGCGCTTACGGCGCCGGCTGTTGCCACGAAGCAGACATCGGGGCGGCTAAGGTCCCTTTTGGAATGGCCAATGGCGCCTTGTCTTTCGATGATGTGGGCAAACAAACCGCAGAGACCACAGCGAGAAGCGCGTTGCTTTATTCTTTCGAGCGTGCCTATATTGATCCTGGAGGTAGCATCGTCGCTTTCAGAGCCATAGATATGTGCCGCGTTTCGGCCGGCGTAGAGGTCGTTCACTTCTGATAGCGATGGGCCACGGAGCGCGGTGAAGTCGATGCTACGACATTGATGACAGAGTGAAATTGCCATGACGGAAAAACATCAAACAATGTTCAATACTTGAAGGAGGTGGCGACAATGCTGTTTGTCCCGGAATTGAGTGTAGCGCTCGAAGGCACAAGGCTAGCATACTGTAGGCGCGCCTTTATCCAATCATGCATGCACGGTGAGCGGCAAGGCTCTCCGATTGTGGTTGTTCAGCCTTGTGTGTCTTCTCCGTCCCGCTATTCGCATTCAGTTTGTATTGGTCCGAACTCGCTAAGGCTTGTGTGTTGGTGGCCGCTTACTGTGCACATTTAGCTATATCCCCGCGCCTGGACCATTGCACCCATGGAAAGTGGCATAATTAGACTCTAGGATGTGCCACATGTTGAAAGCTGTTCAGACCTTTACGAAGTCAAAAGAAGTTATCGTTCATCCGTAACCAGCGATAGGGCGGTCCGTCGGCATCCCGTTCCCACGATAGTGCATGGTAATTATCCTCGTATATACCGTCTAGGGGCGCTGCTTAACTCTCGACGTGAATGAGCTCTCTCACCCAAGCTGGAAGAATACGCAGGAGTCGAGAAGTCTTCTGATTCAGGCCAGGACGATCATGTTGAAACAGTAGACCAGGTGCTTGTATGGAACATTCGGGAGCTCTGATACGCACTGTGGAATATTGTTACACGAAGGATGTAGTTGAAAGCCGACAAAAGAAGACATAAGAACGAGACTGGCAGTGACATAAAATCCAGGATAGAATGCAGGATCAAACATCGCAACAGATGAGGAAGATGGTGTGAGTCTAAGGCGCAACAATCGACGATTCAAAATAGACCCATCGCATCGGCCAGATGCAAAGGATTAAGACTTCGATCCCCTTGCCAGGGAGAAAACCGGACCTGTCCTTTTGCTCTTTCTTTTTGCTCAGCCTTTATCTCGATGGAGGTTCTAGTCATAGTAAAGCGTCTCATTAGAACAGGAGTATGTCTGGCAGTATATGGAATGGCACTTTTGACCATACTTCGTGCCTCTACCAGTCAGCGAGGCGTAGCAAATCATGGCGATGAGGCGTTCTTGGGTGCCTACCAGGCGATGCCAAGCCAAGACTCGATTTGTTGTACGTGAGCAAGTTAGATTCTGATTTCCATGCAGATAGACGACCATTCTCTATTAATGCTGAACTTGAGCATTGCCATGTTGTCTTGACCTGATGTTGAGGAGGTCCGCTCGGAAGAGTTCCGCACGTCTCACCGCCCTTATTGCCGCTTCCAGTGACGGCATTCTGCCCGTCCTATCGGCATAACTATCACTCCCGAATCCCCGTAGGTTCATGGCACCTGCTGGCGTCTCATCCTGAATGTTATACGATTGAAGGTACTTTGACGAAACATTGCCGACTCATAGTCACACATTCCTTGGATCGCTTAGACCAAATATGACTACAGAGATCCATAAATACGGTACAGACGATGGCTGGCACGGAGTAATCAAGGAAGGCGGGGAATTTCCGCCAGAGAAGGATAGGTACCACTTGTACATAGGTGTGTATACTGCATGTCTAAGCCGCATGCTGTAGAGGTTTCTGACGCATTGCAGGTCTCTTCTGCCCTTTTGCCCATCGTCCAAACCTTGTTCGACACCTCAAGCACCTCACTTCAACCCTCCCTATATCAGTTGTGCGTCCGTACCCTAAAGGCGAGCCTGGCTGGCGCTTCGATGAAACGTACCCCAATGCGACGCCTGACCACCTCTTCAACAGCCGGTTCATGCACCAGCTCTACTTCCGCGACGACCCGGCATATACTGGCAGATACAGCGTCCCGCTGCTATGGGACAAGAAGACGAATCGTATTGTGAATAACGAGAGTGCAGAGATGTTGAAGTGGCTTCCACATGCTTTTGATTCAACCATCGAGGATCAGAAGATTAGGGAAATAGACTTCTACCCACAGGATCTGAGAAGCAAGATTGATGAGATTTCTCTATGGCTTACATCTCTCATCTGCTCTGGTGTGTACAAAGCGGGATTTGTATCGACACAAGAAGAATATGAAAAGAACGTCGTGCCGCTATTTGCTGCACTAAACAAGCTCGAAGACCTTGCCCATAAGAACGGTGGGCCGTACATACTAGGCGAGAAGATGACCGAGCTGGACCTGCTGGCGTATCCGACGATCGTCAGATTTGACACGGTGTATGTTCAGCACTTCAAGACTAACCTGGGTATGGTCCGGCATGACTATCCGGTGCTCAACAATTGGCTGAAAAATCTGTACTGGAATGTGGAAGGGTTCAAGGAATCGACCGACTTCAAGCACATCAAGGAGAATGTAGGTCTCACCTTGAATTCGTGCGCTCAAACTTTAAAATACTGACAACTCTTGCAGTACACCAAAAGTCACTCCGACATCAATCCTCATGCTATCACGCCTCTCGGACCTTACCCAGACGTCGAAGAGGATTACGAAAGTGATTGGAGCAAGCTGAAGCCTGGCAAGGTTGCACATCCGCGAGTGCTCGAAGCAATGAGTAAATTGTAGTTGACTGTGACATTGCTGCTTGCTGTACATGTTCTATCTAAGTATAGCCCTTAGGGGCAAGATTATAAGCACCGGGTTTACATCGCGTTAAAACCAGGACTCTTCGCATTCTTTGGCATTCCGCTCCAAGGTCTTGATGGTCGAATGGATCGCACCTGTGTCTTCTCCGGATTTAATGGCCAAGTTTCCTCCTTCTCAAAATCTCCGGAGTACCTGCTTGACTCGCTCAATACTGAGACTGTGCGAGGAGTTCGCGCAATCTCTTGCGCTAGAGCTCTCTCTTCCTCGGTCTGAGGCATGCCGTCCAGCTGCTTCGGGAGTGGCTTTCGGGGGTCGTACAGGGTAGGTGGGCGGCTTCGCGGCGCAGGAGGCACGATCGCTTGGTATCCGTGTCCCATTCCAAGTGCTGATGCTGTTGGTTCAAAGGAGCAGCTCTCCTTATCCCGCACACCCATGCACGCACGAACTAAGGCTGTGATGCTGGTGCTGAGAAGGATGAAGCTTGTGCAGCCGGTGGTAACGACCAAGCCCCTGCTTAAAGGAAGGATCATGGTGAACATGGTAAGGTCCGCAGAGTCGGCTGTTTCGAGCTCTTCTCTGGTGAAGGCAAGCAGCGTCCATGCGAGGCTGAGTGAGCAACCGAACGCTGCGATCATGGCGCTCATGGAGAGAAACTCGACGGGGACGCGGATGGTTCCCGGGATTTTAAGGCCTCTGACGACTGATGAAAGAACGACGAAGAAACTTGTAAGGAATGCGATGGAAGCCTATGGTTGTCAGCTTGGGTTTCAAGCATCGTCTCCAGAAAGGAACTTACGGCAACGATCGTTATCCAGATTCTCGAGGTCCCTTGTGTCGCCGCGATGAAGAAGTCGCGCCATTCCTGCGCTGTCAACGCCTCCGGCTGAAGTCGTTGTAAAACTGCGGCTCCACGCGTCTCTATGTCCTGCTCAACGAATCTGGCTATCGGACACTGTCAGCATATTGTATATCTTCTGGAGGCGAGGCTGTCTTACACCACGCGCCCAGCCCAACCACTATCAATGTAGAGATCAGGGCAATAACCCTGATGCCCATGAGGACCTTCATTCCCACACCCATAATTACGTGGATAAAAAGCTAAACGAATGTAAGAAAAAAGCGCAGGCCAGCTGGCAGCAACTCGCAGAGTGCTTTCGAAGGAAAGAATGTAAGTAGCGCGAACGCAGAGCAAACAAAGTGAAGAAGTGATACTCAGGCTGAAGTGTCTTGGTACATGGGCAGAACAAGAAGTTGCCATGCGAACACGGATCGGACGCCTTGGAGCCTTAGGAGCCGCATGTACTTCGGCGGTATTTTGCTACTCCCATGTGTGCGCAGTGGCTGATACGATGCAGGAACACCTGCGTATGCAGTTTGAGAAGAAATGGCACGGATGCGCAGCTTCTGCGCTCGGATGTTACCGTTAGGATGGTCCGCTTTCGTTCACAGTGACAGACTGTTCCACTTGTACGAGGAGAATGCTGGAACGATGTTCAAGCAGCCAGAAAAGCTGTACACGCAATTGGGCCATTGTTTCAATAGGTTATTCCGGAGTGGTGGTATCCGCTCATGCCTCAGAGCACGTGGGGCGCAGTCTATTATGCCAAGGCAAGTCCAGGATCGCAAGGCTTCCGAGCGAGTAATAACAGCGGTGATCGATCCTTTTCCGAGCGAATTGGTGCTGTTGAAACCTGTCTGAGGCATCAAAGTCGGAGGTTGTGATGCAAAAGGTGTGGCTGAAACACGCGACAGGCCTCGCTCCAACATCATCGGTTCCTGCACACACCGCCAACAACAAACTTGTGGGGTCGCGCAGAGCCTACACGACATGGGGGGTGACAGCCGTTGATACGCACAGAATAATTATTTCGATGGCAGAACACAATGTTCTCTTTCGATGTCGGAAGAAAAAGTTTCTCGCTAGGAAGATGGCGAAAATTTGCCCGAATTGTATCGCGAACGGATAAGCTAGCCAAAGACGTACCGTAGGTACACCCTGAGGTCGGTTTTGAACAACGGAGTAGATCATGCGCGACTGTCTGATTCCTTACATGCTGTGACAGTGTCAACGTGGCGAGGATATGCCAGCGTACGTATTTGGACAGTGACGTCAATACAAGCTGCGAAGTAGAGCCATGATCCCGGTGGCCCCACGCTGGCTACTATCTGCTGCTTGCCCATGTGAGCTCACCAACATAATTTCAAGAATTACTAGACTCTGAACTTGCATAAACTCTCACTACCGACACAGGGCAGTTGATCGCGGGGATCAGAATAATGCGATTCTATTGAGTAACACGAGCGCTAGTGCAATCTCGCATATTCAGATCTCTATCAGGATTTCTCTCATCGGTGGTCATTGTGGGGTCGAAAGGGAGGATTGTCAATGTGACAGCCTGACGTACCGCAGTGCCGCACGATGCCTGCGGCCCTAGGTATGTGTATGTACGGCACCGCGGGGTCTAGCACTAGGCGTTATCCGTGTCGAAAGCACCGAGTCAACCACAACATCTCATCGTTCGTCCCTAATCCCAAAATCAAACGAGTTCAAAGCTTGCCTCACTGTACTCCAAAATTACGATGGTCCCAATGAGACCCTTGGTCTTCACCCGATTCTCGTCCTGCCGGTAATCGTGATCCTTGCAACTCTCAGCCAGCAACGTCACAATTCCCGTTACAGTGCGGAGAAGCTGTCTCCTACCATACAGATTCTCAGCTGACCAGATACGATGGCATCCACTCTGCACACAAGAAAAGCAGTAAAGTCATGGCACTACTTTTGCGGCAATGATGTGCTGATACTGCATCCAACGATCTTTGTTTGCAATGCGCAGCAAGTGCTTCTCTCACACACCATTCTCAGCCCTCAGACATTTCGAGCTGTTCATTTTTCCACAGAAAGTTCGGATACTGTGACAATTCTGCCTAATCCCAAAGCCATGTTCACTCGAGTCATGCTCGGCATCACAACATGATGGTATTATTAGTATGACTGCAGAATTGGGCTGACCAATATTGAGCTCGATGACCAAAGATCAGTAAGCTCCGACGACCCATCATGGCGGAAACGACTGGATCATAGTTCTTTGGCTGATAGGTGCCCTGTTCTTCACAATCGACTAATGTTGTGCTACAAACATCATGGGGCGAACGAACATGGGCACAGAGTAGGCGCTGGTTCGGTTGAGTTTGTGGAAGCATGTGAAGCGGGGAATGTGAATTCCTAGTTGGGAAGTTCGCTGCAAAAATTGACGCAATTCATCCTGCGGCACACAATGTGGTATATAGCGGACACATGCTGAGGTTCTCTGTGCTTTCCAAGCACGAACATGGGCTTCGCAACAAACATGGAGGTTTCTGCGCTTATACTCAAAGCCCTGTTGGTCATCGTAGGTATCAGTCAGAACCCCAACTAAACCCGTCTAATCTCAGTAGGGGCTTTGCGCCATCACCAAAGTCTTCTACAACATTTTCGTGCATCCACTACGCTCTTATCCTGGGCCATGGTTGGCCAGAGCGACCATCATCGAGTCCCAGCGACATAATTTGAACGGTTATAGTCATCTTTGGTTGCAGAGTCTGCACGAAAAGTATGGGCCTGTCGTGCGATTCGCGCCGAGCATGCTTTCTTACATCGACCCAACTTCCTGGAAGGATATTTACGGCCACAAAGCCACAGCTTTCCAAAAGGCTCCAGAATTTTATGGGAAAGACATCTTTGGAGATCCAGCTGGTATAATCCGAGCGGACGACATCAGTCATGCCCGCCAAAGGAGGTTGGTGAGCCACGCTTTTAGTGATAAGTCGCTCAGAGATCAAGACAAGTTGTTGAAGGGCTATGCCGCAATACTGGTTGATCAATTGGCCAAGATAGCCGGAGCCCCTGATAATGAAACGAACATGCTCTCATGGTACAACTTTATAGCTTTTGATGTCATGGTAAGCGCGCAGTTGCATCGAGCAAAAGGCAGCGTCACTGACATGTCTGTAGGCAGACTTGACCTTCGGTGAAGATCTCGGCCAGCTCCGAAACTCGACATACAATGACTGGGTCGGATCAACATTTTACGTTGCAAAGTTCCTCGCGCTCAATGGCATAATCAATGCATGGGGTCTGGCAGGAGTGCTCAATCTAATCATGCCAGCTAGTCTCAAAGCAAAGCGAGATCATCACAAAGAGTTCGTGGTAGAAAAGGTTGATCGGCGCTTGGCGCAGAATACCACGAGACCCGATATCTGGACGTACGTGATGAAGAAGAGCAAAGATGGGGGTGAAACACTGTCAACCACGGAAATGCACAACAACGGCTCCACCTTCATGGGTGCGGGTACTGAGGTAAGTGAACCACGCATACCTCCCGAGGGAAATACACTGAAATGACATGCGTACTACTATAGACAGTCGCCACGGAGCTGTCTGGTTTGACTTACATGCTCCTGAAGAATCCGGATAAAATGCATCGCCTAAAAAGTGAAATCAGGGGTGCATTCAAGCATTTGGACGACATGACGACGACGAAGCTCAGCCAACTGGAGTATCTACAAGCATGCATTGACGAGGGCTTACGCCTGTATCCGCCCCTGCCTACAGGTACGCAAAGGGTAAAGCCTGTAGGTGGTGCGATGGTATGTGGTCGTTGGGTCCCGAGTGGGGTAAATCCATACTTTGACCCAAGTGCGACGAACCACTATGCTAACGACTCGCAACAGACTCTAGTCCAGACAAACTTTTACAGCCTGCAGCGTTCTCCGAGAAACTTCAAGAACCCAGATACCTTTGCGCCAGAGCGATTCTTGCCTGAGGGCGCGGAAGAGTATGCGTCGGACAGGAAAGATGGGCTGAACCCTTTCTCGTTTGGACCAAAGAACTGTGTGGGGAAGAAGTATGCTATATTTCACACTATTGATAACGTTGACTAACAGCTCTGCAGCCTCGCATACCATGAGATGCGTTTAGTGCTTGCCAGTGTGCTTCTGCATTTCGACTTGGAGCTCAGTCCGGAGAAGGGTAATTGGATGGATGATCAGCAGAGCTTCATTCTTTGGGCCAAGACGCCGTTGATGGTGAAGCTCAAATTAGCTACCTGATGAACGTGGATGGCACTATGTATGCAGGTCTCCACCCGCGAGGAAGCGCATTTGACTCCAACTGCGATGTTTGGTTGCGCATGCATGAACCGGTACACAACTTATGGAATAAACATATGCATTTTCGCGAAGCTTATGAATTGGTGTTTGTGTAGCTAACAAAGCCTCACTCCCTATAGGGACGATAGCTTTCCTAAAGACTACCTACTTACTACAATCGACTACACCACCAAAATGACCAACATCATATCCAAGCTCTTCGCGAAATTCACTCCACCTCGTCCTCGCTTTTTCATCCTTGAATACCTCCCTATAGAACTCCTCCTCCTCGTCTTCGCCCGCCTTCCAACCCGCGACCTCTACACCCTCACCACACTCTCGCCTTCCAACGCCGTGTCCGAGCACGCAAAACTCGCCATACTCCAGCGCGTCTTCCGCGCAAACTTCCGCATCCGCGCCGCGTGGTGCTGCTGCTCCTGCCAGCAGATGAACTTCCGCGACAAGCTGGCCTTGCAGAACCACCTGAACATCCTGCTGCATCCGACGATGTTGGATTTATGCGTTGTGTACACGTGGCCGGAACCGCGGCTTCTGAATCCACGCAAGCACAAGATTAGTGAGGAGCATAAATACAGGATCGTGTTTGCGCTAGGGGGAAGTGGGCGGAAAGTCAAGTTGAATGTTGCGCAGTTAAAGGCGCTGAGGGTGGGGGATGAGATTGACATAGCGCGGTCGAGGATGCAGCTTTTGACTTATTATTATACGAATATGGGGAAGAGGAAACGGCATGGGTTTAGATGTCTTGCTAGAGTGATTGCTGGAGGGTCTTGGTTGCCTGGGGTGAGGCGGTGTCCGCTTCATGATTGTTGATATCAAACGTACTCAACCCATGCTCGCGATGGTTGCTATGTGACTTGGAATTCGGTTCGGCGGAATTTTGTTCTTGGTAGTCTAGTCTCGGCATGCTTCTTGTTCCTGTATCGTTATGTAGCGTGCAGCACGATGCTAGTGTTCGGCCCCTCTCCCTTCACACAGCTCCCCATGAGAGGTACACCAAAAGTAGTTCCAACGATCGGAACCAGACTCTATTTCTCTGTGTATTGATGGCTTTTTTTCATAGATCAGGTAGCGTGGTCTAGAAAGCGTGGACAAATAGACATTGTCTCCCACGATACGGTCACTCACTATCACTCATCCTTCACCCAAGTGAGCACGCGATATTACCTTTTTCGCACACATCACGCGTCCCTACAAGCCCTGCATATATTAAGCCACCTGCCATGACCGGACACGCACAAAAGAAACCGGGGAGGATGAAGCGTCTCCTTCAACGTCTTATCACCCCCGTCCACCGCAAATTGAGCTCGTTCCTTGAGACACCGACGCCCAATGTGGAAGTGCTTCCGGAATCACTATGGCTTGCCAACAACAGTATTCCCGAGCAACAACATGCCACCTTCTACGATCATCCAATGGCTCACAGCTACGAAGATGCCTACAACGAAAACTCACGCATGCTAGTACAAAAAAGCACATCTTCTGCTGGGCAGTTGCATCCGCCATTCTCAGGCGCTGTCCGCCCTAAAAACCCTCGGCCAGAGCAAGGAGCTGCCTTTGGCATCCTCGACAGAAGACCCAGGCGACAACCTGTGCAACCTTCTGAAGCGCTACCTCTACACGAGAATTTGAAGTTGGCCTTCTGCCGCTCCGATTCGAGAGGCGGCATAACCATACGCAGCTTGCTGAGCTTGGGAAGTCTTCGCGAACCTGACACGTTACGAAATTCGAATAGCATCGTTGGTATGATGGAGGACCAGCGCCATGCGGCGAAAGAAATGAAGGGTAAGTTTCTGCCCGCCTCGATGCTGGAGCCTTCGGCGACTGACAGAGATGTGTCTAGAGATAAGTACTGTGTTTCGAACTGAAAGACGACACGCGCCAGTTGTTTTGGTAGAATAGCGATTGAGCTCCCAACATGAATACTCTTGTGCTCCTGAGCGCGGTGCCAGCGCTGCTTCATTTAGTACCTGGTTGACAATAATGTATAATGATCATGCCTTCAAAAACACGATTTCGATGTTATCGCCGCTTCTTCGTCAACGTTCTGGACCTCCGCCAACGCTCAAGGGGAGGCATATTCGAGCCAAGTTGAAGGCGGGGTGCCGGTAATAAAGTATGGTACGGTACGAACCGAACCTCAAAGCATCGAAAGCGATGTGTGGTAACGAATGAAAATCAACATCAGGCCTAGTACACTACGTCAGCGGCATCACTGTACCCAGCGATAGCAAAAGCCTCTCTCAACGGTTGCGATGCCTTCACTTCGCTCTCCCTCTTCTGCCACATGTGCGCGTAATACGGACACCCACGTTGCATCATACACCTACGACTCAAAATGCTCTCTAATCTCTTCAGATGGCATGAATCCGCGGAAGAAGTGCCACAAATAGGCTCAAAATCCCTGTTCCTGTCAGAAATATATCGTCTGGCCTACATACGCAGCGATGCCGGAGGAAGCTGGGATTCAGACGAGCCAAGGACAGAGGACTCGGACGAGACGGCAATGAGGATGGCGATGGCATTTCTTCCTCACACCTTCATAATCTCTGACCTAGGAGAGTGGAACCCTCCTAGATTCCTTTTCTTTAGCCACTTTCTGCCCGATTGCCCATCTCTCGCAGTCTTCGCACGATCGCAGGACGTTCCAATTCCGTCCTCGTGGCGACGGGGGCAAGACTGGCGACCTTGGTGGCTCAAACTTCGCTGTCGCTGGCATGAAGGTCGCCTAAAAATTCGGCCTCCCTGTACTGCCAAAGCTATCGTGGAGGGCGGGCAGTGGCAGCGCAAAGTGCCCAGCAAGGCTGTGAGGTACTGGGATGATCGGGCGGGAATGTTGCTGGTGGACTGGAACGCTATATGGGGAGACTGCTTGACGCAAGAAGAGGAGAGGAAAAAGAGTCGAAATGGGAAGATCGCATTCAGTTATTTCAACAAGACTTGACTGGAGTATGACCTCTCACAATTCACGTCTAGCTGGTTACAGCGTAGTGTAGTAGTTTATTCGTAGCTAATGGGGATGTGGGTCAGCGGGCTCGTCATTGGGTATCCTGAGTCATGGAACTCAATACAATTGATGTCTGCTGGATCTGGCATGTGTTTGGTGCTGGAGCGAGATGCAGGACGCGTTGATGTCATTCAGCCCTGCCCGCGTTAGCGCCAAAAAGTTGCGGACCCTTGGATATCCCCACCAAATTCGCAAAACTTACTTTTGAACTCTTCACGTACAAGGCAAAGCCATCATGTCTGTCTGTGTCGCCTGTAACAATCCTCTCGAGATCGAGATCGAGCGCGACGAAGATGAGGAGTACGGCAACGGCGCATCATCTTCTAGCAAAGCTCCCGCCGCAGCGCCAGAAACTGTACCAGACGATGTACAGATGAATTGCGGGTGCCATTTTCACTGGTGAGCGACTCTTACGGGTATACTCACAACTATTTCTGACTTGAGCATTGCAGGGACTGCCTTCTCGAAGCCTACCAAACCACCGAGTGCTCAAACTGCGGCAAGAACATTGCGTCCAACTCCTCGACCGGCGCGCAACAAGTCCTCTGCAACCTGAACAATGAAGGCGGCATGCAGCAAGACCTCGATATCCTGCCTCTCCTCTCCGAAGAAAGCTACCTCAAAGCCTACCCCGAAGACCGAAAGTGTCGCGCGTTTCTCGAGTTCTGCCGCGAAGGCGACTACAAGGCCATTATCGACATGCTGCAAGACGACGAGGTGGACGAGGATGACGAGGACGAGGAGATGGGCGACAGCGATCAGTCTGGCAAGGAGGAGGTCGGCATTGACCGCATGTTGCGATACCAGGACCCCATTGGTGACATGCAGTCGGGACTACATGCGGCGGTGCAGGCACAGAGCAGAGAGGTTGCGTGGTTGCTGTTGCTGTTAGCCAGCAACTATCCTCTGCTCGAGTTCCCGCCTGAGGTCTTCCAAGAGGCTGAGTCGATGGGCATCATGAGAGGCTTGACTGAGGACAAGGTGGACATCAGAAGCCTGAAGGATGCAAATGGCAAGACGGCGGAAGATATCGCAAACGAGATTGGTGGAGTCTGGAATGGTTGGACTGGTAACGGCCGGTTGGCGATATAAACCGTCTATGCAAATAGTCTGGGAATGTGTACAGAGCCAATAAAAAGTTTAAGATATCCATGTCATGGACATCAGGGTGTTCCAAGATCAAAACGTCAACAGAGTAGACCGGCTTCTGGAGAGCGGAAGCGTCATGCTGTCGATCAGTGAGGATGTCCTAAGCTAGATACTCTGCAACTGCCACGAAGTCCGCGTCTCGGTCACATTTGCCGCACGTGACACGCGTCTTAGCGCGTTTGCGTCGCGTCATCGTCATCGCCAATACAAACTCCCACTCCACTCCACCAAATCTTACCTATCCAGACACATAATGGCTGGTTTCAAGCGCGGTGGATCTCGCGGGGGCGGGAGTGCGTACAAGAAAGGCTTCACGAAGAAACGCGCTGCGCCGGACGACGATGAAAGCGCACCACGCACAGGCAAGAAGTCCAAGGGTGACGAGGAGGATGAAGAAGACGACGCAACTCCGGTCGTACCAGAACTCAAAACAAATGACGATGGCGAAAAATTTGTTGGCGTGAGTTTTTGACAACCTGAACAAAGATACATGCTTTATCATTGACTGATCTTCGTGTGCAGCTAAGTGCAGGCGGCAAGCGACGCATCACCATTCGCGAATTCAAGAACACTCTACTATTAGACGTTCGCGAGTACTGGACAAACGACGCCGGAGAGCTGAAGCCCGGAAAGAAGGTAAGGCACACCAATCGTCTGCACATATGTGTTACTAACACACAATTCGAAGGGCATCTCGCTGAATCTCGACCAATACAACACGCTTGTTGCCGCTCTACCTTTGATTGAGGTAGCCCTTGCCGAGAAGAAGGCAACCGCTGCAAGGCCGGATTACGATGCTGCACCGCCAGCCACTACTACATCGAAGGACGAGGCTGAAGACGAACCCCTAGACGCATCGGCCGACGAGGTCGACAAGGTCGACGAAGAGGAGGGATCGGGTTCGGAGTGAAACAGTGCCCAATAGGGTGCGTCACTCTCATACGAAGACATCTGTTTGATCAATGTACAACAAGTCCTGGACAACGGCGTTCTGGGAGCATCACTTGGGAATGGCATGCCCCATACAATCAAGCGATTTTTTGAGAAGGGCATACTTACCACTATGATGCTTGTGGGTGTTGATTCCGTAGTAGTGTCTCTGCGATTCTATCGCGCTATTGAGTCAGTTGTTAAACCGCGAGGAAACGATTCTGCCCCACCTCAACCCTACCCCACCATGAATCATCGCCGCAAACTTCTCATCCCGCCCCACACAGAACGAGCGATCTTCAAGTGTGCCGTCATGGGCCGAATATTCGCTCAAGACGTGTGCTGTGGGGATTATATTAGTTGTAACTTTGAATTCTTCCATCAATGAGTATAACTCAATCCAGTCTCCTTAGCTCAATTGGGAGAGCGCCAGACTGAAGTCATCAGTCACTAAATCTGGAGGTATCGCGTAAGTTACCACCAATTACAAGATCTACACGATCATTGTACTAACCTCGCAAAGGTTCGATCCGCGAAGGGGACAATTGAGACCTCGTGCCTGGCTTGCCAGGATTACTCGAACTTCTTTTTTTGCATTTTTTGGGGGGCTGGACCAAATGATGTGCTAGGGTGGGCCGGTTTGGTCCGGTCAGGAAAGTAGCCTAAAGCGGAGGAGTTGTCTCGTGACTTTTGTGGGAGTATTGGGCCACCACGGTGAGATTATGGCATCATTGTGTAACTGGTTCTGAGGAAGTGACCGAGAGTCGCCGTTTTTCTTCAACTACCAGTAAATAGCTGCAAGTCGATGCTCTTAACTACTGACTGTCTCTGTTTTGATTGACTCGCGAACAACGACATGCAATCACCATGGCAGACATCTCATTTGTTGTTCAATACAACCCAGTCTCGTTGCAGCGAGTGAGAGCGTCTGGTCTGCCCACATGAGTTCGCAGAAAGCGTTGATAGCTAGAGTACGCCTGTAGTCCTTCACATACTGCTTCCATTGTCTTTCCCGCCCCATAACTACCCCGAGACCCCGCCGGCGGAAGCCTCACTTCTTCACCCAACCATGCTCATCCGCCTTGATCAGCAAGATGCCCAGAGCCAAGCCATTGAACTCGGTCATCAAAGTCTGGATTTCCGCTTTTTGGATGAGCTCCATATGTTCTGAGATGGTGCCGCTGACGATATCTCTTAAGCCTTTGTCGTTCTCCATGGTCGTCGAGAATGCGTAGTGCGCAGCGATAGAGAAAATGTCGTGGTCCCAGAAAGATACACAGGCGCGCTTGAACTTTTCCAGCACTAGGTCTTTGAGTCCGACGACGTCGTATTTGTCGGCGATTTCATACATCTTGGCGTGGATGAGGAGCTGCTCTGGTGGTCCAGTGGCAGGAAAGGTCTTCGGCAACGTTGAGCGGGTGCATTTATCGCAGATGAAATCACGGCAGCTGTAACCGCAAGCGTTGCAGCATATGTGATGCGGACAGATACAAAGCTTGGTACAATGGCCATTCGAGTCGCAAGTATGAGGAAAGCTATATGCGTACTTCCGGTCGTAGCCAGTATTGTAGTTGTCAGTCCTCACGACCTCACGGTGCGACATGTCGCCTCTGGGTGCTGTAGCGATAGGCGACGCGTCAGAGAGACGCGGCTCGTACTCTCCTTCGTACAGGTACTGAATAAGTAGTTTGATGATTTTCGGCTCATCTTCAGGGAGGTCAATCTTGCCCTCTGTAGCTTCCTTCGCGACATCAGAGCTGTTACTGATACATATGCTCAGAGAACTCGCCTTGCCACCAAACTTGACAGCGCGAGCAAAGAAGTCAGCGCGGCTGCAGACCACCAACTTGTGGACATTGTATGAGTCGGAACCGCAAGTGATCACAAGGTCAGAGTAGTCACCGGAGGTGAGGAAGCTGGTGCTTCGTCAATGACGGAAGTCGGACGATGAATCGAGGCCAAGTACCCTTTGAAAGACGCGATCAAGTGCTGGAGTGACGCTTCCGCCATGGCGAGTGGTATCTATCGTTGTGGGTTTGCTTTTGAGACTCTCGTGATAGAAAGTTGCGGACCGGAAGCTGAGGTGGGACGTGTGCTTGCTCCGCCAAGAATCTACCCACCCAGGCTAACCAATTCGAGCTGAGAGCGGAAGTGAACGTGAAAATGAATGAAGCCTAAGCATTGGGCGTCTCCAAATCACCATCTTCGGGTGGCAAAAGATCGGATAAAGAGGCTGTACGGACCCACTTCATGTGTTATAGCAACATGGAGAGCAAGCCACTATTGTTTCGAACGGGTTGGAAGCGCTGTATACTGGACTCTAGAGCCGTCTCCATGTGTCAATACGAATTACTACTGCATCCTGAAATTGAAGGACGGCATAGGTGGCGGCAGTCCATCCATTTCGGTCGCCTGGAAGTTTACAAAAAGACTGTCCCAAGCCGTCCAGTCAATGTTTTCGGGGATGTCAAGCGGCATAGCCTCCGGCAGGCTATGCAAGGGATTGGCATTGGTTGGGGCCTGAGTAAAGCTCCAGTCGGTTTGGAACGACCCAACACTGGGGCCAGTGTGACTTTCGACGACGGGTTCGTTGCCTTCAATTCCTTGTCCAGTCATTCCCGGATGTGGTTGTGATTGGGGTTGTACTGGGAAAGTTTGAATGTGCTTTATGGCAGGGCACCTCTGACGTATTAATTGGATGAAGTAAGGTTCCTGGTCCACACTGCCCCTGGCCGATAGGTGAGCCTCCCAAGCCTTGAGTGTGAGATTGCTCACAGCAACCGGTAAGGCTCTTTTGGCAAACTGTTCTTCGAAGATCGGATGGAAGTCAAACGTGTGTTCGACCTCCCTCCAAGCCTCCTCTACTTTGGGACCCGAGGTACGGTGGCGCAGTTGCGCGACAAGGAATACAAAAGCCTTCCACTGGAACTGCAGGTTCGTATGCCAAGCAAGACCATGCACCTTCTCCCTGGTGTATGCCAGGTTTTGAGTTGCAGTGACCTCCAAGACAAGATTGAATAGCATGTCTTTCTCCGATTGCGGCATGACCGTCCCATCATATCCGGTACTGTGTGCCATGAATCGCATCATGGAGATGACAGATTTCGCGAGCCGGATGCAAATGTAATGCCAGTCGATGGCTGGATCGCAGTACTGAAGGAATTTGTGCTGGAAAAAGTGCTCCAGCTGGTCGATTGCTTCATCCTTGGCCGCCACAGGCACTGTGCTAGTGGTGATCTTGTGCCACGCTCCGTCATAGCTAGTTTTCGCATCGGAAGAACGTCTGAGGAATTCGGCTGCGTGGCACCTGATCAGAAAGAACATCATCTCAGTAGCACCTTGTTCATCTTTCGGAACCTCTCCCATTGCAGGGTGTAAATCGCTGTCGTTGACGTTGCGCGGTACGAGTACGTCACCTATAAGCAGAACGCTGTTATTTCCTGTACCAGCTAGTTTCTGCGAATATCCTTCAAGCATCATGATCTGCCACCATAGTCGCCTTCGCATCTCGACTTCGAAAGGTGGCAAACCAAGCTTCGCACCATCGCGATGAAGCCCGATACGTTGACCGATACGCTGCGCAGCACCGGACCAGATCCAAATAATCCGAGCATCATAATTTTGTAAAGACAGCTACAGTTTATTAGAGAGAAAGCCAATGTGTCATGAGATAGCGTAACCTACTAGGAACAGTACAAACGCTTGTAGTACCATGATATCTGATGATTTCATTAAGCTTGCATTCATCAGCGCGCATTGCGCTCCAGATCTAAACTTCTGTCGAGTTGCAGATTTCGCACCTCCAAAGGTTGATATGCATTCTTCATCAGTCAAAGACTCGAGAACTATGCAATAGATCCCAAAAAGCAGTGCTTCCAGATTTCGAGGTATCTCGTCCAAATTTTCGGTAGCTTCCGAAATGAGTTGCTCAATTGTTGGCGCGTGGAATAGCTTGACTAAGGGATTGATGTTTCGGAGATATGCTTGCCACACTTTGGAGACTTGCGAGGAGTCGGGGTGTAGTGATCGTAGAGAGGTGTACGACGTTGCACTATCGAACAAGAGGTCTGCCCTGTTCGATACGGAGTGCTGAGTAGAGATGCTGCCACGTACTCGCACATCTTCCTCGTCAGAAGAGTCGTCTAGGATCTCTTTTGTGTCGCGGAACTCGCTCCGAAGACTGGTCCAAACGCCATTCTCGAGATATCTTGATCTACCCTCCTTTGAGACTAGTAACCCAGCTCCAACATCAGTACCAACATTGTATTCGCCTTCTCGTTGGTGCGGGAAGAAGCCTTTGTCTCCAGAGATGCGCTGGTCGAATGGCCTTTCGGTGACTGCTTGTTTCACGAGAGCCTCAGGATCAACTCCTAGCTGACGTAGAGTGTCTTCGTAGATACGCAATCGAGCTGTGTTGTCGACTTCTCGCTCTCCCTTCTTCCGCCTCCTTGCCGGAGGAGGTGCTTTGTAGACGCAAGGCACACGTACTTTTGTGCAATTCGCGCAGCCGCCAGGAATTCGATCGCATTTGACCTTTCTCTGGGCACAGAGAACACAAGAAAAGCTTTTGTGGATGGCTTTTGCCACACCGTTCTGTGAGTCCGGCGACGGCTCCGACGTGGACGCATATGTGCCAGCCATGTGGGACAAAGAGGTTCTCACAGGGCCTAGACCATGACAGAGAAGTGATTATCGATGACAGTATATGGGCAATTGAAGGTTTCTGATAACGATGTATAGATCATCCGTTTTGGGTGTGAACATCTGGAGTTTCGGAGTGACATGGATGATGTAAGCGTCACTAACGTTAGTTAGTTAAGCCAACAGCGGCCTAGTCAGCCTCGCTGCTTCCCAACTCTCGTTCATCCTCACACACAATTCGAAGACCAAAAAAAAAACGTTACATAAACACAAGGCATTTAAATCTGCGCGGAGGAAGGGCGAATGAGATATCAGATAAGATCATCGCGAGCAAAAAGAGTCTCACGGCAAGCATATACGCCTCACCAGAATTATGTGCACAGTACAGATTTAAGAGAGAAATAATGAAATTCAACATGTAAAACGTTCGCAAAGTCATTTCCTAGGGAAACATCTAGATTATAGGAGTGGTATAAATGCCCCCTTTCCTGAAGATTTCAAGGCTATATGGTATGCTGGACGTGCAGAGCGCCGTGAGCAATGAGATACATCGAGATGATTCCTCATACCAGTCATGTACGCCCGCTTAGACACCATATTTTACCCACTTCTTGACCAACTCCACGCACAGATATGTGAAAGCATCTGGGTCATTAATTTGAGGTCGGAGATGGCCCAAACGTCCCAACCACAAACAGGCTGCGAGTATAGTGCCTTCGTCTTTTTCGATTTCAATGTCTGATGGAAAGATTCGAAAGTTAGAAACTTGGTGTACCCCGGGTACAATTATGTCGTTCGATCTCACAGGTTTGGGTCGAGAGATGAGGACAATGGGGGTCAGGGCTGGGATGGGTAGCAAGTCGTGAAGCACGATTTCCCAGCTCAACCCGTCCAGAAAGAATTCTACAGCACTAAGGACACGATTTGCCGCACCGTAAGATGATCGCTGTAGCTTCAAGTTCCATTCGGGTATTGTGAGATGGACCTTAGTCAACAGATATTTTGTACGGAAAGCAAATATTGCATCATGTCCAGCAACGAGATCTTTGGGTTGGAAAACGATCCTAGGCTTCTCCTTGAGATGAAACACAATGCCATTCAGCCAGTGCTTCTTGCTCTTGCCTACACAACCTGCGACCAAAAAGAGCATCTTGCCGATATTCCGGCCAGCATGCCTGTCCAATTTCCAGATATCGAGGTCGTTGTACTTGAGCTCTAGTCCAGCTGCCTCCTCGTTGAACTGGCGACACACGTACTTTAGCTGATTGAACTCTTGAGTCGGATCGATATCGACTGGCACACTCGCGCTCAACAGGGCACGCCCACGAGGCCAATTAACTTCTGCAAATAGCGGAATCTTGTCTGTCAGAGCGAGCTGACAGATGTCGTTCCGAAGTTCCGCGGGTAGGTTGAGGAAGCCGGACTTGATGGAAGTTGCGGTTGAGGCCATAGCTGATCGTCTGAGGGAAGTATGATGTATCTGTGTAGACCTTGAGCGTTGTGATTGATGATAAGAAGCTGCGATTGATGATTGGGAGTCGTTGTTGATGATAAGGAGTTGGATGGTGATTACTTAAAATGAGTGGAGAATATGTAAAGCGAGGAAAATGGTGTTTTGAAAGGAGCATGTATGTTGGTTCTACAATAAAGTTAGGTAACCTACAGATCTTGAGAAGTGATTGTTTATGCCAGAATGATTATTGTACAGTGCGTTCTCTTGCATTTCAGCCGAGATGAGACTTAGGCTGTTATCGCAATGTCATAGTAACTGTGTGGGCAAGCTTCTAGCTCTAGAATTTACATTGATCAAACTATCCGACACTACAGAAGCGCCCGAGCAGTACAATTACACCTCCGCCACCCTATACGGCGCCCAAACCCCCACAACCGCATCCACCATATCCGCCACAACCACCCTGTCCATCCCAAACTCCCCCACCAGCGCAACCAACATACCCAACTGCATCTTCTCATGTCCACTCAGTGTCGAACTAGTCCGCGCACTCAGCTTAACGATTACAAACACACTCGCCTCGCCCTTCTCTACACACGCATCGAACTCACTCATCACCCCACGCCATGAAGCGCCCTGCTGCTTGTCCAGCCAGTCCGCGCGCGGCACCTGCACGGAAAGCGTCGCGTCTTCGAAACTAACCTGCACGCTGCATGCGTCGATGAGGAATTTACCGTGTAGGCGGGTGAAGGGGACGAATTTGGGGTTTTCATCCATCAAGGCGCGCATGGTGAGGTATTTGCGCGGCGGGAGGAATATACTCTGCTCGCCTTTAAGTGGCTTGAGTTGCAATGCGGCTGGGATAGCGAGTTGAGCGACCGTCAAGGCCACGTCCATGGCTGTCATGGAAATAGGTGGGCAGTTTTTCAGCACGCTCTCCATGGTTAGTGTGTACTTACCGTCTGCTGTAAGGAAGTATTTGTAACGCTCTTGTTCGAGGGGGCCATGGAGGGGGGGGGGGGGGGAGTGCGTGCATGGTGAATGCGAATAGTGCATTTCGAATATTCCAGTGGCCAATCCATCTCAGCGAGCTATACAAAATCCACCACGCATGCTTCCTTTACTCATATTCCCTCCAGTATCCACTTACGAACGTGGTCCCAACCTCCGAGGCCTGAGGGCTTGAGGCTGGCCCGATCTTCTTCCGTGTGTGTGGGGAAGAATCGCAGATTGTCCGCCCACATGTCTCTCACTCTGACATCCTTGCGCCATGCCACCACCGAATCTAGAACATTAACGATACGAGTTAAGACGGGCACTAGGCCCGTGGACCTAGGGAAATCCTCCAACAGATCGTGGAAAAGTCTGTTCTCACGGAAAGTGAACAATGCCTGCAGCGCGTGACCGAACATGATCAGCTCTTCTTGTTCGTGGAAAATCCACGCTGGAAGCTGGTAGTGAATTCTCATGGAAGGATTGGCGCGGCAGACCTCCGCTAGCCGACGAAAAGTTTTGGCATCTTCTGGGAAGTCTGGTGCAGTGGTTGTAGTAATGTGCTGCATCCGTGGGGCGGCAGGATCATCTTGAGCGTCTTGAGTGGCGGCCATCCCGGATTTTGTAATTGCCAACACATCGTACTTGAGTGTAACTGTCTTTATCCAACCGTTTTTGGCGGGGGGGATGCTGGATAGCCACCCCAGCAGCATCTGTGCGGGAGGTTCATCCCATGACTCTGCACATACAAGGAGGTTATTGTACATGAGCTCTAAATGAGCGGTTTCAGCATACAGTTGCTTGTTGGCATGTTTAAGCTGATTGAAGATCGGCGCCCCCGTAACTGTCTTACGGATGCGAAGTGGCTGGGGCGAGGTGAGAGCTAATTCGTAGATCTGATTGCGTATTTCTGCTGGTAATGCAAGAAAAGTGGAGGCGGACATCGCGGGTTTTTGAGGAAACGCACAAGTGATTGTTCGCATCGAATTTTGTGTGGAGGCAGCGAAAGGATAGATGAAGAGGGCATGGGCACATGTTAGGAGGTTGCTTGCTTGGATGATACAGAAAGTGGTCTGTGCTTCACGACAATGTGAAGTCTCACATGAGAATTTCGCCAACCAACCAACGTCTGCGATCAGTGCATAAACTGTATTATTCTTTTTGTTGGAAAACGCTTCTATAAGCAATACGAGCCAAGAGTTGTGCACGGCTTCATCCAGTCTCGTCGCAAGATAGAAAGGAGGGCATAGCGACCTCGGGAGGGCATAGAGGAAGGTGCACTTGGCACAAGACTCAAGGGAAGTACACCGTGATATCACAACGGAGCTAGATGCCGCGAGAAATGATAGCGCATTGGTGCGCCGCCATGGTTGCTTCATGAAATCAGGATAGAAACTCTTTGTGGCTCCTCGTGTGGGCGCGCGTGCACGGACCATACAGTTGCCTCGGTGACATCACAAACAAGCTCTTGCCTGTCCAGACTTCTACACTCCACGCTGTCACTGTCCACCGTGCACAGTCTTCTTGCCCCTCCACGCTATATTTGACGAGCCTGCACAGTGCGCACTCGCGTAGCCGGCGCGAACTCTTTGCAAACTCTACCTCGTCCATCCCACCTTGTCGTCGATCATGGCCGACGCCCGTGGAGAGTACTGGTACTTCGAGCCAGGTGTTGACGCTTCCAAGATTACTGTCCCCGAGCTGAGGAGCATCTTGCTCAAGCATGGCGTCAACTATCCATCCTCCGCGAAAAAGCCGGACCTGGTCAGGCTGTTCAACGACGCTGTCGCGCCTCAGGCAGCACAGGTGAAGCGGCAGCAGGCGCGGACAAAGCGCTCAACGAGGGGCATCGTAGACGTTCCCTCCAGCTCTGCCAGCACTGTCACGACCGAGGATACCGAAGACGAGACTCTTCTGGCACCCCCACCATCAACGACGAGGCGCACCACCCGCCGCACCACGCGCGCACCGACAGAAGAGTCCGACGTGCCAGCACCACGTGCGAGGACACCTTCGCGCGCAGTGCCAGCCAAGCACAGCAGAGCCACCGAGGTCTTCGAGGCAGACGAGCGGCCTCCAGTCAGGCGCGTCAGGAAGAGTGTGACGCCCGCTGTGAAGGAGCCCACCCCAGAGCCCGAAGCATGGCACCGCCCAGCCGCCAACAGCCCGTTCACACAAGAGAACCCCTTCCAGAGTGGCAGCTCTCCAACTGCGCCTGAGACAGAGGGGCGTGACCGAAGAAGGAGAACCACGGGGTTTGGTCAGAAGGAGAGGCGCAAGAGTGAAGTCAACCGCCGTAGGACCTTCCAGCCGAACTCGGAGCAGCAGGACGATGGCGTTGTTGTGCCAAGCCGAGACGATTTCGACCCGCGCATCAAATACGAGGAGCCTGAGTTTACAGAGGAATTCACACCAGAGGAGCAGTTGGAGCTTGTCCGCGAGCGTGCGAAAGCCGGAGAAGTGGACATACTGCCACCGCGGAGGCGCAGGAAGCCCAAGGCGACTGGCACCCTGAAGGCCATGTCTGGTACACTACTCCTCACGGCTGCCGCCTTGTTTGGAGGAGCTTGGAGACAAGAAAAGATTGCGGTTGGTTTCTGCGGCCTGGGCCGTGATACCACCAGTCTTGCCGGCATCGAACTACCGGAGTGGGCATCCGATATTATACCCCAGTGCGAGCCTTGCCCGCCACATGCTCAGTGCTATCAGGACCTCCAGCTTATATGCGACCGCGACTTCGTCAAGAAAGAGCATCCTCTGTCTCTCAACGGCTTGATACCCATAGCACCTACATGCGAACCCGACACCGCCAAGACCCGACAGATCAACAACGTTGCCGACCGCGGTGTACAGATCCTGCGACAGCGCCGAGCAAAGTACGAATGCGGCGAGCCTGATGCTGAAGGAACCACTGTTGCCAGTCCTGAAATCAGCCAAGAGGATATGAAGAGACAGATGGCGGCAGAGAAGCGCAACAGCATGTCGGACCAAGAGTTTGACGACTTGTTCAACCGCGCATTCCCTGAGATGGAAATGCGAGACGAGGTTGTCGCATCTACTGACGGGTAAGCACTATTTTCCAGGCGTTGGCCATTTATGCAGCTTTCTGACGATCTTGTACTAATCAGTTCCCTTGCTGTTGATACAGAACAACCGGAGGAAAACTCGTTGCATCAAATTCTCTCGCCGAGCTCAGCCTCGCCTGCAGCGTCCGCAGATCCGTCAGACGATCCCTTGAACGATATCTTCTCCAGATTATTATGATCATCTTCGCCATTGCTACCGGCTCCTATGGCAAGTACTCGATCACCCACAGTCGCGCCATGGAGACACGCGCAAAGCAACTCGCCGGAGATGTTTTCGACCGCCTCGCCAACCACGCAGCACTGAGCATGCAAGAGCCTGGAGCATACCCAGACAAGGGTGTGAGCATGACGCAACTACGAGACGATGTGCTTCGGACTGAATTCTCGACTTCTCGGAGGCAAAAGCTGTGGGAGAGGGTACAGAAGAAGGTCGAGTTCAATTCCAACGTTCGTGCGGCGGTCCGAACGACTGCTAACGGTGACGTCGGACGCATATGGGAATGGACCGGTCCTATCAAGCCGCTTGAGGATGGACGCAGCAGTGGTAAACGAGAAAGCGGTCGCTTCAGCCACGGCATGGGTAGCAGCCCTCCAAATGCAGGGGAGATGACCCAGAAGTGGGATGAAGGTCGCCCTATTTACTAGACATTTTTTGGTGTGCCTTCCATTTGTTCACTCAACACGCGCTCAGTATGGCATATGGAGCTGGGGTATTTTGGCTTTGCTTCGCATGATACCAGATCTAGGGCAGCATTTTTAACAATTTACTTTTCTCAATTGCGCAACTTTTCGATGCTGTGAGAATGACATCCTCGGTCAGAAATTGCTTTTAAAAAAGACAATGGCATAAGCTTCGAGCCACACAGGCTAAAGACGCAAATTGCCTATCTCGATGATTAATGTTGAGCTGCGGGTGAAGATGGTGCTGGTTGTGATGAGTCCGTGCGCGTGGCTGATGTGTGGCTTTGCCCCACCCTAGCCTAGCGGTAGCCGAGATTCCCACACTCGTGCAAATTGGACTTCGAGACATCATCAACCCGCCAATCCGTCGACCTCACACTAACCGACAGTCACAAATACCGTCAAAATGGTGAGTGAACATGATCCTATTCTATAAGAGGGCACTTGGACAGCTGCAATACGATACGAGCGACGAGCGAACGAACCTCCAACGACGATGACGACGATATCTGCGACCAACACAGTGGAGGACGAAAATTATGCCGAGCATATGAGAAGGACATACCATAAGAGACATCGCATTGTGCCGTACCGGGATAACTAGGGACACCATCGCTTTGCGAGCTGCTGAGCCGTTTGGATGCGTCACAATACTTCGGGAGGCAGTGGGCAACAAACTGCGCAAGCGCCACAACACCATCCTTCCACAGCAATCACTCCGAGAAACGTCTCAAAATGAATGCGCTCGGTCCTGCTGCATTGCTAAACGAACTTGCTCGCGCAGAGGCATCGCGCATATGACAGCCCTCCGGACACCATCAGCTCCGCGTAATACGCCCACACTCACCCGCCCGTCGCTCGATTATGTTGCACGTTGTCCAATATCCCGGCCTTTCACTGAAACATGAAGCTTTGTCACAAAAGACATACGCGCTGACAAACCTCTTCAGGTCAACGTTCCCAAGACCCGACGAACCTACTGCAAGGGCAAGGACTGCAAGAAGCACACCCAGCACAAGGTCACCCGTCAGTAATCCGATGTATCTTCCACCTCACCCGCATACTGAATTCCAACAGAGTACAAGGCTGGAAAGGCTTCGCTGTTCGCCCAGGGAAAGCGTCGTTATGACCGCAAGCAGTCCGGTTATGGTGGTCAGACCAAGCCCGTCTTCCACAAGGTGCGCTCAGTATGCAAACATTTGCCGAATATACACTGACAAAACACAGAGGGCGAAAACCACCAAGAAGGTCGTTCTCCGTCTAGAGTGCACACAGTGCAAGACCAAGGCACAGGTATGTTGCGGCAATATGACAGTACTGAACACACACTAACATTGTCCAGCTCGCACTCAAGCGATGCAAGCACTTCGAGCTTGGTGGTGACAAGAAGACCAAGGGTGCCGCTCTTGTCTTCTAAACGCGTTCCCTCTTTCTCTCTCTTTTGCTGGGCCTTCGGCGTAGTCCTATGGTGGACAGGATGGACGGCTTTCACAATCGACTCTTACAATGCGGCGAAGCGATGAGGAGGACGACATGGAGGATCTGGGGATGAAAAGGTCGCCAGTCACGAAAGTAACGGACGGTAGCCTACACCTACATATGCATCAAATGGAGCACGATTGAAGAGACGTACACACCTTTCGCATTTATGAGCCAGATCGTAACAATGCCGAGAAATACATGATGCTTTCTAAGTCTGTGAGGTGGGTCGCGGCTTCATAGCGGAGTCACTTTCCCGTTCTACCCCACCATCGCACTTCGTGCGCCGTCGAACATTGACATCTGACTTTACAGCCAAGTCACACTTCATCCACAATCACAATTCCTGCTATGGCTGACGTGGCGAAGAAGACTGTTCTCGTCATCGGCGGAGGTGCCGTGGGTGCCATTGCCGCTCTCAATCTCGACGCCGGCGGTCTTGCAGAAGTCACGATAGTCCTCCGATCAAACTACGAAGCCGTGCAAAAGAGCGGCTACGACTTTGAAAGCTGCGATCACGGCACCGTGAAATCCTGGAAGCCCAGCGTCGGTAAATGATGCGTCCAATCAATTTCCCTCCAAACCTCATAACTAACACCCACACCTCGAAGTCCGCAACACCATCCCCAACATCACCACCGAAAATCTCCCACCATACGACTTCATCCTCCTCGCCACCAAAAACATCCCAGACATCCCCCCAACAGCTACCGACCTAGTCCTCCCTGCCCTTCCCCAGCAAAACACTCACACAACCCTCATCCTCCTCCAAAACGGCCTCAACATCCAACTCCCCTTCCTCGCTACCCACCCCACCACCCCCGTACTCTCCGGAGTCTCGCTAATCGGCAGCGCGGAACTCACCCCGGGTCAAATCGTGCACGACGAACCCGACCGGCTATTCATCGGGGCATTCGACAATCCAAATTTGCGTCCTGAGCAGCTTGAAGATACGGCGAAGTCGTTTGTCAAGTGTTATGCTGCAGCCGGCAAGACGAGTTGCGTGTATAGTCCGGATGTGTTGAGGGATCGGTGGAAGAAGTTGGTGTATAATGCGTGCTTGAATCCGATTTGTGGGATTGTCGGGGTGGATAGTGGGAGGGTTAGGTTGGCGAATGGGGCGCTGGATGGACTTGTCCGGCCTGCGATGCGGGAAATTGTGCTCGCGGCGAAGGTGAGGGCGGGTGTGGAGCTTGATGCGGATGTCGTGCAGAAGACGATTGAGATGGATCCGTTGACGAGTTATTTGAAGCCGAGCATGCAGCAGGATTTGGAGAAGGTTAGTATTTCCGTTTTTCTCCTGGTAGTGTGAGGCTGGTGTGCCTATTTGGCATGATAAATGTTGTTGAGAGCTATGTGGTGCGTGTGCTAACGACAGTCAGGGCAATTTCATTGAGTTTGAGAATTTGCTGGGTGAGCCTTTGAGAGAAGGGCAGAAAGCTGGTGTGGCGATGCCGACGCTCCAGGTGCTGTATCATCTTGCGAAGGCGATCCAGTGGCGGAATATGGAGAAGAAGGGGCTGGTCGAAGTGCCGAAAAAGGTTTGAGTTTGGAATGTATGTGACAGCGCAACGTGTGTCGATATTGCCGTTAAGCCGCTGGGTTGCTGAAATTACATAGCTGATCTATACATGGTATGGGGTGGGGCTCTCGTACTTTAGCAGCATGAGGCAATGACTGGGAAAGACTCAGGGTTGTTTATCCTCGACTCTAGACAGCTCGCGTTACATTTGCAAGGGAAAATTGATGAAGTACCATTCACATGTATTGGTGCCCACCTACTTCTAACTACCCTATTGGACGAAAGCAGGAATATTGTCCATCAGTTCCTTGGGGGCTTCATCAGCTCTCTGTTTTCGCTCGTATCGAAGCATACATTATGTTCTTCAGGACAACATCGCCAAGTCTACAGAAAAACGGTCCGTCCCCACTGTTGCTCGAATACTGGACGCCCCTCCACTCAAAACCTTTTGATAGCCACTTATTTGCCGAGTGCTCCCAGGCGGTCATCATGTCTCGGCCATTCTCATCGTAGAAGAAGCCGAAGTCCTTGAAAATTCTGTCATCAGCATCGGACAAGATGTCGGCTATAGGGAAGAAGCGGAGATTTGGCACAGCCAGGCGTGCGACTTCTCACTCTGGAAAGAGTACATCCAGTTCATCCCTCCCAGAAAGATATTCCCTTAGCATTGAGGTAGAATATCGCGCTGGTGAATCGATCTCCATCGCATCGACGATGTAGTTATACCGAAGGAGAGCATTCTTCACAAGCCCATTGAAGGCGATATGGAAGGCGGTGCGGCTGGTCTTATGATTAAAGCATGTCAATCCATACTTGATGTTGATGTGGGCGTTGTACCAACACACATCGCCTAGGTGAAGCAGCAACTGCTTGTCGCCATTGATTGCACAGCACGTCATGTTGATCGCGTTGCATGTTTCATCACCGCTAAACAATTCCACTTCACGTACCAGTTCGCGCTGCTCGGCAAAAAGGGCAGCGAAGAAGCCTAGAAAGCGCTCGGTAGCCGGGACTGGATCTTCGCAATGGCTCGAGAACATGACTTCTGTATTGAACTTGAGGCGTAGTGATTTTGTCTCCTCGTAGAGCTCTTTGCATATACCCTTGAGCTCATATGAGAGAAGAGTTTTTGGGTGTTAGCTCGGAGTCGTTCTCCAGGTTGTCGTCGACTTGTGTGATGACGGCGGACTTGGCGTGATAGTCGAGATAGCCCTCAGAAACGTGGTGGATAGTGCGCCCAGGGGCCGTGAGAACTAGAGCATAGATCATGTTCCATAATCCGCCGGGAAGACGCAAGAAATCTGAGTTTTGGACAATTGTTGGAAGTGTGGATGTCCCTACCGTACGCGGGTCGCTTGTTGCGGGGTTGGCCATGTTGTGTAGAGTTTTGTTGAAGTTTGGCGATAGTGGCACTTGAGACGCGGTGGGTTCGCTATAAAGTTGAGGATGCTGTGCTTTACGGTTTGGTGGAGGGTACCTAGGTATGTTATAAAGTAAGGTAACGAGAACCGATGTGTATATTGATGACCTCGGGAATGCCTAGTAGCACTCGACCTGTATGACCATCTTTTATGGAGAGCTTTCACGTACCGTTCATCTTTAGTGCCACTGAACAGTACTAAAACGTGTCTAGGAAGCACCAAGGGGCGTAAGAGCGTGTCACTAGGAATGAAACTTGTCGCTAAAGCAACAGGCTCCTCAATAGGCGAAATATCCCCCACGGAGGATCGGAAGTTTAATCACTTCTCTCCTTGCGGCACCATACTGAACACAAGCTCTCTCCATATTCACTTTCAACCAAAACGAACGCGCAATGAGCCATAACTCTGCCTGAGATCCTTTGCATCGCGCTGCGCTACCCACTCCTATATATACTGAGTTGCTCCCGTAATCACATCCACTCTTTTACCACCACATCAAGTCAACTTCAGCCGAGTCAACTTCCCAAAGAACGACTCTTAGTCTGCCGCAATGTCTCAATCACAATCCCGACTCTTGCAGCTCCCGGCTGAAATTCGAAACAACGTCTATGACTACTTGTTCAAGGATCCAGACAAGGTCATCCCCCACACCGGAGACACCTCGAATCAACTCAAGCTCGTGTGCTGGCAGCTATACCACGAGACCGCATGGCTTGAGGTGCGCCTAAACGACATCCTCATTATGATCCAGGATAGTTCCGAACAACCTGGTCCTGCGCAGCAACTGGTCACGTTCCATTCACGGGGGTATCCTATTGGTTCAGACCGGCATCTTCAAACGGTCGTTCTAAAGCAGAATTTCATCAACAATTCTCTGATCGGTCGTTCATTCTCAAAGAACCCGCTGGAAGATCCAAGCGGACATATTGCTCCAGTGTCCGAGTCGCACACTACCTTCCTACAACTCGCAGATATCTGCCGTGCAAGCCCTCAACTGAAAGTTCGTTACATTCTGCCGGGCTTCTTCCTTGATGAAAACCGGCCAGACGCAGCCCTTTATTTCATCTTGCAAGGCGTGTTTTATACATGCGCCATCCGCGAAGGGAATGATTTCAAATTGCTCTGGAACTTGCCAGCTCTTGCCTTTGCTGGAGCAAACATTGCCGCTCGAGCCAACTTGTGGCTACGGTATCAACACTGCAAAACCAAGGTACAACTTGAGATGGAGGTAATCCGCCACAGGAGAGGTCAATACGTTCAAAGTTTACTTGGCGAGGAGGCGGAGGAAGAGATCCGGGACTTCCTTGCCAGGGGCGGATATCAAACTATCCACCGACATGTGTTTGAACGATTGCGGCTGCCTAACCTCAAGTTCTTTCCCACCTGTACCAAATTCGACGAAGCTGAGTTCAAGCGGCTTCTGCTCAATTCAGCATCGGCTTCGCCTACCGCAGCTGCCATGCTGAACGATCTAGTGGCGCAGAATCTCGTGGACTTCTGGGTAACGAAAGCCCGAAAGTGGGTGGAGGAGGGTATCTGAAGTGTACAACTTCGGAATCAGAAGGATGGGAGAATAGTTGAAAGCAGGAGAATATAGTATACGAAGAAGTGCGATGTACAAGGGTTGAAATGTTGAAGTAAATAATAAAAGTGTTTGAACGAAGCGCTGCTATCTATAACATCTTGATTACATCTCGATTGACTTGAGGGTACCTCATGCGCTCGCCGTTGCCTCTAGGTATTGCTTGCTGAATTCATAGTCGATGTAACCCTTCGGTGTCTTGGGCGTGTAGAAGACCGAACGGTCGTAACGAACCAGGGGAACGCCCTCTCTGACGCGAAATACTAGGTCAGGGTTGGCGACGAAGTACCTTCCAAAGGCAATGATGACATCGTAATCCTTGTAGGTCTCGTCCACCGCCTGCTTCGCGGATTCGGGCAGAAATCCCCCAGCAACAATGACAGGGCTGGCATTGTCCCACAGCTTAACCATCCAGCTCACCGATTTCTGCCCACCACAATCTGCGTCGTCGTTGCCCTTTATGCGGGCTTCTATGAGATGGAGGAATGATAATCCAATCAACTTGAGCTCCTTTACAAGATATTCGAAGGTTGGTTCAGGCTCGTCCATTAGCATCCCGATGAAGTCACTATATGGGCTGAGCCGCATCGCTGTTCGCTCAGCGCCAATTGCGTTGACGACCGCTTTTGTTACTTCAAGATGGAATCGTGCGCGATTCTCGATACTTCCACCCCAACGATCAGTACGTTGGTTGCAGGTGGTTTGCAGGAATTGATCAGGAAGGTACCCGTTAGCGCCATGGATCTCAACGCCGTCAAATCCAGCTGCGATGGCGTTCTTAGCTGCCTTCGCATAGTCTTTTATGACGTCCTGAATGTCCTCCTCGGTCATAGCTTCTGGCGTATCGTCCTCAGGTGAGATGGGAACCGCACTCGACGATAGCAATTTGAATCCCTCGGCTTCGAGGACTGCGCGTTCTCCATTTCGACCTTGATGCCAGAGTTGACAATATATCGCACAGCCTTTAGCGTGTATCATTGATGTGATCCCCTTCCATGACTCAATCTGAGCTTCAGACCATATCCCGGGGACATTCCGGCGTCCAGCTGCGTTCCTCGCAATGATAGTGGCCTCGCTTATGATGAGCGTGCCTGGGACGCAAGCCCTCTGCTCATAGTACTCTGTGATAGTGTCAAAGTCTCATCCCCAAAAGTGCTCTGGTGTTTTAGTTAAACGAATTGACGTTACCTTTACTCATGGGAGTCGCTTTCCACTCATCATCCATGCGAAACCGCGTCAGCGGCGCCATTGCTACGCGGTGACCTAATTTGGTCGGGCCAATGGCCAACGGTTCGAAAAGTTTGGACATAATGTTCGCTTTCGAAGATCGCAGATTGTTCGGCTTCAAAATTGTACAAATGTAAAATAAGATACTTTTCGGTAGTGGTCCTGTGGTCTCGAGCGATAATCAATCGAGTGTGCCGAGTTGCCCTTCAACATACAAAGGCTTCCGCCCAAGGAAAAAAATCGGCATAGCCATAACTAGCGGGTTATTTAGGCTTGGTATCGCCTGTTTGGTGATAACCTAGAGGCCGCAGGCATTGGTGGTAGCGGAGAACGAATGTGTCCCGGATCAGGAACGCGTCTTGTGGCGTCGGCTCAAACTTGCCGATGTCTCCCACGCTAAACATGACCCACTCCTGCGTCCCTTCTCTCGCGATAGCATCCTTCGACTTACCGTCGGACATCCGAAAGTGACGGAATGCTAACAGGTAAGCCGAACGACCACGAGTATGGCAAATATCGGCAATCTCGCTGTGTTCCCGATGTCTTCTCCACTCGCTTGCTCGACCCCTGACGGTGCCCAAAATGTGGGTAGCTGCATGCCGATCTTTGACAGCACGACACTCAGAGAGCTGCATGCAGCGTACGATGCATAGTGTTCAGATCGACGTGTGTGCTGGAGGCGGCGTATGATCAAGAGACAACGCGCGACCATCAACCAGCAATCATCAAACGACATGTCGACCTCGAGGTCGTCTCCCAAAGAAGACAGGGCCCAAGAGAAAGACCTCCCTACAGAGATTCTGAGCAACGCCGATGCATCTGTTGCGGGATACGACAGCCCAGACTCTACACCATCGTCTGAACAAAGACCACGAGATGATAGCGACGCGGAATCTGTCAGTGGGCAAAGGAATGTCATGTCATCAAAGCAACTCAGAATCGCTATTCCAGCCCTTTCAGTATGCCTATTCGTTTCCTTCATCGATCAGACAAGCGTCTCAACAGCGACTCCTGCCATTGCTGGCGACCTCAACACTGGAACGGCAACCTCTTGGATAGGAACTTCGTTTCTGATCGCTTCGACCGCCTTTCAGCTGATCAACGGAAGACTGTCCGATATTTTCGGCCGCAAAAATCTTTTGTTGATATGCCTTGCTCTGATGGCTCTTGGGGACCTAGGATGTGGTTTCGCGCAGACGGCAGTGCAACTTTTCGTTCTCCGTGCTATCGCAGGTATCGGTGGCGGAGGTATCAACAGCCTCGTAATGATCATCGTGAGCGACATCACTACCCTGCAAAATCGTGGTAAATATCAAGGTCAGTGTTCGAAGCTATCTTGGAATATTTTCTGTTATACTCATACATTGTAGGCTGGCTCGGCGCTGTCATTGCTCTCGGGAACGGGATTGGTCCATTCCTCGGAGGAGCAGTTGTCCAAGGCGCAACCTGGCGCTGGATTTTTTGGATGATACCCATGATGACACTACCAACTGCAGCTGTCATTTTGTTCTTCCTGCCTTTAAAGCATCGATCTGGAGATTACATCGAGAAGATGAGAAAAATTGACTACGTTGGTATACTGCTAAACGTAGCATCTACTTTGCTGCTCCTGATACCTTTGTCCGGTGGCGGTGTCCAGTATGCCTGGTCATCGCCTTTCTTCCTCGGTGCTACAGCCACTGGCGCAGTATTAGCCGTTCTTTTCGTGCTGTACGAGTGGAAACTGGTAGCCCTTCCAATCATGCCGCTTCGCCTGTTCCGGGCTCCTCATTGCTGGTCGCTCTACTGCCAGTCCTTCTTGACCGGTCTCGCCTATTTTGGAAATTTCTTTTATCTCCCAATCTACTTCCAATCAATACTACGTTACACCCCTCTGGTTTCAGGTGCGTTGATCTTGCCGGTCATCATCACCACTTCAGTTACGTCGATTGCATCTGGTCAGTGGATGGCACGTATAGGCAGCTACATGCCTTGTATCCTTGTCGGGTTTGCACTCTGGACTCTGGGAAGTGGGCTCACATTGCTTTTTGACAGAGGGACCGGCCTTGCGGTGCTGGTAGTGGTCCTCATCGTGGAGGGTGCTGGCATTGGTCTCACACTTCAGCCAACCCTCGTTGGCATTTACGCGAATAGCCGCACCGACGACCGCGCCGTCGCAACGGGATTACGCAATTTTCTTCGAACTATAGGCGGCGCCTTCGGCTTGGTCGTATCTGGAGTGATCCTTTCGAACACTCTGAGTCGGAACTTGAGCGGCGAGACCTTTGTATCTGACGGTCTGATTGCAGACCTCACATCCTCGACATATGCTCTGGATGCGCTGGACCTTACCCGGGATCAACAGAACTTAGTTCTCGATGTTTACATGCTGGGATTACATTATGTTTTTGTATTCTTCACGGCGTGCTCTGGCCTTAGCTTAGTTCTCACTATATGGGTCGGTAACACCAGTCTCAAAGCGCCCAAGAAGGCTGAGGACGAAGAAGCTGCATCTGACAAGATCGATGAAATGGCATGCCAAGACCACGTCGCACCAGATTCGAATGTCGCTACAAGTAGCAAAGATGTGAAGGAAACGAAGGGGCAAAAACGAGAGAAGAGCCCTGCCATATAATGTTTTGGACATCTCCTCAAATCAACCCCCTAATCTATACTGACAAAGTTGTTGATGTATACTCGGAGATTATAATAGATACTGGGTTTTGCTGAATGTAGAAGCACATCAACTCACAGATCTATTTTGATGATTACTTCTTACATGTAACAACAGCTGACTATCGTTTCCATTACTTGTAAGATGCGAATGCCGGCTGTCGTGAATCATTGTGATTTTCCTGAAACATGAGTCGTGCATTCATCGCCAAAATGACCTTCCTAGAAAGGCTTAGAATTGGCCAAATTCCCGCGCATGCTGTCTACCGTTATCTTCGAGTTCACTGCATTACTAAAACCCCGCTTTACATGGCGTGCAGGTAGGGATGTTTCTTTAGCGTAACTTTGCCGAAGTTCACGGCTCCGATGTCGAACCTGTTATCGTTGAGGTTGGATTGGTCTGCGCCGACAGTTCATCAGGTCCATTGTGATGCGGTTCAATCCGATCCGATGTCGACGGGTAGAACTGGAAGCACAGAGGTTGGATATGTGTCAGGAAAGACGTTTGTATATAATCATTGAAGTCTGTCTAAAAGCCCTATTATTGTTGACTTCGTTCCCACCATAAGTCAAAGCACCTTCGCCTCTATCTCTATACATACTTTACTTGTCACAATGCCTGAAGTCTACGCCGCACACCCCGAATTTGCCTTTCCTCGCGATTTCAAGGGATTTGGCGAGAAGGGGCTTGAAGGTCTGAAGTGGCCAAACAACGCAAAGATTGCTGTTTCTTTTGTCATCAACTATGAAGAGGTGAGTTCGAGATTCTGGAATGCCTAGATAGTCATTTCATCAAGTCGCTGACCGTGCCCAGGGCGGTGAACGCTCAGTAATGACGGGCGATGGTGTGTCAGAAATCAGCCTCCGCGAGTATCCAGCAACACAAAGAATAAATGAGCGCGACTACAGCGGTGAATCCGAATTCGAATACGGCTCACGTGCCGGCTGGTGGCGTCTATTCAAGCTCTTCAACGACTACAAGATGAAGTTCACTCTTTACGCTGTCGGTGCAGCCGTTGAAGAGCAACCCGAAGTTGTTACTCGCTGTGTTGAAGAAGGTCATGATATTGCTTCACACGCATATCGCTGGATCGACCACCATAATCTTAGTGTCGAGGCTGAGAAGCAGCACATTCGCGACAATATCATAGCGCTCAAGAAACTTTCTGGTTATGCCCCCAAAGGATGGTACTATGGACGACCGTCGCCACAGAGTAGAGCTCTTATCCCGCAGGTGTACGAAGAGATGGGCGAGGAGCTTCTTTGGGCTAGCGATGCGTATGCTGATGACGTCCCATACTGGACCGATCTACCGTAAGAAATATCGATCAGGAACTTAGACTTGGGTATTAACTTGGAGACCAGACAAGAACGCAACAGCGCGAATCCCAAAGGCTGCCTGATGGTACCCTACAGCTACGACTGCAACGATTTCAAGTTCCTCAATGGTGGTCCTGGTTTCCGCAGCGCTGGTAGTTTCTCGGAGTATCTCATCAATGCCTTCGACGTGCTGTATGAAGAGGGTGAAGCGGGCGCACCAAAGATGATGACCATTGGGCTGCACTGTCGCATCATTGGTCGACCAGGTCGATACAAAGCTTTGCAAGACTTCGTCAAGTATATATCCAAGAAGGAAGGCGTATGGGTCGCAACGCGGACGGAGATTGCGGAGTCATTCAGGGAACAGTTTCCATATAAGAAGGGCCAGCGATAGCATAAACGCACAAAAGGCGAATATCGATATCAAGCCATATTCACTCCAACACTTGTCTTGTCCCTGCACTGTAATTGCATGTACGCAGCCCGTGGAAAGGTTTGTATATATTCTGCAACATTGGGCCTGATATGGTGTTACCTGTAGCCACCGAAGTTCCAGTGATCTGCGCCTATCGAGCGGCTTGGCTCTCCATGTGTATTGCTGCATCTTGTATTGGGTCCACGCCATACATGCCCGCATTTTCGTAAGCACTCCAGCTCATCTCATGCTGGGAGTTGTTCATGCTGTCGAACCTAATGCCATGACTAGGAACAGGAGTGTTGTCGTCTCTAACCATGTCGTTCCACATCCTCCAGCCCTGCCACCCGCCAGGCGCTTCCTCGTCCACCTCCATGAATGCATCTTTGACCGCATCAGTCACCATATGAGACATGGTGTGCTTGCCGATCCCTGTCGTCTTCGGTGAGGCTTGGTCGTGCGGAGGCAAGCCGGCACTGATAGGTTCCTGGTCCATATCAAGCTGCAGCGGACGAGCAGCGCCGGAGAGCGATGTTGTCGAGGCAGATTGTATCGTGAGCTTGAACAAACTCCCTGACAGGGCATCGAAAATGTCACGATACTTGATGGCTCCTGGCCACTTCTCGCCAAAGATGGTCATGATTTGCGAGCAGGCGCGAGTTGCTTCAAGCGCATCGTATGAGAACAGCGAACGGTCGCGCCAAATGCAATACACTAATGTTAGCCCTGCCACGAAGCACGAGTGCAGGGATATCATGGTATATGTCAGAGTTCCGTTCTGGCTTAGTCTCTTGTACGCGTTGCAAGCACAAGCCGCCGAGCGCGTGCAAGTGATAAACCGGGGATCCGAAGTATCGAGAGTAGGGAGAAAGACCGTATAGAGGAAAAGTACGGCTTTGTGATATTGTCTGTAATACATTTCTTAGTGATGTGATTGAAGTCCAGTCAACTTGTCTTACACGCCATAGAAGTCCCGGGCATCAAGATATGCACTCTCCGGATCATACATCCATGTGATCTTGTTTTCTTTCTTCGGTGTCTTAGGGGCGGTTTGTACCCAGTTGTCAAGATCTTGCCTTATTTTGGCCATTTTCCGATCCAGCTTAGCTCGTTGCTCCGGCGAACTATTGAAGACGTCTCTGTCGATGCGGAAAACCGCTTTATGAATACGAGACTGGATTCGATCGAGCTTGATGATGTGGATAAAAGGTTGGATGTTGGACCAGTGCTCCTCATTTGGCTGTGAAGCTTCCTGGTGTGTCAGGCTCCAGAATTCTGAATTCGTACTTGGAAGCTTGTCTCGGTTAGTCATAGACATCCCATCATTTGCTTAAACCTACTTCGACATTTATGTCGCGATCTGCGATTGCAAATGCCCGGCCGAGCACGATGCTGGTCATTCGATCCAAACAGTAGCAAGACCAGAAGACCCGGCGACGTATTTCTGCGTCTCTCCTCTGCTCAGACGAGGCAACTGTGCTCCTCTTCCTATGTAGCCCCATTTCGATGCATACTGACGTCGCATATCGGACTTGAGACCAGGCTCCTGCGCCATAGGGAGACCTTTGGCCATGCACACCGAGAAGAACTAGGAATTGAACAGTTGCAAGATCGTGTTGATCTAAGACATGATCCATGGATGCGGTTGCTGCCATAAGTTGACGCTACTTTATGTAAGTCAACAATATGAAATTTGACTTTTCTGAGCTTACCTCGTAGTCAACGCCACATGGTTTTCTGGTCAAAGAAAGAAAACGGGCTGTAATCGCGTAAATGAGGTGCAAGATGCTACGCTCAGTGATGGTCAAAGACCCTTGGCCGTACTGCTTCTCGAACACCTTCGTATAAATCACACGGTCTAGCAATGGCCAGCGCGTGTGTATGCGCTCGAAGAAAACATCGAATAACATGCGCGACTGTTCCCAGTCCGGAAACTCGTATACAGGCTCTTCTGACTGAGCAGACAAAGAAGGTCTCGAGGTCTCCGAAGATTGGCAATCGTCGGCAAGTGCGGGCTGGCCGATCGCTCGACCGCCTGCGCTTCGAAAGATTGATGATTGTAATACACGTGCAATCGTAGCTCCTGAGCTGGAACCAACATAATAAGGCTCGTGCTTGCCGCCTGTTGTACCAGACGCACACAGCGACAAGTACGCCACGCCATCTATGAGTGATGTCCTATCATCGACGTCCTGGTCCTCGGATATCGAGGTTCTGTGAGAATGGCCTGAAAGATTCAGTTGCTCATCCAGCATTGATAGATCTCCAGCATCTTTTGATGGAGAACTGGTAGGATTTTCCAAGCTGGGGTCGTAGTGATCCTCGGCGTGGTCGGGAAGACGAGCCTCAAGGAAAGCCACACGTTCCTCTAGAGCAGAGATGTATCTGACACTAATTAGAATTTGTTCCATGGCCTCTCTCCATTGAATAAGATCGATGCAGCTTGGCTTACAAAGACTTGCCACCGGGGTACTGTGGCCGCACTGTTCTCTCATATGCACATGGCACACTAGCTCTCTCACAAGACTTGCAAGGATGAGCACCATCACACTTTCAAGGTTAGGAGCCTTGTTGCTGTCGGATCGGATCAATCCAACTTACTCGCTGCTTTCTTCGTTTACATCTCTTGCAAGCCAAGGCTACGCGAGACTTGCGCACAGCAGAGAGCCTGCCAGAGTTGGCGTCGCGCAAGGAGGCTTCGGGTTCTGCACCGGATGGAAGTGCTGATTGAGCCGCAGGCCCGTTTCCCTCCTGGGCAGAGGAGTTACTCAATGGACTCGTTGGATAGGGCTGCATGATGGTCCGTCCGTCGATAGTTGGCGTATGCTCTGCACTCCTACAGTTCCCGAGCTGTGGTATGTGGTTGTAGCACGTGGAAAGTGTACATATTCCGACATCGCACCCAACGACATAGTTCTCGGTATTTCTGTACCGGCAGTGCCATTTTGTGGATATGATCACCGAGTCGAGTGCTATCTTACAATAAATCGTGCGAGGGCCGCTGCGGTGGCCGGTTGGGCATAGCCTGCCTTGGCGCGGATGCTTGCTTCCGTAAACATCCAGGATCGATAAGACACATTACGTCGCGAAAAGATAACCAGCGGAAAACCGCATTTGTTCCCGTCTCCCTCGGTACAAGCAGATAGATGTCTCAGTGCCAATATACAGGGGCTGCGACTGGTACTTACCATACATAGTTATGTGGTCGCGTCCGCTTGGCGACGCGCCACATCGGGTGGAATTCCGCCGACGAGGTCCAGTCGAATTTCTCTATCTCTGGGCTTCAATTGAGATAGGTGGTACGTCAAGAGGGTGGAGGTGAGATATGAGCGATCAAAATACATATCAAGGATCTGTCTATTCCGATAAAATGGACATGAACCATAACTGTCAGCAAATTATCGTTGCCATTGGACAAACATGGGCAAATTCGACATGGCGTCAAGGCACAGGATGACAGCACCTTTCCAATCAAAAGATGCATTCCTCAATTTTGTCAAAGCTCCGCAAGGCAATGAAGGTCATGCCACAATCGGGGACACCAAATGGTCTAATAAAGATCTCGAGCCCACACCAGAGGAACATCGAACTTGGACATGGTAAGACAACTGGCAAGATCTATCTCACAAATTGTTAACGAAGTACCAAGGTATAACCTCCCACTCTACTGGTTTTCCAACAAATTTTCTCTGGTTGGCTGGAACACAGGTGCCTCGTTGGTAACCATTGGCCTGGTAAGTTTGGTCCGAAGGCGCAGAACGGAGAACATGCTTCTGACATGGTATAGACATGGCAACAATCCTTCGTTTCTGCGTGTATTGGGTCATTCCTTGCGGCCATTGTGGTCGTTCTCATGGCCCGACCTGGCGTTAAATATCATATCGGATTGTAAGATGCTCGTTCCACGGGGACTGTGTTCTTGCTAACATTCTACAGCCCGGTCCTTGCACGTTCAGTCATGGGCATGTATGGATCTTACTTCTTCGTATTTATCCGAGCTATCGTCTGTATAATCTGGTATGGTATTCAGACTTTCTACGCTGGCAATTTGCTCTCAGTGATGCTTCGCTGCATCTTCGGCAACAGCTGGAAGAACTTTGGGAACACACTTCCTGTCAGGGCAAACGTAAACTCAAAGCAGCTTTTGACGTTTTTCATGGCGTGGCTTCTTGAGTTCCCGTTCGTAAGTGATAATGCTTGCCGGATGAACAAATGAGCATCTGCTGACTGCGAAGATGTTTATTCATCCTCGGCACAGCCACTATATTTATACCGTAAAAGGCTTCACAATGCCCGTGGCGGCCTTCGCCGTTTTTGGTTGGTGTATGGCAAATGGAGGCGGGCTCAATGCTATGAATCTTGCCTCGAAGACTGTCTCAACACCCTTGGGCTGGCGAATTATGGCTGGCGTCAACACCATCTTCGGATCACTATCCCCCATGTTAGTGAATCAGCCTGATCTTGCTAGATACTGTAAGAAGCCTCGCGATGCTGGTCCGATTCAGGGAGTAAGCGTCTTTGTTGCATCCGTCCTCGTATTCTTCCTTGGTATGGCATCAACGACTTCCATTCAGGCGAGATGGGGCACAGCGTATTGGAACATCTGGGATTTGTTCGACGCTATTCTTGACCACTATTTCAGTGCTGGTGCACGCGCTGGTATTTTCTTTGCCGCCCTAGCATTTTTCTTCGGCGTGTTTGCTACAAACTTCGGATCTAACTCTATTCCTTTTGGCGCTGATATGACCGGTCTATTTCCAAAATGGCTCACTATTCGCCGTGGACAAGTCCTTTGCGCTCTTCTTGGCGTGATCGTTCAGCCCTGGCAGCTCATGGCCAATGCTTCGGCTTTCCTCAGGCAAGTTCCCTGCATTATTTGGATTTGAGCAGCACGTTAACATTGCTGTAGTTTTCTCGGCTCCTACTCGATTTTCATGGCCCCATTGTGTGCAGTGATTATTGTCGACTATGTTGCACGAAAGGGCAATGTACATGTTCCATCCTGCTACATCGGCGAGAAAACCGGACTGTACTGGTTCAAAGGTGGTGTGAACTGGTACGGAGCATTGGCATGGCTACTTGGAACAACTATGGGTATTCCAGGTCTGATCGGCCAGTACCAACCGAATATTATCAGCAATGCCGCGAAGTATATGTACATGATGGGATGGCTTCTGACATTTTTTACTTCGGCCATCCTGTACTACCTGATGACTCTCTACTTCAAGCCCCAGATCCTGCCTCGAGGTCGGGAGAACACACCATCGAGCTTTGAATGGTTAGCAGATGATGGTCGTGAAGGATTCTTCGATGGGGAGAGAGAGGGCGAGATCATTTATGCTCCTGGCACCCCTCCAATGACAGATTCCGAGAAGCTGGAAATGGGCGAAAAGTCACTTAAAGTTACTGTTTGAGGACAGACTGAGATGTTAGCTTTGTGATGAATTTATAGTCTAGAGAACCTTAGTGCAGTTCAATTCGGCTTCAATGTTGTATCGAATAGGGACAGATAAAACGCAGTAAGCAATGGTTCTTGGTGACGAGAAATTGTGTTGCAAAAGCCTCTGTAAATTAGGTAGCAATTCGGGCCGCTCTACAAAGAGTCGATTTCCTGTCTCGTTTTGCCCGATAAGGCGCTTCCGGCGGCGTGTCAGATCCGATCTTTTAGTGCTCTCGCACCCCGGGCCCTGTGGCCTAGCGGCCTATCTGCGGCGGACTTTGTGCCGAAGGCAAGAACAGTCATGGAGATCTGCTCTTCTGGAAGACGTGTTCGGAATACTTCTTGTACCCTTTCGACTTGTACATTGCGACCACAGCAAATTGCAACTGCAATCACTACCCAAGTCATAGCGACAGAAAGTGAATACTGCACCAGAAGCGCTTGTACAACTGTACTAGATCAGGCCATCCGACAAAATTCCGAGCTACTGGAGAGTAGTTGTTGGTAGACAACATGGCCTCAGAACTCTACAGACTGACAGCAACCGAGATCTCAGCGAAAATCAAGGTCGGCGAGATCACAGTTTTGGATTACGCCAACTCGCTTCTGAAGCGCATCGAAGCGCGAGATGATGCTGTCCAAGCATGGGCATACTTCAAATCCGAGTATTTGTTAGAGCAGGCAAAGGCGCTGGATGCCATCCCATCAGCTGAGCGCGGCCCTCTCCATGGTGTCGCCATTGCTGTCAAGGATGTTATTTATACAAAAGGTACGTGTAAATGAGAGATGGCTTCATGATCATTCACTCAATTGTCAAGATAGATATGCCCACACAGTTCAACTCACCCATATATGCCGGTGACGCACCTAGGGTAGATGCTGGATCAATTGCAATTCTTCGCAAGGCTGGCGCGCTCATTGTGGGCAAGACTACCACAACCGAATTTGCGGCGACAACTACAGGGCCAAAGACACGCAATCCTCATGACTCAAAAAGAACGCCAGGAGGTTCTTCGTCTGGCTCTGGAGCTGCGGTTGGTGATTGCCAGGCACCCATCGGCTTAGGAACACAGACGGGCGGCAGTACCATTCGACCCGGCTCCTACAACGGCATATATGCTCTGAAGCCTACCTGGAACTCAATCACTCGCGAAGGACAGAAGATCTATTCACTCATCTTTGATACTCTGGGACTTTATGCTCGCGGTGTCGCTGATCTTGAGCTGCTGGCTGATGCGTTCGCGCTCCAAGACGATGAGCCCGCTCCTACCAACTTCGCTGTCAAGGGCGCAAAGTTTGCGCTTCTCAAAACGATGGTCTGGCCTCAAGTTGGATCCGGAACAACCGCTGCGCTTGACAAGGCCGTATCCCTGCTCCGAGCTCAGGGCGCTGAAGTGGAAGAGATCTCATTCCCATCACATTTGGACGATCTGCCAGCATGGCACCGCTCTGTACTCAACTCCGATGGCCGTACAGCATTTTTGCCTGAATACACCGTGGCCAAAGACAAGATCTCCGAGCAGCTCGTAGGACATGTCGAGAACAGCGACCAAATTTCACGAAAAGAGCAGTTGGATGCGTTTGATAACATTGCTGCCGCGAGACCAGTGGTTGACAAGATCCTCGGTAAATATGACGCAGTTTTAACGCCAAGTGTACCAGACGAAGCGCCGCTGGGGATCGAGAAGACGGGAAGTGCAGCGTTCTGCTTGATCTGGACTGTGAGTTTAAGCACACGCTGTTCGCAAAGACTACTGCTGACTGTCGTACAGGCCTTGCACACACCAGTGCTGAACGTGCCTGGGTTCAAGGGCGAGAATGGCATGCCGATCGGCGTTTCTCTTGTAGCGCCGCGCTATCATGACAGACGTCTGCTCGCAGTTGGCAAGAGTGTCGGCGCCCTTTTCGAGGCCGAGGGAGGATGGAAGCGATCAGTTTAAAAGCGGTCTTCCTGTATGCGAATGTTGAACCAATTGAGTATAGCGCGTGGTAGCCCGTTTTGCCCTTTAACGTGCTTTTTGCCGTGTTTGTCCTCGCGTCGCCTTCGTGACTGGAGGTCTTGCGAAACACCGCCCTTCGTTGCCGCGAGCATCGTGCTAGTAGCGTGCATGATTCACAGAAGTAGGTATGCTTCTCGCTGTAACAACGATAATCAAGTTGCAATGGTGTCCTGTTGCATACTCTGTGCTGCCCAGTTGTGACCTCGTTCACCAAGCCTTTCAAGGCTAGACCCAACAGAGGATATTGTGGGGTCTGCCTCGGCTTAATGTAGCTTAATTACCACAAAAGCAATCGCCTCCACACCACCTTCATCGACCATCAAACAGCATCTGAAATTCCATCCCGTTCGAGCACTGATTGATTAATCGCATCACCGCCATCGCATCAATACCGGGTTTGCCACAGCGTCGGCTCCGCACAATGTCATTCGGACCGTTGCGCCGTCACTAGATCTACCCTTGTCATCAAATGCCGGCGGCTCTAAGGCGCCAACATATAGATTGATTAAAGATGTAGGTCACGCAGCCCACGAAAACTAAGTACACGGTGTGTTCCTAGAATTGCCCAGGCTGGCGTCTTGTGTCCTAGATTGGTTGCAGGGCGATATACAAGGGATCCGCATTTCGTCTCTATTTCCAGCTGTGAGTTGGGTTCATCTGGCACTTTATATAGGCTGGCGCACCGCTCAAATGTGAAGATTGTCATTCTGTGTTTCATTCCATTAACTTCTGTGTACTGTTCCGCGATCACCATGTTTGGAAAACTTGCCATTGTCAATGCGCTGGTGAGCGCTGTGTCTGCGGGTATACTTTCGCTTACATAGCCCACGCTCAATCGCGGTGAGCTAACAATGTTTAGGCACTATTCTTTGGGATGGCCGATTCAATGAGATGGGCTCTTCTGCGGACCTCGACAAGTGGTCGTGGGCAAACCAGGTCGGCAACTACCAATACTACATTCATGGTTCAGGTGAGGCTTCTTCGTATTTGGCCACCTTGGCACATCTACTCACTGTCGTTCTTAGGTGCCACCTCAAAATACGTCAATCTGAGCCCATCTTACAAAAACCCTGGCGACACTGGGTCGAAGCAAGGTGCTAAGATCACCATCGACAGCACAGCCAAGTGGAATTCGGTAAGCATGATAGAGGTCGTGATCTGTTGGGCTGGCTAACACTGTACAAGGACATGTGGCGCACTGAGCTCATCCCTCAAACGAAAGCTGCCATCAACCAGGGCACCGTGTTCTACCACTTCTCTATCAAGAGAAGCACCACCAACGTCCCCAGTGCGACGAACGAGCACCAAATCTGCTTCTTCGAGAGCCACTTCACAGAGCTAAAGTACGGATGGGTCAATGGCGAGTCGGGTACTTCGAACACCAACCTGCAGTGGATGGTGGGCGGCCAGAGCAAGTGGAAGGTCGAGCTGAAGGCAGACGAGTGGCACAACGTTGCTTATGAGATCAACTTTGGGTCGAACCAAGTTACATTCTGGCATTCCACCGGCAACTCTTCGCTCGTCAAGACTGCTGGACCTTTCTCTACAAGCACATCTAGCAATGGTGCCGACTGGCATCTTGGTGTTCTTCGTCTTCCTCGCCAGGGCAACGATGGCACGGGTGCTGAAGATTGGTTTTTCTCTGGAACGTACATCGAGAGCGGCACGCTCACTACTTCTGTCGCTAGCCCTGCTGCATAGATCACACTGTGGACGGAAGAGACGCGTTGGACATGTTTTCCCTTTTGTAGATAGCTTTGGACAGGGCGCATACACATCACAAAAACCGACAAAAAGCTTTCCAGACTTCCAATTGCTTCTTCCATGGCTACATGAATTCCAGCGGCCCTTTCTTGGTGGCACGTTACGAGACTATCAATCTCATGACCCGTCCATGCTCACCACGCTCAAAATCCGTTGTCGATTATGTCTTTCGCAAACTTTACCTAGTCCTCCCGGCGTACCTGAAAGTAGGGAGGACAGTTTGGCATCATTATTGACTGCATGTCGCGTTCCCACTGGATCCAGAATCTCTTCTCTCAGGTAGACCATAAAGTTGCTGGGACAGTTGGAGAACCGCGTATAGCCTTTGAGTGCACAAACTTCTTGAAGTACTTCGCGATGTCTTTGTATGGAAATATCTGTACTGATTGAATCGAGGTATGGCGAGCTCTTTCCCATGATGTATTCGTACATGAGAACAAAGCTGAGCAGGTTTTTGAAGGGCAGTGACGGAACTTTGACATGGACTTTGACGGTCGGATGATCAAAGCAGAAGTCGAGAAGGGTCTGTAGTTTCTTTTTGGGCACGAGACTTTCCAAGACTAGTACGCGAATGTGTGGCACCTCTGTAGAGGGCAACATTCGGATGAAACTTGCACATTCCTCACCGGGCGATGCTAGTTGATGTCCACGAAACCGGATGGTGTTGCATCGCAGACCCAGCCCACGTGTTTCGTCTGAGAGCTGCCAGCAGGCGAACTGGAGCTGGTTGGCAATTATGTGTCGTCCTCGCGAGATGCTAACGTGCTTGCCTTCACACTGGATTTCTCGCTGCGTGACTCCAATGCGTGACGGGCGCTTCGACTCCAGCTGTTGTATCTGTTTTGTATTGTTGCCCTTATGGGGCATTTCCCGCTCTTTCTCCACCTCGCACGTTTTTACGGTGGGCTTGTCGTGTAAACACAGCCAGCCGATGTCCATCTCATCTGCGTAGTAGCTAACGCCCTTGTCTTCCGTAAGGACGTACTCGTAGATTAAGTTGCGAATTTCGCCAGAAGATCGAGTAAATTCATCGCGATCAGTTGCCTTGGCGCAGACGATATTGGTGAGAGGGAGGACTCGCGATCGAATACTTTGGGTAGGTAGGCTTATTAGCTTGTTGAAGTTAGACGCGTGATAAGTAGCAACAACTTCTCCGCACTCGTATGGCACACAGCTAAATTGATGATGATGAGAGCGTTTCAAGGAAGTAACCACGCCTTGTGTACTGAATGTTTTGCGTACCATAGGTATATACTATATATGCTACCCTTACTATCAATGATGCGATGAAACGAATTCTAATTTATGGCAATAGAATATGCGGTCGTGGTCAGCTTTGCGCTGCTTCCCGTAAACACCTCAGTACCTGCTTGCACAGTCTGCAGATACAAGCTGTTTGTGAACCCATTGCTAGCATAATTCGCCAGCAAGTACTTAAAGAACAAGTTCTGCATCAATCGTCAGCGTCTCTATGCTTACGATGCTCATCTCACAACATACCAAGTCCGCACTGAAGTTCGTCGCAGCACCTCCGCGCGCCACAAAGCTGTAAACTTTGACAGAGCCATTGAGGCCATATGCGAGGTCGAAAATCGTTCCGCCAATGGTCACAGTGGCAACAGGCGTGAAAGGATATCCATTCGCAGACAAGGGCGAAACGCCGCCAAACACTCCGAGCCAGACCATGACTTCAAAGAGGTTGCCGCCGTTGGCAGACGAGCCGAGAAAAGTGTCGTACGCCACTAAAGAATTGCAACTACATCAGCCTACTCTACGAAGGTAAATTGAGTGAGTTACGTACCATTTACCCTCAAATCAGTGCCAGTGTAACTCCACTTCCACGTTGTTGGCATACTCGTGTAGGTGCTGATCTGTTTCTTGGTGAAACCCGTCTCGACATTCGTATAACTCTTGACCTGATTCACGGTGCCAGACCACGACCATGTTGTGGACCAAGCAAGAGTGCTACCGCTCAAGCTATCGATTTGCGAGCATTGGGATCCGGTACCTGAAGACCAGCCCCAACCGTTGGTGTAGAGGGTGTACGCACCCGAGGATTGGGATTGGTATTGGCTGCACTGTGAGGTAGCACGGGTTGAGAGCTCGATTGGGGTAGCGAGCGTGATTGAAGCAAGGAGAAGAGTAACAACGGAGAACATCATACTGGGCAATGTCGTTGAGTGGTTGGTTTTGAGTGAAGCGGATGGTGATGGGTTGGAAAAACTGCGTATTGACAAACGTCTTATGTACCCTCTCCATCCTTCTGAGTATCGACTCCACATCCTACAAATGGTCCTTCGTAGGATCTGTGAGGTCGCACACACAACCCGTTCAGCTACTAGCCTTCCATTAGTGTCATTTTCTGTCTCACCAACATACCAATTGTGCTCCACTCTCTGTCCAGACCTCGTATCCTACCGCACTTACCATCAGCCGACCCATCTTTTATCGACTCCAAAAGGCAGACAGTTAGACCTTCAACATCTGACTGCATGTTCTCGAAGCCATGGTAAGCCATGCTGAATGCACGACTTCACCCGGTCCAATGATGTTCAGCCGAGGTCCACCAATATATCTTGCATGCTGCATGCACGGGACGGGCCACAGTTGAGGAGAGCGACATCAGTGTTGCATACCTAACAAACCGGGAAATGGGAACAGTCACGCCTCGGATGTGCTCCCGTTGGCCAATGGTGGGATGGTAGCGAGGATCTGGAAGAATGTGTGCATCAGTGGCTTGTTGCTTACTGGGTGAGGGGTTTCTGCCTGTCGGGAAACACCTTCATGTGGTAGTTTCTGATGTGCACATGGCCGGAGTGTGGTGGTATGAAGACCTTGAAGTACTATGTATTGGCACTAGAACAGCTGCAATTGATAAGCTATGCTCATGATGATAATTTGCATTTGGCATCAAGAGATCCTGCAGCTGGAGAACGTGTGTCTATCGATCGGTGAGCGATTGTCCGAACGCATCTCCGTAAACCCAGTTCGAAAGTCGCATCTGATCCGCGCAGTTTCCGCCCATTGACAGCCCAATGTATCCCATTCCGCATGTCGGACATCAACGTAGCTTTCGCACTAATGCGAACTTGCACACCAATCTGCTCCAATCTTTCCTTTCGGTACTCACATGCGTGGCATTCTCCACCCTTCCCTTCCAATTCCCCGCTCAGAATCCATGTGAGTAAAGATCCTTGGCTATCTCCACGAGCTCATCGAGACCGCCATCCGTCTTAGTCAGTAGGATTCTACGAATGACCCCGTGATTGTTGCACGAATGGCGGAATGCGGCCTCATCCAATGTGTCGAATGCGGAAAGATGACGATATTCTTCGGCATCGGCGTAATAAACTCGTTCTTGACTTGTTCTGGTAAAGCATTTAGGATGCTTTGTTGGAATACCAAGTCGTTGGTGATCTTTGGCAAGAATGTCATATCGTTGCGTGAGCCGTACTTGACAAGAAGCGCCGTGAACAGTAGAGATGAGGGCTTGGTCGATGCTAAGTTCGGGTGATAGATTTTCAGCATGCACCGCGGGTAAGCTAGGAAGAAGCTAGACAACTCTCTGAAAATGTTCGCTGGCCATTTCTGATCCTCGGCTACTCTCAGTACAAAGTCGTGAGCGTAGTTCTGGGGTTCGAGCTGGAGGTGCAGACTGTCCACAAAGAGCCTGAACATCGCAGCGCGTGGACTCGTGAAAGTGACGGAGTTGTAAAGCACCTCAAGACCTTTTGTTTCGAAACGTAGTTGGCGGCAAACATATTGTAGCTGGTTTGCAATGATGCGATGACCATGAGTTCTAGGTACTGTCGACGCAAGTGCGGCTGAGTCTGCTTCGATCTGACCAGGAACCACATCCTTACTGTCCACTTGTGGTGAGTAAGAGCACAGCCTTTGCAGCGTTCACCGCGTCCCTGACCATATTCGAGTCCTTTCTGCCTCGGATAAGACCAGCTCCGTATATCTTATTTCGAAGCTCTGCTGGCAACGAAAGCCAGTGGCGAGGGTAACCCCATGGTTGAGCTTTGATCTTGAACTGTGGTTAGTTCTTGAGATATAAATGTGGAGTTGTCGGTGAGGTACGTGTAGTTGCTTGTGGGATGTGCCGTGAGCTACTTGTAACGCACGCGCCTTCTCCTTATTCAAGGTGAATTTTACTTGAGCTTCCAGTATCGCGTACGCAGTGATTCAGAGCCCTCTCCAACATGTAAATTGGACTCACTTGCTGTATGGTGACATCCGTGTCTGCCTAATTGACTAATGACACTGCGCCAACGTTTACACACGGTCTATATGGTACGCATCATTATCGTGATTATCAAGGTTTTCGTGAGTGGATGTTCAAGCTCCTTATGAATACCATGTGAAAAAACTAGGGAGGCCGCGTGATGTTGCATGTGTGTTGTGTTCGGAGGTTTCACGCTTGACAATGTCACAGTGACGTCACCAGTTGCTGGATGGGCATTGAAATCGTAATTTTGCAACGAGACCGAGAGTACCCAAAAGCTATTGAGATGGCAGTGTGAAAGCTGAATTGAGCTGAGCTCTTTGTTGGCCCCGAGGCTGCGTATGCGCGACATGCCTTCTCTTTCACTTCTGTGCTCGAGCGCCTGAGCGTCCAAACGCACTAGTGACTTAGCGTGCAACTTATTGCTATTCTCACTTTACTTGAACTGACTCTTAACTCCACACAGTCCAAATAACCTCGAGTTTCTGTGCGCACGATTGTCTCCATGAGAGCCATCGGCTGCCACAAAACCATGGAGGATACAAGCATCGCTCCTGCCGATGGCACCTGCCACTTTCTCCGTCTGCCAGCAGAGTTGAGAGACCTGATCTATCGGCAGGCGCTCTTCTCACCCGAAGGTCTTGCTTGTAGGTCTACGCAAGAGTGCGGCAAGCTCCACTACCGGCTGTATGCGATCGAAAGCTACGACGACAGCTCCAAAATGAATGGCTATACGAAGGAAGTCTCCATTCAACCCATGAGCTCGGTTCTCAGCCGTTGGGAATCGCGACAAGCGAGCTCAATCAGCTGAAATTCGTATGTCGCCAACTCAATGTCGAGACAAAGTGCGTCTCTACGAGCATCAACGCAATAGTCTTCTTGAAGGGCATTCCCGATTTCATCGAATTTGCCACTGCCTGTCCGAAGAGCGTTCTGAACCAGATATCCTCTGTTACGATACATCACGAACAAGAATACGATGATCACAACTTCTGTGAGCCGAGCCATGGCACTTCACTACTGGACTTCTGCAAGCAACAACCATACACCTCCGTCGAGCTACGACACTCGTGGCTCGATCCCCATGAGCCAGACTTCTTTCAACGAATGATTGAGTTTGCGATTCATTTCCGCAACGACCGAGGAGTCGTTGCTCGAGTGACCGCCTCTCTCAACGCGCAACAATATTTAATTCACAGAGCTGTGGATATCTGGTACGCAAACACGGACATTTCCGACCGCCTGAAGGAGTATCCTCGGAACTTGCGCGCATTTCCACCTTACAAAACTCTCAACGATGTCGTTTTTAAGGACCATTACCTAGCGGATGCCATCGATATGCTGGATGTAAACATGTCAGATGGTCTACCGGGCGGAGTTGAGTTGGTAAAGGGGGTCTTTCAACGAGGCATTTGATGCAGAGTATTCTCGAATCTGTGTACTGGATATAATTCATCTGCCTCAGTATTTACAGTAGTAAAGAGAGAGAGAAGCTAATAGTCGACAGTATAGTAATGAAACCACATAGGTGGCATCAAGTGTGACTTGCCACCTTCTCGTGAACTCGACATGATTCAGGATTGTAAAAGATAACGTTGTCGTGAGTCCCACGAAGTCCAATGATTCACACAACAGCGCATGCTTAAACTCTATTTTACCTTCTTACTTTCTGCCTTACGCTCTACGCCAGCCTCGAACCAGCTCATAAAATGTGCAAGAATATCTCAAACCACTATTACGGCTGCACCGCCGCGAAGTTTGCCCCCGCAGAATGCACCCAATACGCCACCTCCCATCCCTGTTACAAGCAACCCTGTTCCGGCCAAGAAAACATCCAAAAGTGGCAGCCACGTTGAACATGACATAAGGGTGCCGGCGCGCGAACATAGCCATGTCGATGTCACGAAGGTAATCTGTAAGTCGAGCGCAGTTGTAGAAGTGATGGCTGTTGCCAGGTGCTGGCGCTATGCAGCAGCGTGAGGCTGATGCCCAGCGTTCTTGTTCGAGGTCCAGTGCGATTTTGAGATTGATACAGCGTGCACGTCTTTCGCTGACGGTGGCGAAAAACTTCTTGACTTGGTGCAAAGGACATGGATGTAATCTACCAACACGCGTGAAGGTAAGGGTATTCAGCTCGTGAACTCGCCCTTTGGTTTCATGGTGAAGCTGACGACAGACTTATTTGACTTGGTTGGCTTCAAATGCGTGTGAGTGTTACATACTTTTCGTAACGAGATCGAGGTTGGGGTACAGGCGATCAATGCCGCCTAAGTCGGATTGATAGTGCAGGCCTCCGAGCTCGCATAACGCGTAGTCCATGATCAGGTTGCGCATTTCTGAGGGAAGATGGAGCAGCGGGGACATGCGTTGGTTGCGGGCAATACTATGGATTATTAGCATGAAATTCGTGTTAATGATAGAAGCCGATATGGTGATTCGAGCTTATCTTCGGCTTACATGATTTCCTGATCCTGTCTCGTGAACAGAACATCTTGATCTAAGAGCATAGTGTGCGACTGTTAGTGGTGATGTGAGATTATGAACAAACCTGCGAAAAAGAGACTTTTGTGCCTTTTTGAAAATACAGCGCAAAACCGGAGGTGTCAAGCATCGTATACCCGTCCCACCTGACCGCGCTGTCGCCTGGTCCTCCCATACCGGGCGCAGAAACTAAGCCAGGAAGCTAGGTGCGAATTCGACCACAACTTTCTCCACACAGAGCTTTCGAATTTACAAAAAGTCAGACTTCTTCTGAAGCCCACGATGAGTAGATATACACATAAAGAAATTGAATACAATTAGGACGGAGATGTTATCAAGTGATGGAATCTCGTATGGACGTTTCTTCTCTGTTTGCACCTGGTATGGGAGAGCTCGGGCAGCGGGTAACACTGAAGCATGTCTCATGCTCAGAGCTTTTACATACTCATGGCGCGTGATCATAATGAAGCCGGCTCTTCGTAATTGTCGATAGGTATAGCTGGCCCATCGTTGTTGGCAGAAAGGAAAAGCCGAACATTACTCGATGCCACCTCTCCAATCAATAGGAATGCTCACAAGACTGACCTACGACCGAGGCAAAATTGGGCTGGTGTTGTATACCGCCCAGGCCAGAACATTAAACTGATGGGCTGAGTTGATGCGCTTGTTGATAGTCGCGGTGCAATCCCATTGTGCGCTGGAGCCATACGCACAGGTTCATGGCAAGGCCGAACACAGTCGGCCTGGGCTCAATTGTACCGCAAAGCAACCTAGCTTTGGAAATCGTCGAGGACAGCTGTTCTCGCCACGATACCATAGAGCCGCTCGAGAAGTTCCCAAAAAGTCCGGACGGCGACTATCATGGGCCCCAAATTGGTTCTCGGTGCCTCGGCCAGTGTACCATCGGCGAAACCCACACCAAGCGGGGGGCACTTAACTCAGATCTTACGTATCGACTGCAGAAAAACGCGAAAAAGGCGCGAGAAGAGGAAGTGGACGGGCAGGAAATGGAAAGAAAAAGCTATTGAGAGAAAAGGAGAAAGCAGTCAGGCAAGCATACGAGAAGGCGCTAACCCCCTCCCTCCGTCTTTCGTTACCAAACCTTGAAATCCAGACGCGACAAAAGAAACTTCCACATATTCCAACGCGTGTCGTCAAGACTCTGGCGAGCCGTTGCAGATCACGAAAAGAATCGGCATGCGAAACACACCAGCAGAAGTATGTTGAGCAGGTGTGAACGCTATTAATCAATGGGCACGGGAACATCTCGCCACACAATCCTCTCAGCACGCATGCAGTCACAGTACTTACCCACAAGCATTTCTGCTTCGTATTCCCACCGGTCAAACCCAACACCCCCACTAAACACGCGACACGTCTCAATCAAATTCTCACACAAAGCACACTGCATGCATCACCGCCCAGACCCCGAATGCAACATTTCACCCCCCTCTGCCTGACGCGCTACCCTTGACTATGCCTAATGTGGCGCATTATTACCTCAGCCCGACACGTCTCACGCGTGCGCGCCATCATCTGACGAGCACTATACGCGTCGCACCCACGCCCGCGGGCCCGCTGCTGCTGATGTTAGTGCGCGATGAGTGGCTGCGGGACACGCGCTAGTACTCCGGGGACCGAAGTGTGTAGGCTGACGATGTGGAGTCTCGCATGTTCTGTTCGGTGAGCGGGCGGGGGTAATATTTTTTTTTTGCCTGCGGAGTTCTACGGACGGCATGTTGCTGAGGCAGCAGATGAAGAATTTGCTTGTCCGGTGAGGGACGAGGGCAAGATGGTTGGTGGGTTCAAAAGGTGCATTTGGGAAAGGCAAAGTATATGGGCACGCATTCCTGATTGTTTCGTCATTTCAACGCTTTTTTGAGCTATCGATTCAGCTTAACCACGGATTACCGGGCTCGGCTGGGCATGATGACGCTTGGGCACGACACGCTACGAAACACACTTAACGGCACGGCCGTTTGCGGAGAGGGGGCGTGTGTGCGTGCACACCTGGGCTGATTACATCTACCTGGCACTCACCACTTCTCACTTCTCCTTCATTGCACTCGAGTTCAGCGAAAAGATCATTCCATAAAGCTAGCTAATTTACCCTAGACCTCTTCTTCGAACTAGCTGATCTGTCAAGTATAGAGACGGACATTGATGCTTTCCATCCAGCCAGATCCGTTTGATCCAGAGCAAACTCCGCCAAAATACAAGAGATTAGGGATTGGTCGTTCACGCTTCGAGCAAGTCGTCGAAATCGTCATGAAGAGCCCGTATCCGAAAATCCATAGACACCCGAAGCCCGCCGACCGATCGTGATATTCGTCATGCTGTCATGATAAGGAGATGGGGTGTGAAGACACCTATAAAGAGTGCAGCATGCCACGTCGATGCGGGCATTCAAGAGAAAGCAAAATATGGTTGAGCAACGTGTGCCAACGAGTGCCGAAATGTACAAAAAGACAAGCAAGGTCGGAAAGGCCATCGGTCCAAAGGCAAGGTCATCCATCGGACCCAGCCATATGCTGCGGATCGCTAGAGCACCGGGTGCTCTCAGCCACTGCAGAAAGAGGGTTCGTCCGCCGTGCTTTGCCAAAATTACTGAAGTAAATCGAAGAGAGACATTATGGGCATATGCAACCATATCGTCATGACCCGTCATACCCAAAAAAGGAACAAGAAAATAGCAGACAAGTCGACCCTCTCCGAAGCCATCCAATATAGACTATGGGGTAAGATGCGCCGCCGACCTCGGAGGGGTGTCGATGGTAGGTGAAGAAGGTAGATGCAGTATATGCACATATAAGAGATACTTTTTGGATGGCAGTGGTGTGCAGATGCCCGAAGCAACTGAGCTACCACCGCAGAGTTCGCGATTAAATATCGACATCAACGCCGAAAATGCAGAACTGAATGCTAATGCGCAGATGTTGGAGAAGAAAAAGTCGTCGCCTATGAGCGCTGGAAGAATGCCTGATCACTGGGCATGGCAGCAAGACGCTGCTCGAATGAAACAGGCGGCTCAAAGCTGAGGGGCGTAGTTGCACGAGGAAAGGTGTTGCTTGGACGGCTGCCGAAAGGCGAGCCAAGGCGAATGGTAGCCTGACCCTGCATTTGAGCAGGTGAGTACTTGGAAGAGCTCGGCACACTCGTACCAGCATTCACAAACGGGTTGTTCTCAAGGGCGTTGGTAGCAATGGGAAGTCGCCTGGCACCCTCCGCCATGTCACCCAAACTGAAGCCACGACTCCTTACACGGCGGTGGCTTGACTCAGCAGGAGCACCAAACAACTCATCCACGAAGCTGTTGCCTCGGTTGCGCGCCCTGTCTTCGAAGCTGCTGTTAAGAGCACGACGCTTGAAAACTCTAGAGATAGGACGTGGCGTGTGTAACTGGAATGGTGATCCGAGCCTAGGTGGCTGGGCAGAGGAAGAGTTTGGATGCCAGGTCTGAGCGTTGGACTGGTGCATGCTCACGTCGGTCATCTCTGACATGGCTTTGAAAGACGACCCACGCATAGAGCTGCCTAGGCCAAGACCAAGTCCAATGTGAAGTGATTGTGACTTCTGGTGAGCCGAAGACCGTACGTTCGACCATGTCCTCGGTGCCGGACGCGGGGTTCCAGTGGCCAACTTCGAAAGTGGGTTGCCCGTTTGCATTGATGTGGCAGTGCTTGTCGCGAGGGACACGTTCATGTCGCGCGTTGAGAATGTGGTGGTTCCCTTCGAGAAGGGCGATGACAGCGGTGGTGCCTGAGCTGTACTTGGGGCTTCTGAGGTCTCTTTTGGTGGCGAGGACTGGAATGGGGAGGGTGATCTACGCAAGAGACGCTGATAATGAGCAGAGAGCGTCGGCTTCTGCTTTGCAAGATCGCGCAACCGCTTTCGGCATTGCTTTTCCGTTGGATAGCGGAGCAAGGACTTGCTGGCCCGAGCCACAGGTGTGTTACTGCCACTCTTCAAGGGGCGGATGGTGTCTTCTGTGCCAGAGCGAGACCGGAACTGGGCACCGGCTCGTACACCGGCGCGGGTCAATCGCGGACCTTTCCATGTCTTGCGTGCCATACGCGCAACGCGATGGCAAACACCGTTTGGTGGAGTCGTGCCTGGCAACGCCTTGAACGGTGTCACTGTGGGGTCTTGCAAGTAATTCATGTAGGTCATCCAGAGGTGGCAGTCCATGTCCTCGGTGAAGGTTGCCCTCATCTTGAAGCTCTTAGCGGGACGAGCGGACTGGAACGCTGGCAGTGGTGAGGTCGTCGGCTGCCCGTACTTGACCTCAGGTGAGAAGGCAAGCATTGGATCCGTGACCTCGTCTTCGGGGCTTGTGCAACTGCCATCCCTCGACATGAACGACTCAATGCTGCCGCGAGACGAGAAGGACGAGTCGGAGAAGCCAGAAGAGGACGTGGGTCTGCTTGACGACTCACTCTGGCTTGATTGGTCGATGTCAGACCAGTGCTGTGGTCCGTCAAAGCTTGCGATGGTCCTCATCTGGGCCACTGGAGTCTTCGGCGGCGACAGCATGCGGGTGTAGGTGACGCCAGGTGACAAATATGCATCATCCTGCATGGGCACTGGGAGAGGTAGATCCGACGAGAACTCTGAGTGCAGCTCAGGTGCCTCGATGGTGGGAATTGGCCGCTGATCCATGGGGAAATCCACGTCATCGTGCTGCACCATGGTAGTTCGACGCCGGCGGACCTTGAGCGTCTGTCGCGGAGGCGGAGGCGGCTGCAACTCCTCAGGTTGGGGCTCTGGCTCTGGGGTTTGAGGCATGTGTCCGTCGCGGTAGTGGAACTGAAAGTTCCTGGGAAGGGTGATGGACATGTGGGAGCGGTCGGACTCCATATTGTGGTTGCTTATTAGACGCACGTCACGTTGATATTCTAGCCTTTGTTCGCCTGGTTCAAGATAAACCAAGACGTCAATCTCCAAGCCTCTGCAAGGAGTCCAAGAAAGGACAAATGATCGAGCGTTTGATGCGTTGAGTGGAGGCGAGGCGCAATTGGTTCGGCGTTGGCCCCAGATTATGCAGGGCGGCAGCTGGACAGATCTCGGGTGGTGGCAGGTGTTTGGTACACCTGCGAACGCGACTGTGCGGCCTGCAAGCACGTTACACGGTCGATCCGGCTCAACGCGCCCTTGTTAAGGCGTCCAAGCAAGAGTCGCTAGAGGTTGCGACACAGTAATGCGCGACTAAGAAGCGCAGTAGTGCTCGTGATGTTCGTGAAGCAAGGGGAAAGTCGTTAGAGCTCGTTCAGGCGATGGCGCGTAGCTGGTAGACGCGCAGGCGGCGGCGCGCAATGCGGCAGCGACGTGATGATAATGCGCGACGAGGTGCACACGTGAAAGAAGAATCCTGAGCGTGCGTGGAGCGTGGCGAGGAAGCGTCGCAGGGGCGTGGGCGACGTGGGCTGGTGGTGGTCGTAAAGTGAGGTGAGTGCGGGAGCGCGGGCAGGAGCGAACAGGCGCCTTACTCCACGTCCATGGGGTGCGCGGGGGGTAACAAGAAGTGGGGAGTCGAAAGGGACGCAAGGAAACGGTCGTCGAGAAGTTTGGCGGCTTTTGCGTCAGCGCATGGCAGTGCGACGGGCGAGCGCGGCTCGAGGGGGCAATTGTCGTGAGGTCGTGAAGGTGAGAGTGATCGTGGTGCGGTGTTGGGGCTGCCAGCAGGATTGTCGGTGGGCGTTCTCCACTAATTTGGCGCTAGTAGAGTCCGCGTGCTGAGCATCGATGATTCTGGTCGATGGAGAACCGAGACGCACCAGCGCAGCGCACCTGCCGCCCGTAGCAAAATAAACAACCGCTCCTGCCCAATGGTTGCTTGTGGGCTTCCACGCGAGGCTGACGTCTCCTGCTTGCATGCTTGCAGTATTTGCAGATGTCGCCGCAGCATTCCACCGCTGTGTGCCAAACAAGCCTGCGAAGCCTGAGCAGCAGCAGGCGCCCGTTTGATCGCTGCGAAACTGACGCGTCGCGAACGCGTTTTGGCTGACTGCACCAAGCCCGAACCGGGCGGTCATGGACCGTGCACCTTCCCGAAATGGACTGGCTGGTGAACCCCTGCGTGTGTATTCTGCACCTTGCACACGCGCCGGACACAACAGTTACCATCGACTCGTCAAGGGCTTGCCGAGTCTCGACGCCTTCGCAAAAAACACTTGTGCGAATTTCATTATTCCTCCTGCTGCCGATATCTCTACCAGAAGCCAGATGGATGCCAGAGTTTGACAGGACCCTGTTGGCTCCACCGTCTACCACATGCGGTATGGCGTGTGCACGACCACTTGTCACGGCCACAATTTTCGCCCGCTCCCGCGGCCAACCTCATGCGGACATCGCTGACACTTCGCGGGGACTTCTTCCGCTGCACTGCAGTTGCTTTTCGCTCTCCGGATGATCCACTTCTGCAGTCGAGAACGAGCAGCGACAAGCTCACGCGCAGCCGAAAAGGCCCGCATTGTCCCTGTCTGCCATCACCATTCAGAATATTCCCTCCATCGGAACCGTGTCATTCGTCCCGTGTCTCTTCAGACGCCGCGCTCCATTGCGGGACCCTGTTGCGACTACTGCACCGCTCTTTCTCCGCCTCGCTTGCGACTGATTCAGAGGCCAGACCGCCAATTGTTGAGCTGAACAGCGCATGTCTCTTGTTCGTGTCAATCGTTTTCCCGTGTCTAGCGATCAGCGATTCGAGGCCGTTTGGAAGAGACCCTGTTCGTTAGTGTTGACGTGCGACGTTGGAAATCCCGCGCTTGGCCAGAAGTCGGCCTGCAGCTGCACCTCGTCACACATCAATATTCTGGGTATTCCCGAAGCCATGCACTTCGCCTCTTCTGGACACATGATTCCACGGCCAGGTGATATTAATTGCTATTGGTTGCACCTGGCATTCTTTGCCATCTGTGGGCCCCTGCTGAGGTTGCACATTGCACAAGTGGGGAGCGCGGTTACCCGGCATGTCCCTGAAGCTGTGAACCCACAACGGACGACGGTTCAGCTCTCTCCAATCCGCATAGACACGGCATCGAATTACAGAATGCCATGGCCTAAACCGCACGCCCATTGGTCGACTGCCACCATCATGGTGTGTCCACTATGCTGCGGTGATGTTCAATAATTTATGTGTCGCTGTGGACAATACACAATTGGGCTTGTTTCCAATATGTTTACAATGCGACTAGCATAGCAGCGATTCAGTAGCACCGCTTGAATTCCTCCTGTGTCCTATGAGAGTGAAGGCAACGCCATTAAATACACGATCAACATTCGGCCAAGATCGACGGTTCATTCCTTCAGACCCGCTTCACGAACCGCTTAAGCCTCGTGCTCCCAATACTTTGAATAGCAAACGGCAGTAGACCACGGCGCCCGGCTTCCAATCCGCTTCTGGGTGCGCCCATAACGACAAACCCATCCAATCTCCCATCCACCGTCGCAGAGTTGCAACTCTTTAAGGTCGGAAATATCAGGGTCAACCCAAACGCCCATCGCTTGACATGCAAGCGCCCGACTGGCGATCCTGAAGCTATCCCCGCCACGACCGACGCGCTCACGAAGAGCAGAGGCTAGTGGCTCACGCAACGACTGCACTTCAGGCATGTTCAGATTATCCTGAACAAGACACGAGAGGAAGTACAGAAATGGCTCCGTCCCTAAGTACATTGCAGTGCCTTCGAGACAGGCTCGATTGGATAGGATATGGCGCACGTATTGCAGCTCATGCTGGATGTCTTCACCTCGGTTATAATGGTAGAAGACACGGCATACATTGACAAGCACCACTGCGCAAACGCGGGGCCGACTTTTGTCGAAGTATGTCTGCACGAGGCCATCGCGACTATGTCGATTTGCGAGAAAGGTATCCAGCACAGCGTTCGCAGAGCTAGCGGGCGGCGAAAAGGCAAGTAGAGCCATTGCAGTGTCGTCTACATCGGCCGGAAATTTTGCTGTGGTTCCCACCGGTGGCCCAGCAAAATAGTTCCATTGCTTAGCTCTCTGCTTTGCTTGCTGAAGATCTTGCTCAATCTGAGTGGTTGAAGCCTCTCCAGGTGATAGGCTAATGATGCTAGCATCTTGCAGCACTGTATGGATCAAGAACTGCGAGAACACGTCGCGGAACATGGGACCATCTTCAACCTGCGTGACATGGTTCCTTGCGTTGGCCCTCATGAATTCGCAAGCTCGTGCTATAGGATCGAAGAGCTGGTTCCGCAATCGACGCATCAGCATCTCCGCAGAATCATACACAATCCCGTGGATGCCGAAAGAACGAGCTGCAACCACGTCTTCAAAGAGAAGGTTGACGTTAGTGTATGCTTCAGCTTGCTCTCTAGATGTGCACTTACTAGCAATCTTGTCATCGACAAATATGACGGACGATGGGTCATCGAGATTGGCTTCTCGAAGCACATACTGGTAGTAGCCCAGTTCGGGCTTGATCATGCCTACTTCGCAAGAGGTGAATTCTTCATCGAATAGGTTCCAACTCGGTAGCACCGCTTTGAGTCGCAAGAAGTCGTCTTTGGCAATATTTGTCATCGCGAAGACTTTCAAGTTGCCCTCCATCTCGTCCTTGAGTGCCAGCAGCTGGGCATACAGCTCGTGATCTACTCGCAGCGTCTGTCGCGCTTGCGAACAGTCGCTCCGTGGATGGTTTCCGGGTCAAGCGAAAGCTCTTTACCAATAGCTGCAAGAGCTTCATCTTCGCTTATTCGACCACACTCAAGCTCATTCCAGGTAGGGGACAAGATAACTGAATAGAAAGTGGACCGAGGAAGCGCAAGACTACTCGTGTCGTAATGGAAGAGAACATCGCCGAGGTCGAGGATGAGTGCGCGATCCTTAGGAGACGAATGCTGTTGCCGGCGTTGCTCGATACCTCTGACAGTTCTAGATTGTGACTCCACATATCGCGGTGGATCATCAGATGTTGAAGACCTAGAAGATTTGTTCTTGCTCAAGGTATATGTATGGGATTTGCTTCTGGTGAAGCAGAAAAGTTTCGACAGCATCGCGTATGTCATACTGGCAGAATACTGACTGGACATCTACCATTGATAAGTGCGGATTTGCTCTTCATTTATGATATCTATACAGCAAAGTGGCACAGCTATGTCGCTTAACTGGGCGGTACAAAAGTGTGTGTGGGCTTCGTTCTCATTTGCGCTACTTCAATCTTGACTTTCGCCTTTCACCGCAGCATCGCGCTTGACATCCACCGGTCAGCACATTGGTATTCAATCTCACCAATCCTTAATGAGTAGGTGTGGGCATGACTTTCATTTGTGTAGCGTCAAGTTTACTACTCACCATTATTGGGATGCATCGGTCTTGCGGCCGATATACTTTGCGCTATGTCTGCAATCTCGCCCCTAAGCTTCACCGGTCGAAGATGAACGAGTATGATCACCAAAATCAAGGTATATCTAGCCCTACGAGCTGAAAGTCACTTCTGAAAGGTAGGCGATCGTGGCTTACTTGCATATCATGTCCTGATTGAGGTGTCACTACGCCCGCGATTTACTGCTTTTGGCGACAGCAAGCGACACATTCGACCTGGTTCGGACCGATCTCGGGACGATCAGAAGTTCATCTTAACAATGCGCCTCTCGCGACTATTTCATACCATATACGCGCATGTAATAAAGCGAGAAGCAGGCAACATTTGTCACCTTAGGTGCGGCGTGGAACTTGAAGATACCACCAAGCAACCTTCATCCTTGCAGCTGCAGCGGTAACTAACTAGGACTGCATACCCGCTAGTATGCTAGTATATCAAAGTACTATTAGTGGTATCCCCTGGTGTAATGCGAACTGCTTCGATGCGGTGTGCTCGGTCTTCGAAGAATTTCACGCAATTGATAGGCCCAACTTTGGTCCTCAATAAGCAAAAGAGCGGGAATGATGTGAGCAAATGGCTTTTGTTACGTTTGAACTTGTCCTTGATGTATTCATGCTGATATGCTAGCCTTTTGTGATATGCTTCCAAGCTTTGCTGACATCAAGCAAAAGGTACAGCCCCATTGTCGAACCAACACTCCAGTTGGCTATAACAGCGCAACATAGAAATACCTCGCCCTGGGGCGAGGATCGTTCGCCGCCCGTAGCTCCAAAATTAAAAAAAATGTCATACTATCTTACACGCCCGCCGGTCAGTAGCCCTCATGAAAGATACCGCCCTAATGATCAATCTGATGTCAGAGCATCATAGCCAATCACAACCTCTCCTCAAGCCGCCTCCAACACGAGAGTTGAACCATCACCCATCAGCTGACCACGAAGCTGCTCAATAACTCCATCCGGCGATTCAAACACAATACCATGTATCCCAAACGACCGCGCCGCATCCACATTCACGAGCTTATCATCAACAAACACCGCCTCCGTCGGATCAACCAGCCCAACACTATCAATCACGTGCTGATAATACCCCAAATCCGGCTTAATCTTGCCCGCCCCAAACGACGTGAACTCGCCATCAAACAGCTCATCCCACCGCGGACACAACACCTTGAGCCGCGCGAAATCGCCCTTGGAAATATTCGTCATGGCCACGACGTTCAACAGCCCGTGCTCTCTCTTCAGCGCGACGAGGCGGGCAAAGAGCTCGTGGTCCACGCGTAGTAGGCTTCGGCATTGAGATAGTGCGGAGCGGATGGTGGGTAGGGAGAGGGAGAGGTCTGTGCTCATCCGTTGGACGGCGTAGTCTTCGGTCACAAGGCCGCATTCGAGATCAGCCCAGGCGGGGGATTTGATCATGGCTTTGAATGTCGAGGGGGGGACGGCAGTGATTTCGCGGACGGCGTAGTGGAAAAGGACGTCGCCGAGGTCGAGGATGAGAGTTCGGTTTTTGGTTCTGGGGGAGGGCATGGAGGATGTGGTGATGTTAGAATGAGCCTCGATTGCATGGTTGTGTTGTTGTTTAACTCCGTGTTGATCTTGGGGGTGTTGCTGTTTGGTCGAGTTTCTATCAGGGGCGATTTATCGTCAAGTAAATTCTCCTTGAAAGGCGATTTCTCGTTCGGCGGCGAAGAAGTTGTAGTTGAAGAATCCGGTCGTACCGCTGGCAGCGGTGGTGGTGGAGAAGCTTTCTCAGAACTTAAACGCACCCTGCTCCCAAAGCAGCAAAAAAGCCGTGTCAGCATCGCGTCGGCCATTCTATCGTTCATTCACAACGTTGTCCCTTCACACAGCGCGCGAAAAGGGCAACCGCGAAGGTCCAACCCCACTACTATATACATCGTGCGATCGCCATGACGCGGGACGGAGCGAGACATGGATATTGTACAACCAATGTTACCTCCGCCGGGGTTCTAGAATCCAGCCCTCCAGCCACTTCTTGGCTCATCGGCAATAAGGACCGACTCGCATCCGCTTCACATGTAAAAGAGACGTTTTGCGCGGAGACTCGCGGGATAGCTACACACATCGCCTAGCGAGCGTTGCGTACACGTGGCATGAGGAAAGCGGACCTCCAAGCCGCGCCAACATTGAGCCATGTAACATTGCGCTGGGCAAGAGGGCGGAGGTGGCTATGCTTGATGTGGGTTTGCATGTGGAGAGGTAGAGTTGGGTTTAGAGTAAGACTGCCGAGTCTCGGTTCGAGCGACCTCAGGCTATGGTGGGCAGATAAGGCGGGTGGCGGAGGCGCGCGCTGTTGTAATGCTTGGTAAATGGCGCCTGGATCAATGCGCACGGCACATGGCTGTCTTTATACACAGTATGGTTGTGTTGGTAAGAGACGGTGATATCTTACCGGCGGAATGGAACATGTGCCGTGCGAATGGGCCGCGACATGCACGTCATGAAGTAACCTTGAAAGCTATGCATGTCAGCTTCGGTAAACGTCGTGGGACAATCATGCTCGTGCGACTTGTTTGAACCTGCTTATCAACGTTTGTTGGAGGATGTCGCTACCGCGTTATTCTACCGCTTTCATCAAATATGGCTTTGTTGCTGTTGTTGTTGATCGACTGATGTATGCTTCTCAAATGTTACGCGACTTGCCCGACGAGTTTTTAAGCAGCCCTGAACAACGAAGCTTGGAAGCGCTCTACTGTAGTTGCTGCAGACCAAAGTCTTGTAGGCTGGCCTAGCCGCGGGAGGGATCTGGCGCGACTAAGCAATTTTGCTCGTGAGCATAGTTGTTCTCGGGACACCCTACAATACACTCATTCTAGGCAACGTGCATCACACACAGCACTGTTTATGACGAAGAGTTTGGTTCCAAATGTTTTCATTCAACCAAAAGGCCATTCGGGCCAGGGTGCTAAACTACATCGCTACAAAAGGTATAATCGTCAAACTTTGTCGTACAGAAACGCACCATCTATCTTTCTTCAACTCCAGGTAATTTTATGGCTTTGACACGAGATGCATCGCGCTTAAGCAGCACAGGCAATGGCCTGGATCTGCTGAAGGGCATCCGCGGAAGCGTCAGCAGCCACTGCGTTCTTGCCCTTGTTGGCCTTGGCCTTTCCCTTTCCCTTGGCTTCAGGGGCAACAGCGGTGGCGTTTCCAGCTGCGGCAGCATTATCAACGGCAGCACCACCAGCACCGCCAGCAACGGCAGCCTCGATCTCGGCAGCGGAGAGGTCGTCAACACGGAGGTTCTGGCTGTTGATGCAGCCAGCCTCATCGTCGAGTACGTTACAGGTGTTACCTGCGCCAGTCTCGTCGCCAATCTCGCCAGGAGCGAAAGTGGACGCCTCATTGGCAAGAGCTGGGTCGCCACCGACAGAATCGATCTGACGAGCGAGCTCCTCGGCGATTCCCTTGTTCAGTGCCGCGGCACCATCGCTGGCAGGGTCCTGGTGCTGCTGGAGAGCGGCGATCTCATGGTTGACAGCCTCGATGG